GGCTGAAGAGAAAGTCAGGAGAAGAGGCGAATTTTGGTGCGCACACTGGGGTCTTCAGACACGCCTCCGGAGCGGGCCAGGCGCGGCGGCTCTGCCCCTTGGCCCACCCGCGGATTGGGGAGAGGAGAGGAGGCGGGTGGAGCGCCGGGGGATCGGGAAAGGGAGCCGGTCATGGGGAAGGGATAGAACGCAGAGAACGATTGAGCGCCGGCTCTGCTTGCGCACCCGGTGGCCAGGTGGAGCAGGAACGAGAGGGGCTAAGCGAGGCTCAAGGGCCCGGCCCCTTTGGGAAGAGGATCGCCCGGCAGCGAGGCAAGAAAGCCGAGGCTCCCCCGGACTGCTAGGGCTGTTGAACTGAGGGGGCGCTCCTCAGGTGGCAGTCGAGGGACATATTAGAGAGGCGCCTCTGCGCCCCTGGCAAAAAAAAGTGTTCTGCGACTGCTTACTTCACGTAATGGACGAGCCGCCCCTGCCACTGGCCCATGAAAATCTCTTAGAATCATAGAGTTGGAAGAAGCAGGAAAATCACATTCAAAGAAACCCTGGCAGATGGCCATTCAGCCTTTGTTTAAAAGCCTCCAAAGAAGGAGCCTCCACCACAGTCCAGGGCATAGAGTTCCACTGCTGAACAGCTCTCACAGTTAGAAAGTTCTTCCTAATGTTCACGTCGATCACGGTATCCTTCTGGGACGCCTCGCAGGGATGGGTCTTGGAGGTACTGTTTTGCAGTGGCTCCGGTCATTCCTGGAGGGTCGATCTCAGAAGGTGTTGTTGGGGGACACCTGTTCAACCCCACAACCATTGTCTTGTGGGGTTCCTCAGGGCTCAATATTGTCTCCCATGTTGTTTAACATCTACATGAAGCCGCTGGGGGAGATCATCCGGAGTTTCGGGGTACGGTGTCATCTGTACGCGGATGATGTCCAACTCTGTCACTCCTTTCCACCTGCTACTAAGGAGGCTGTCCAGGTCCTGAACCGGTGCTTGGCCGCTGTGACGGTCTGGATGAGGGCGAACAAATTGAAATTGAATCCAGACAAGACAGAGGTACTCCTGGTCAGTCGCAAGGCCGAACAGGGCATAGGGTTACAGCCTGTGTTGGATGGGGCCGCACTCCCCCTGAAGATGCAGGTTCGCAGCTTGGGTGTGACCCTGGACTCATCGCTGAGCCTGGAACCCCAGGTTTCGGCGGTGACCAGGGGAGCATTTGCACAGCTAAAGCTTGTGCGCCAGCTGCGCCCGTACCTTGGGAAGTCTGACTTGGCCACGGTAGTCCACGCTCTGGTTACATCCCGTTTAGACTACTGCAACGCTCTCTACGTGGGGTTGCCTTTGAAGACAGCTCGGAAGCTCCAACTAGTCCAACGCTCGGCAGCCATGATTTTAACAGGAGCGGAACGCAGGGAGCATACAACCCCCCTGTTGCGCCAACTCCACTGGCTACCGATCTGCTACCGGGCTGAATTCAAAGTGCTGGCGTTGGCCTTTAAAGCCCTAAACGGTTCCGGCCCAAGCTACCTATCTGACCGCATCTCTGCCTATGAACCCACCAGGACATTGAGATCTTCCGGGGAGACCTGCTCTCGATCCCGCCTGCTTCTCAAGCTCGGCTGGCGGGGACGAGAGATAGGGCCTTCTCGGTGGTGGCTCCTCGGCTGTGGAACGCCCTTCCTACGGACATTAGACTAGCACCATCTCTAATGGTATTCCGCAAAAAGGTGAAGACCTGGATGTTTGTGCAGGCGTTTGAGTAATTTAGTACAATCTGGTAATGGAACATAGGAATGGAACAATGGACGACGAATCTGGACTACGCTTGGATGATGAGAAGATTGGGTACGGTTGTTTTTTGTAATAATTGTGCATTGTAATTGCTTATTGGTAATTTATGAATAATGTGTTAAGTCAATTGTTATATGTTGTATGGAACCACTGCTGTTTCTACTGTTTGTGAACCGCTGTGAGTCGCCTTCGGGCTTGAGATACAGCGGTATATAAGCAAAGTAAATAAATAAATAAAATAAATAAATAAGTGTCCTAGTCTCCAGAGCAGCAGAAAACAAATCTCCTCCTTACAGGGAGGAGAGAGCAAGCTTGTTTTTTGCTTTCCTGGAGACTAGGACGCGGAACAATGGCTTCAAACTACAAGAAAGGAGATTCCATCTGAACATTAGTGAGAGCCGTTCAGCAGTGGAACTCTCTGCCTCAGAGTGTGATGGAGGCTCCTTCTTTAGAAGCTTTTAAACAGAGGCTGGATGGCCATCTGTCAGGGGTGCTTTGAATGCAATTTTCCTGCTTCTTGGCAGGGGGTTGGACTGGATGGCCCATGAGGTCTCTTCCAACTCTATGATTCTATGATTATGACTCCCCCTCACATATTTATACATGGTCATCAGGTCTCCTCTCTGCCTTCTCTTCTGCAGGCTAAACATGCCCAGCTCTTTAAGCCGCCCCTCATAGGGCTTGTTCTCCAGACCCTTGATAATTTTAGTTGCCCTCCTCTGGACACATTCCAGCTTATTAACATCTCCCTTTAATTACAGTGCCCAGAATTGGGCACAGAATTCCAGATGTGGTCTGACCAAGGCAGAGTAGAGAGGTGGCATGACTTCCCTGGATCTAGACCAGGGGTCCTCAAACTATGGCCCGGGGGCCAGATACGGCCCTCTAAGGTCATTTACCTGGCCCTTGCTCAGGGTCAACCTAAGTCTGAAAGTACTTGAAAGCACACAACAACAACAATCCTATCTCATCAGCCAAAAGCAGGCCCATACTTCCTATTGAGATACTAATAAGTTTATATTTCTTAAAATTGTACTTCATTTTAATTATTGTATTGTTTTTAAGTGGGTTTTTTGCACTACAAATAAAATATGTGCAGTGTGCGTAGGAATTCATTCATGCTTTTTTCAAATTATAATCCGGCCCTCCAACAGTTTGAGGGACTGTGACCTGGCCCTCTGCTTAAAAAGTTTGTGGATCCCTGATCTAGACACTATACCCCTGTTTATGCCGGCCAAAATCCCGTTGGCTTTTTAAGCTGCTGCATGATATTGTTGGTTTATGTTCAACTTGTTGTTCACGAGGACTCCAAGATCTTTTTCACATGTACTGCTATTGAGCCAGGCGTACCCCATTCTGTATCTTTGCATTTCATTTTTTTTCTGCCTAAGTGGGTATGCAGAAATTATAATTGATACTTTTATGCTTTGGTTGTATTGGAGGGTGTTATGACTATGAATGTTGCAAGGGATGTCTTCTGAGTAAAATTTGGTCTTTTTATTCTTAAACTGGTTCATGGATTAAACAGACAACCTGTAAGAATTTAGAAAGGAATGCCATACTCACAAAAGTCAACACTGGTTTCTCAGAAACTAATCATACTGGACAAATCTTATTTGTTTTTTGATAGAGTTATAAGCTTGGTAGATGAAGGGAATGCTGTGGATGTAGCATATCTCAGTTTCAGTAAGGCGTTTGACAAGGTCCCCATTATATTCTCACAAAGAAGCTAATATTTATTTATTTATCGTGTCAGGCAACCGAACAGTTGTATTACATTTTTGACAGAACAAACAAACAAACATACAAAAGACACAGAGTTTGCAAGCTTGGTAGTTCATTAGATGTCCTTTGACCAGTATCTGGCCACTTGGAGTGCTTCTGGTGTTGCTGCAAGAAGGTCCTTCATTGTACATGTAGCAGGGCTCAGGTTGCATTGCAGCAGGTGGTCTGTAGTTTGCTCTTCTCCACACTCGCATGTTGTGGATTTCACTTTGTAGCCCCATTTCTGAAGGTTGGCTCTGCATCTCGTGGTGCCAGAGCGCAGTCTGTTCAGCGTCTTCTAAGTCACCCAGTTTTCTGTGTGCCCAGGGGGGAGTCTCTCATTTGGTATCAGCCATTGGTTGAGGTTCTGGGTTTGAGCCTGCCACTTTTGGACTCTCGCTTGCTGAGGTGTTCCAGCAAGTGTCTCTGTAGATCTTAGAAAACTATTTCTTGATTTAAGTCGTTGACGTGCTGGCTGATACCCAAACAGGGGATGAGCTGGAGATGTCTCTGCCTTGGTCCTTTCACTATTGGCTGCTACTTCCCAGCGGATGTCAGGTGGTGCAATACCAGCTAGACAGTGTAATTTCTCCAGTGGTGTAGGGCGCAGACACCCCGTGATAATGCGGCATGTCTCATTAAGAGCCACATCCACTGTTTTAGTGTGGTGAGATGTGTTCCACACTGGGCATGCATACTCAGCAGCAGAGTAGCAGCGCAAGGGCAGATGTCTTCACTGTGTCTGGTTGTGATCCCCAGGTTGTGCCAGTCAGTTTTCGTATGATATTGTTTCTAGCACCCACTTTTTGCTTGATGTTCAGGCAGTGCTTCTTGTAGTCAGGGCACGGTCCAGAGTGACTCCCAGGTATTTGGGTGCGCTGCAATGCTCCAGTGGGATTCCTTCCCAGGTAATCCTCAGAGCTCGGGATGCTTGTCTGTTCTTATGGTGAAAAACACATGTCAGTGTTTTAGGTGGATTAGGGATCAGCTGGTTTTCCCTGTAGTAGGCAGTGAGAGCACCTAGAGCTTCTGTGCCATTACTGCTCAAGCAGGAAGCTTTGAGATGGTCGAACAGAAGCTCTCCAAAGAAGCTAATGAAATGTAGGCTAGATTACAATGCAACTGTTAGATGGACTTCCAAACAGAAAGGATGCTTCCCAATGGCTCCTCCTCGTCCTGGAAAGAATTGACTGGTGGGGTGTCACAGAGCTCTGTCCTGGGCCCAGGGTATTCAACATCTTTACCAATGACTTGGAACAGGGATTCTCAAACCTTTTCAGCCACTGAGCTCCTTTTGAAGTAAAAGTTTCTCATGGAGCCCCAATAAAAGTTGTTTTGAACCAACCATAAAAGCAAAAGAATATAAACCAATTGAATAAAATATGCTTAAATAATGTCCCATGTTTGTTATTGCTATTAATGCTATATATCTGTCAATTCATTCTATGCAATAGCAGTTCAAGAGAAGCAGCTGAGAAAGACTGCAAATAATGGAATGAAAGATGTTGGAGTCCTCAAAGAACCCGTCATCTCAGAAGGTGGACTCTTACTAGAGGTGGGTGATAAATAGCATTATGTAAATTTAACTTTGAGGACAGGTTTACCTTATCTCTACCTTGTAACTCCTTTAAATAATTATCATTGTCAACATATCTGGTTCATATATTGTCTTGTTCACAGGGGCGGCTCAACCCATTACGCAAAGTAAGCATTTGCAGTATAGTTGATTTTGCTCAGGGGCGCTCTTGGGGGAAAATAGACCTTGACATATGTGAGTTGTAGTTACTGGGATGTATAGTTCGCCTACAATCAAAGAGCATTCTGAACTCCACCAATGATGGAATTGAACCAAATATGGCACACAGAACTCCCACGACGAACAGAAAATATATATCAGTGATTGGTTTGGGGGGGGGGGCGGCAAAATACTGTTTGCTTACCGTTGAAAATTACCTAGGTCTGTCTCTGCATGTTCATATCTCACTTTGATCATAAACTCACTTTCCATGGGCAAACCACTATCTTTTGGCACACTTTCCACATTTTGAGGATGATGCTTAGTTTTGCGTTGTGAAATTAATGCTCTACAGATTAAAAGAAACATGAGGAAGATCAGGCTGGTTTTTGCTGGATTGGGGAGGATAGCTTTACAAGATAGCTGTTCCACTCTGTAGGGTTTTTAAAAACCCTGTCAATCTTGAGGGAAGATCTGCCTTGGCAACTTTAAATGTGGCCAAAACAAAAGGTGGAAGCATTTAATTTTCCTGGCTGTGGGAACCTGATGAAGGAGACAACCAATGTGAGTGCAGATGGGTCGTATCAGTGATAGAAAAACAAGAAAAGCTTATGGTTGATAAATTGATATGCATACTAGGAAGGAAAAAATGCAATTCTGTTATTGTGTGACCTAAAATATTTCACTTTAAACATGGGAAAAAACTTGTTTTTGTGTCGATTTGACTTTAGGCAGGATAAATGTGTGGCTGTCAACCTAAATTCAATCTGGATTATGAAGGATTTGGGGGGCATTAGCCACTTTCAAATCTGGGCAGAATAGTGCACACTGATGAATTATTTCTGAGTGTGGTTCTAGCTTAAGACAGTGATACTCAAAGTGGACAAGTTCCCATCACTAAGTCACTGGCCGGCTATCCCAGGCATGTTTCTGGGAAATAAAGTATTGCACTTAATGGTCACAAATTTATGGGTGGTCCCTGACACAATGGAAAACAATAATTGCCAATTATAACTAGTACACATCCTAAAGATTTTGTAAGACCGTCAAAGTAGAATTAGCCCTCCATGTTCGTGAAAACTCGCAAATAAAGAAATTCCTAATTTTATCTGAGATAACAGTTCTCTAGGAATTTCTAGGTCCTCCAGTATGAGTCTCTAGATATCTGGAGGAAATTGACCATAGGATCACACTGGAGGACCTAGAGAGAACATTTAAGTCAGATCTGTGAATAGGCAGATCCACAAAAGTCAAAACTGCAAATGTGGAAGGATAACTGTAATGTTAATCAAGTTAGAGTCCTTTCTCGTTGTTCTCTAAATGGATGCAGTCCATCCAGATACCAGTGGAAAAGTCTCTTCTACAAAATTTGACGGGTTTTTTTTGTCATAGTAATTACAAGCACACATGTTTGTGAAATTTTGAAATGCCAAAACTGAAAGTTCTGATTCTAAAAACGTAGTTGTTGCATGGCTTGAAAATATGTAACAGCAGTATTTGGAGGTGTGACCTGGAGTGAAAGTTCTCCCTCACCACACTTTTCTTTTACTAAAAGTGTATGTCTTTTAGAAATAAAAGACATTGGAGGAGAATCCACATGAGCAAACATTTGTCTTATGTGATCTGCAAGGCCAGAAGGGAGCAGCAGTCACAGATAAGATGGAGGCTCCATTTCGGTGGGAAAAACATGTTAAAATTAAATGGACATATTATTATTTTAAGAATAGCTTGATTTACCAATGCCCCCCCCCCCTCAGACTGAATCAGGATCAACAAATTGAGAACTCTGGAGGGATTAAAATAAAATAGATTAAAATAAAAAGAAATTGGAGGAGAATCCACATGAACCAACATTTGTCTTATGTGATCTGCAAGGCCAGAAGGGAGCAGCAGTCACCGATAAGCTGGAGGCTCCATTTCGGTGTGAGAAACATGTTAAAATTAAATGGACATATTATTATTTTAAGAATAGCTTGATTTACCAACACCCCCCCCCCCCGCCCTTCAGATTGAACCAGGATCAACAAATTGAGAACTCTGGAGGAATTAAAATAAAATAGTTTTTCTTTAATGGAAAGGGGAATTAATGGGGAAAAAACAGTGGGGATGCAGGGATAAATATAATAAGACACTATATAAACATTGTTGAAATATAGTAAGATCAGCAAATAAATTACAAGAAATGAACTTTAGATAAGATGTTCAAATCATTTGTATTAATATCATTTGTGAACAGGTGAAGCATTTCAAATAAAAAGGGGAAAATAACAATATAATGTTTCAGGGGGGGGGGAATGGACTGTAACAAGATTAATCTAGTTTAAAAGGAAAATATAGAGTGACATTATAAGATATGATTAATTTAAAATAAAAAGGAATGAAATTTGGGGAGAAATTAATATTCTAAAGATGAATTTGTAAAAAATTAGGAGAATTAGAATTTTAGTCAAAATGAATTAATTGTTGATATGAATATGATTCATGGTTATGTTTTGATTTTGAATAAATTGGTTATATTTAGCAGAAGATGAAATGAAATTCAGTAACACAAGAAGTACATGTAACAGTTGGAAGTTGCCTTTGCTTGATGAGGGAAAAAGTCAGTTGTATTTTAATAGGTTTTTTTCTTTTTCTTTTATTATTTCACTGTTTTATTTTTACCTGTCTTCTTAAATAGGAAAGATAGAGGTTAGTGGTTAGTGGATGTTGGGAAAACTGTAGGGAAACTATGGGGTAGAATATTATAGGGTTCTTGTTTTAGAGTTTATTTGTTTTAATTGTGAAAATTTAATAAAAAATAATTGTAAAAAAACCTCAAAAATAAGTGACATTAAGACATATGTAATGACCTTGGTTTTTGTGTTTTAGGAACCATGGCAACCATTTATCTGGATATTGCAGTAAAATTATTTTGTCTCTTTAGCAAAAATAACAGCAATAAAAGAAATAAATGTGGCTGAGACATTTTAACGAATGTTTTTACTATTTATTTATTTATTTATTTCAAAGTTTTATATACCGAGCTTCTCACCTCATAAGAGGGACTCAGCCCGGTTTCCATATTAAATGTGATCATGACAAGATTTGCTTTGAGATGTTTTCTGAAAAATGTTCAGTTGTGCTGAAGGAAAAGGAAAAGGAAAAGGAAAGAAAGTATTGCAAAACACATTGGGAAGAGAAAGTATACATTCCTTTTTAAAATAACATTCTAAACTCTCTTCATGAAATAAATGTATAGACTTCAACTGCGAAATATTTTGAACACCAACATATGCACAGAATTTACCCCAAAAAGGCAATTGTTAAGTAGCAGGTGCAGAATTTCATGAGTATATAATTGGATTTACATGTTTGTCAAAGAACACAGAGTACATATTTTAGCTAAATATTTTTTCTCCCTTTTTAGGGAGGAAAATATGATCTCACTTCTTATGTAATATAAGTTCTTTGAAACCCTTCTATTTTACCACAAACAAATACTGAAGTGCTTAATATGTTTTAAGTATCTATCCCAGAAGAGAAATTGTATCTGTCATTAAATCCACATGGATTTTCCACATGTTGTCATTTATGCTCATGGGTTAAACAGTAGCTTTATTTACTGCAATAATCCTTGTAATATAAAAAAAATCTTACAAAAACCAGTCAGGATCCTACAAATCCTTTAATTTTTTTAATCCCTTTGTTTACATATTGTACAAACATTATTTGTTGTATTTGCTTATTTTTTTTGCTGTTGATTAGTTAGTTTAATCCAAAAAAGCCCGGAGAATGAGCAATATTAATATTACAGTGAAGATCCATGTCCAGATTGGGTTGTTGTAGGCTTTTTCGGGCTGTATGGCCATGTTCAAGAGACGTTTCGCCTGCATCTATGGCAAGCATCCTCAGAGGTAGTGAGGTCTGTTGGAAATAGGAAAATTGGTTTTATATATCTGTGGAATGACCAGGGTGGGACAAAGGACTCTTGTCTGCTGGAGCTCGGTGTGAATGTTTCAGCTGACCACGTTGATTAGCATTTGATGGCCTGGCAGTGCCTGGAGCAATCTTTTGTTGAGAGGTGATTAGATGTCCTTATTTGTTTTCCCTCTGTTGTTTTGCTGTTGTAATTTTAGAGTTTTTTAATACTGGTAGCCAGATTTTGTTCATTTTCATGGTTTCCTCCTTTCTGTTGAAATTGTCCACATGCTTGTGTATTTCAATGGCTTCTCTGTGTAGTCTGACATGGTGGTTGTGAGAGTGGTCCAGCATTTCTGTGTTCTCAGATAATATGCTGTGTCCAGGTTGGTTCATCAGGTGCTCTGCTATGGCTGACTTCTCTGGTTGAAGTAGTCTGCAGTGCCTTTCATGTTCTTTGATTCGTGTTTGGGCAATGCTGTGTTTGGTGGTCCCTATGTAGACTTGTCCACAGCTGCATGGTATCCGGTATTCTCCTGCAGAAGTGAGAGGATCCCTCTTGTCCTTTGCTGAATGTAGCATTTGTTGCATTTTCTTGGTGGGTCTGTAGATAGTTTGTATGTTGTGTTTCCTCATCAGCTTCCCTATGCAGTCAGTGGTTCCCTTGATGTATGGCAAGAACACTTTTCCTCTGGGTGGATTTTTGTCTTTATTCTCGTTGCTTGTTCTCGGTCTTGCAGCTCTTCTGATGTCTGAGGTGGAGTATCCATTGGCCTGTAGAGCCCAGTTTAGGTGGTTCAGTTCATCTTGGAGGAGGTGGGGTTCACAGATTCTTTTTGCACGGTCTACCAAGGCTTTAATGGTGCTTCTTTTTTGACTTGGGTGATGGTTGGTGTTTTTATATAGATATCTATCCGTGTGTGTGGGTTTTCTGTAAACGGTGTGACCCAATTGTTGATCTGGTTTGCGGATGACTAGGACATCTAGAAAAGGCAGTCTTCCTTCATTTTCTTTTTCCATGGTGAACTGGATGTTTGGGTGGATGCTGTTAAGATGGTCCAGGAACCTGTTGAGTTCTTCTTCTCCATGGCTCCAAATGGTGAAGTGTCATCCACATATCTGAACCATATCGTGGGCTTTTTTGTTGCTGTTTCCAGGGCTTGTTTTTCAAAGTGTTCCATGTAGAAGTTAGCTATGACCGGGCTGAGAGGGCTCCCCATAGCTACTCCATCTTTCTGTTCGTAGAATTCATTGTCCCACTGAAAGTAGCTGGTGGTGAGGCAATGGTGAAACAGAGCTGTGATGTCTTCTGGGAACCTCTGGTTGATGAGTGCCATGGTGTCTGCTACCGGGACCATGGTAAATAGAGACACCACATCAGCTGATCAGTTTGTCGTTGGTATTTAGCTTGAGATTACTGATTTTTTCTATGAAGTGGGCTGAGTTCTTGATGTAGTGCGTAGTGAGCCCAATATGGCTTTGTAACTGAGCAGCAAGAAATTTTGCTAAGTCGTACGTGGGGAATCCAGTGGCACTCACGATGGGTCTGAGATTGCTGTCCAGATTGCTGGGTAGCTAGCTCTTTCACAGAATATGGACCATGTAGCCCATTCTGCTGCATCTTAAATGCATCAGTTACTTGTGTTATATTAGCACTGCCTTAAACATATAGCTAGGTTGGTCAAGTACAGGTGATCAGGCACCCTACTGAACAAATTTGGAGATAAAATAACCAGATGAATGACTAGCAGCCACATATGCTTGTTTCTTGGACTGAATATGCACAAGAAACACACTTTGAAGGCATGTACATTCAGGAAATCCTGCATATCCATGTGTGAGTAAATATGTGCACATGTTCCGTATTTTTATTTAGATTCCAACAGGAAGCAAATATCTGATGACTCCTGAAATGAATGATCTAGAGATATTTTGACCATTTTGTTTCCTTATTTCTGTTATTGTTTCTTTCTTCCATAGTCACTGAGTGGTTTTGCACTGGTAGTAAGTGGTGATGGAATGATATTCTATGCGTCACCAACCATTGTGGACTATCTAGGATTTCACCAGGTAAATACATACAATAATGAATACTGCTATGAATGCAAAGCCCTTCCATTCAATTTCAGCCAAATGCTGTCTTCCAAGGAAATTTCATACAGAATAGCCAACACTGTTCAGGAGGTCCTCCATTCCATCAACATAGCATAATATTTTGGAAAGATTTTGTGTGCTAGTTTGATTTAGTTTATCTTTATCAGCTTGCTTAATATGCAATGGCACAATTTTAACTGCTTTTTATGATTTTTGTTGGAAATAGCAACCTTCTACAAGCCTCCTATACTAATTATATGTCAAGTATATAATTGAGATTGTTTACTATATTGTATGCAAATATTGGTATGCCGTTTTCCCCTTAACTCTATGTTGTTTGAAGTTGTGGGAGGGGCGGCAGACAATATGACCAGATCTGGGACTATTCATTTTAGAAGTCACTGCAGTTGAGTATAGTATTGTAGTCAGTGTGCATCATTCAGTCAGTCAGGAGCCCCTGGTGGCGCAGTGGGTTAAACCCCTGTGCCGGCAGGACTGAAGACCGACAGGTTGCAGGTTCAAATCTGGGGAGAGGTGGATGACCTCCCTCTATCAGCTCCAGCTTCTCATGCGGGGACATGAGAGAAGCCTCCCACAAGGATGATAAAAACATCAAATCATCTGGACGTCCCCTGGGCAACGTTCTTGCAGATGGCCAATTCTCTTACACCAGAAACGAATGTTCCCAGTTTAAAGGGCTGTCTGGATGCACTCTGTATGCAACAGAGAACGAAATGCACCTGTATTCTGAATACATAAAGTTTTGTAAGTAAATCAACTATGTTAACTTTATATGAAAACTACTTATTTTTTGATTTCTTGAGAGTATTATTTAAAAGCAATATATTTTATGGGAGAGTAGATGTTTCCTTTTGGGCAACTGAAATAACAATTCTGAAGGTCCTTATATTTTATGCATTGGCATATCTTTGTTCCTGACAGTTCAAAGAGAAAACCTTTGAACCTATCAGTCTGTGCATTTTAGAAAGTACACTACTTTTTAAAAGTCATAAAGTGATGCTATCAACACAAGTATAATAGATGAAATCGAAACATTTTCTAATGTCATGGCAAGTATTACAAAGTCTTCATCTGAACAACATACATGATGGACTTTGTGCAAAAACATCTTCCTGCACAGAAAATGTATTTTGGACATCACTCTACACCTATTTTTTTTCTAAGTTCAATAGTACTTGAAGACTGCACAAAAATCTCCATAGTTTTATGTGGAGGGGTTATTCATTCTTGCTTGAAAAACAAGGAATACAAAAAAAGAAATCCTTAATCAACACACACAAATGATTCTGATATATCTAGAAAGGTTCATTCCACACTTTTGGCAATTCCACATTTTTGGCCCCAGTTGTTTTCTTGATAAAAAGAGAACCTGTTGAGAATCTGCACAGATGCCTTACGTTCTCCCTAAAGCCCCAAATCTTCCTTGATTCCCCCACTGGTAGTAATCCCTTAGTTTGGCTGGAGAGAGGGGTTTGAAGGCTGAAATTTTATGATTAAAAAATTCCTTACTTACCAAAATCCCAAGCTCTTCTTTGTAAAAAAAATAATGATAGGCACTCATATGGAAAAGAATCAATTGTATCAATTGTTGTGAATATTTCAGACTGATGTAATGCATCAAAATATATATGATTACATTCATGTGGATGACCGTCTGGATTTCTGCAGACAACTACATTGGGCCATGAATCCACCAAAGCTAGTATCTGGAGAGCATACACACAGAGAGACAGGTATGTTGGATTAATAGTCTTTTGATACAAGTATAAGCCTACAATATTTACGGTATATCAAGATTCAAGAGTAATAGGGCAGAAGTATGGGTTTTTTGTTTATTTACTTTTCCTCTCAACGGCTATCACTGTTTTTACTTTTTGTCTTCAGCCCATCACCTTTGCTTTCCTTTTCCCTCCTCAGTTTATACTGTTACCTTCCCTGCCTTTCCCCAGTTTTTGGTTTCAACAGAACCCAGTGACCTCTACCTCCTCATCAATCTCTTATGTACATTTAACATATTCTTCCACAAATGCCTTTAAGAAGAACCTCATCTGAAATTTACTTTTCATATTTTTTTCAGGGGAAGAATTCATTCTTAGCAAAATGTGTAAAGAACAGGAGAGTGACAATACAACAGCAGACTTTTCATCATTTTTAACTCGTTGTTTTACTTGTCGAATCCGCTGCCTCTTGGACAGCACCTCTGGTTTCCTTGTGAGTAGCTAAATACGTCATAGGCCTATTTACACCGTACTTTGCTTTCCTTGCGAGTATTCACATGTTCGTCAAATATTTCACTATTGACTTCATCAGATGGGCAAAATTGTCCGTCCTATAACACTTGTACCTCTCTTCAGACACGGAGCCTGCTGGATCCCATCATATGATGTTGATCTACTTCTGGCAGAACTCCATGCCTGAAGAGAGGTACAAGGAGCAGCGCCACCACCATGGGAGGCTTCCCGTATTGCATAGAAAACAATAGGGGGAAGCCAGTGTTACAACTCAGAGTAGGTTTCACCTTGCTCCCAAACACCACCACACCAGGGTTGTAGCTTTTGTAGTTTATTGAGGAAAAACAAAGTCAAAACATAGAGTAAGCAATGCAAAGATCCAAAGACCAAGTTTGAATACAAAAACACAGTTCCAAAGATCCATAGGAAAAAACATGAAGCATAATCCTTAGGCAATGATCAAACAAGAGTCTATGGTAAAACAATGAAACACAAGACCCAAAAATCCCAGATTCAGAAAGTCAAAAGCGTGCTGCCTAAAGCCAAGATTAATCCATAGGAGTTTGCATTGAAAGAGTCATGTTGAACTGACAATTTCCCTTTGTCAACCAGAAACTTAAATACCCTTTGCTAACATGAAAGCATTGCGACAACCTTCAGCCGACTTGGCTTCTTTCTTGCTAGCTAAGCGAAAACTCCTCCTGATCTTCCAATCTAAGCGTTCTCACCTGCTCATTAATTCACTATCTTCAATGTTCTCTTTATCAGTTTGGTCCAGCTGGACCAAATCACCGTGGGAAGGCTGAGCAGGCGAAGACAACTCCACCTGGCCGTTATCTAGCTCACTGGCATTCTTTTCCCTTGAGAACTGACTTGTTGTCTCTCCTGCTGCACTGTCTGAGACAGGCACAGAAACAGGCCCAGAAATCTGAATCCCACCATCCTCTTCATCAGGGAACATTTCTGGCTCACAAGACCCACAGGGTTCAGTTTCAGACTCAGAATCAAACCGAGCCACAACACTCAGGTGGCGATGCTTCCCTCCGTCGGATGAGGCAAGGGGCAAGGCTGGCGAGGCGGGGAGTGGGGAGCTGGAATTGCCCCACTGCCCCATGGATTTGCCACAGAGGCTGGTGAATCACTCCACTGCCCTTCATCAATGTGATAAGGTCCTATGAGGTAAGAGGCTATGCTGAAACTCGGTTAGGAATATTTGGTATCTGTTATCAAGCAGAATGCAGCATAGCTTTTAGTAGGGAAATAATAATAATAATAATAATAATTATTATTATTATTATTATTATTATTATTATTATTATTATTATTATTATGTTCAGGCAGTGCTTCTTGTAGGTCAGAGCACGGTCCAAAGTTACTCCCAGGTATTTGGGTGTGTTGCAATGCTCCAGTGGGATTCCTTCCCAGGTAATCCTCAGAGCTCGGGATGCTTGTCTGTTCTTAAGGTGAAAGGCACATGTCTGTGTTTTAGATGGATTAGGGATCAGCTGGTTTTCCCTGTAATAGGCAGTAAGAGCACCTAGAGCTTCGGAGAGCTTCGGTTCAACCATCTCAAAGCTCCCTGCTTGAGCAGTAATGGCACGATCATCAGCATAGATGAAACTCTCTGTCCCTTCTGGCAGTGGCTGGTCATTTGTGTAGATGTTGAACATGGATGGGGCAAGCACGCTTCCCTGAGGCAGGCCATTCTTCTGTTTCCGCCATCTGCTTCTCTGGCCCTGGAACTCAACAAAAAAGCTCCTGCTTCTGGATCGAGAGAATCGGCCGTCTACGAAGACGTTGCCCAGGGGACGCCCGGATGTCTTGCAATCCTGCGAGGAGGCTTCTCTCATGTCTCTCATTATTTTATTTCTTACTCCCCTCTCCTTGTGGCTTGAGGCAGGTTGCAGAATAATTAAAACATGTAAATATTGTAAAAATGCCACAAATACACATATTGTATTAAAATATATTTCTTATATATATAATGTTTTCCTATAAAATATGTATTAAAACACACAAAATGGAGATTAAACAAAGGACACATGTTTAAAATCCATGTTTAAAAACTGTCTGGGTAGGCCTGCTGAAAGAGATAGATCTTTAGATGCTTTTAAAATTCTAACAGATCATTTAGCTGTTGGAGCTCTTCCAGCGGGTCGTTCCACAGCCTTGAGATGGTCAATGACAAGGTCCTTTGAGTGACAGTTGTCAGTTGAGTTCTGGCTGGTTGGAGCAGAAGCCCCCCAGAGGGCCCAAGTGTTTGGGGCAGATTGTACTGGAGAAGGCAATCCTTTAGGCAACCTGGACCAAAACCATGTATGCCTTGTAAGATAAGGAGAGAAAGAAAACTTAGATTTACGGTTTCACAAATCCATCTTGGAATAGCAAAAAAGACAGACAAAATAAAGTACACAAATTTCAACAGAAGATCCATAAAAGCTGACTGTCACATATAGATGTAAAACATTATGAGGCAGGAGTCTTATGGATGCCCTCTTTCCAAACTAAGGGAGTATTAGATTAGAAATAGATTCCTGGGTGTTGGTCCCTTTTTTGGTGAAGATGAATTCCGTTAACTCAGCCTCCCTTAATGGAATTAACAGATGGAAGTACTGAATGTCTTGTGTTTTACTTTAGCAAAGTAAGGCAAGCATTTTATAAAAATGTCCAATGTTCAATCTATATAAATAAAAATGTAATGTTCATTGGTGGGATTAACATAACTCAAAAACCACTGGACGAATTGGCACCAAATTTGGACACAATATACCTACCAGGCCAACGAGTGACCATCAATCATAAAAACACAGTGGAAGGGACTTAAAAGCCCAAAAAAGCAAAAAGATACTACAGCACATGTGCAAAAACGACTCCCCCTGGCAAACAATAGCATATCCACACTCTCTTCCAGACTACAGTTCCTACCAGGCCTTTTAGGAGAGGAGGAGCTCCAAGCTTTCTTTTTCTATTTCTTTGAGAGCATCCCAATTCCTTCACATTTCCAATTTCCTATTCCTGGACTGCAACTCCCAGCAATCCTCCAGATAGATAGATTAGATAGAGATAGGTAGGTAGATGGATCAGGAGGACTGCTGGGAGTTGCAGTCCAAGAATAGGTAGATAAGGAAGAACGGGAGAAAAAGGAGGAGAAATAAAAGGGGGTGGGAGGGAAGGTAAGAAGAAGTAAAGGAAGGAAGGAAGGAAGGAGAGAAAAAAAGAAAAAAGGGAAGGAAGGAGAGAAAGAAAGAAAGAAAGAAGAAAAGAGGGAGGGAAGGTTGGCCACAGCAACGCGTGGCAGGTACAGCTAATACAAGAAATAAATGTAGTAGTAAAAAAAAAAATCTTAAAACAATCCAGGTCATCAGGAGTGGACAGATTCACAACAGAATTTAGAAAGAAGCAATAGAAATATTAGCACCAGAAATGAAAAATATATTTAATAGCATATTGAGGGGAAGCAAAGTCCCCAATACAGGTGGCAATGCATCAGTCTCTGCTGGCTGCCAAGGGATAAGGTAGCTATGGTGGCTGCCGTATCTTATATCAGTAGTGGTAGTGGCTCCAGAGCAGCTCTAAATGCCGTACAGCTGCCTGGGGATAAAAAAAGGATCACACATTCAGTTGTGATACTAATAATAGATTGGTGGAAACAAGGCCACAACAATTGTCTTGGGAGCAGCATATGGCTCATAAACTATATGCTGTCCCCTATTCTCTACACTCGACAGGCTAAACATTATTGCATTTCAGACCCAGTCTATTTCCATATAATCAATCTTCCGAATCCATATTATGATAATGTAAACTCATATAATCCAGTTCAAAGCAGATAATCTGGATTGAGAAACTGGATTATATAGCAGTGTAGTTCCAGCCTCCGTTTGACTTTTTTGGGAAGCTAGAGAGGAGAATATCACAGTATCCTTCTGTATTTCATCAAGTTGAATCACAATACATGTTGCTACAGTGATGTGGGGGTTTGCAGCATTAAAGTAAAGTAGGAATTATTATTATTATTCTTGTTGTTTTTCTAAACCCCACTTTTTCTCTCCACAAAGGAGACTCAAAGCGGTTATCTGCTGTGATATTATCTAAACATACAACATCAGAACTGGCTCTCAGTATGTTCTGTTGCGTGCTGGGCCTGTAAATAGTTGTCTTTAAAACAGGACGTGCAACCTTTGCCCAACGGGAAGCCAGGGGGCCTAAAGAGAAGTTCTCAGAGGTTTCCACCACAAACAGTCTTTAGATGGCTTGAGAAGTACAACAAAGTCTTTTATTAATGAACAATCAAACAGAAACTTCTCTTGTCTTCAGTAAAGTTAAGCAAATGATTCCAAGCTTTTAGGTAACTGGTGAATTCCTAATCTTGCCCACGAAGGACAGGCAACTGTCTTCAATAACTTCTTCTTTACTTTAAAGGAAAATCCCCTTTTTAACTTCTCCCAGGCTGACTGTAACTTAAACCTAACTGATGTGGGCACCACTACCGGGTTGAACTGCCTCTCAAAGCACCGAGTAGACCTACCAGCAAGTAGACCAGTAGACCTACTTGATCTTTAGGGCTGTTCTCCCCCAGAAAGTCTTCAAAGCTTTGGGGATGCTTCCCTGGAAATTCTTTCCCTTCTGTTTCTGTTGGAATTTCTGTAACCCTGGAAACTCTTTCCCTGGAAATTCTTAAAGGTTGAAGCTTTTGTACAGGGGACGTTTACACACGTCCTGTACATTGGCTAACCTTGCTGAGACTAACTAAAAAATGGCTCCCTTCCCTTCCCAATTGCCCTGAGCAAGGGGCGGGACCAAAACCTAACAATGATAGACAGGTGGCTTGCCCTATAACTGCAACCAAAAGAAGTCACCTATCTGCAGAGTCCCTGAAACCTAGGAGTGCAAACAAACATTTAATGTAAAGCAAACAAAATTGGAGCTCCTGGTACAGCTGTACCAGAACATGGTACTTTATGTGGAGATTTTGGGGGGTTGAAATTGTTTACACAGTTTCTTCTTCATTTTGTTGTTTTTCAGACCATGCATTTTCAAGGTAAACTAAAATTTATCTTTGGACAGAAGAAGAAATCATCCTCAGGAACAATACTACCTCCCCAGCTGTCCTTATTCTGCATAGCGGTGCCACTCCTGCTTCCTTCCGTGACAGACATGAAGTTAAAAAGTTTTTTTGTGAAAGCAAAATGCAGATCTGATCATACAGCATCAGCCGATACAAAGCAAGTCCAAATGCAGTTTTAATACTTATTCTTCATTGACCTAGTCACTGATGATAATGTTAAGATCATACAGAGACAGGCCCATAGCCAGGATTTTGATTTGGTGGGGGTGGGGGGTGGGTGAGTTTAATTGGGGGGGGGGGAGTTTGTTTGGGGGGGGGTCTGAGGATCTACCCTAGCAAACCTTTTGTATTTTATCCCAATACCCCAATGCATATGGGATATATTGAGCATGGTGATAGATCAGAAATGAATAACATAACAGTTTAAATAATGTACCAGTAAGGCCTTTTCCGGGGTATATGGCCATGTTCTAGAGCTTCCGATCTACCTCTGAGGATGCTTGCCATAGATGCAGGCGAAACGTCAGGAGAAAATTGCCTCTAGAACATGGCCATATAGCCCGGAAAAACCTACAACAACCCAGTGATTCTGGCCATGAAAGCCTTCAACAATACATTAGTTTAAATAATGTACCAGTAAGGTCTTCTCATGGACCACCCTGAGAATTTGGGGGGGGGGGGGTGAAGCCCCCCCCCCCCCCCCCAAATTCTCAGGGTGGTCCATGAGAAGACCTTACTGGTACATTATTTAAACTAATGTATTGTTGAAGTTTCTCTCCCCCCCCCCCCCCCCCCGGCTACGGGCCTGTACAGAGATGATAAACACAGGTCCCAGATATTTATGCCACCAAGCTCCCAGTATACCTTTTCCTAGCAACTATAGTAGCATTTTAAAAAATCCACACATGATAATTTTTCTTGGTCATGAGATAAAGAGCTATATCCAAATACGATTCAATTATGTTTCAAAACTGGGAACCTATTCCCTAGCATGCTGTAATTCATCTTGTCCTGTAGGGAATAGCAATGTATTCATGTGAAATATTCTGCAATTACTCAGTGATTTTGAATGTTTATTTGGACATATTCTTAACTTTAGGACATTTTCTTAACAATATAACTTATTAATGATTTCCCAACCATTGATACTTTCCAGCTCAAAGACTCTTTCTGGACAGCGTTTGGCTGATTTTCATAGAAGAAATTCTTTCCAAGAAGGTATTGTTTTCACCTATGTTTTTATTGAGTTCATTTATTCTGCATTTATCAGGTAATAATATTTATGTGGAGGTTTTAAAAAATCACTTTTTCTCTCCAGTTTTCCTATTTTCCCCCCAGCCGTCGATACAAATAAGGTTACTCATGTTTATTCAGTGCAGTACCTAAGGAGCCCACGGTGACGCAGTGGGTTAAACCACTGTGCCAGCAGAACTGAAGACCAACAGGTCGCAGGTTCAAATCTGGGGCGAGCGTGGATGAGCTCCATCTGTCAGCTCCAGCTCCCCTTGCTGGGACATGAGAGAAACCTCCCACAAGGATGGCAAAAACATCAAAACATCCTTGCATCGCCTAGGCAATGTCCTTGCAGATGGCCAATTCTCTCACACCAAAAGTGACTTGCAGTTTCTCAAGTTGCTCCTAACATTAAAAAAAAGTGCAATAGCTGTCTTTTTCCCTTTCCTATCCTTTCCTTTCCTTTCTTTCTTTCTTTCTCTTTCTTTTTGGAAAACCCATGTTTTCTTTCTACTTCTTTAACTATTGCTTGTGTCAGATTATATAAATTGTTAGTCTGACAGGTTTTTTATCTTTATATTTTTGCTTTCATAACTCTGAGTGAGAGATTTCTCTAGCTGCTAAATTCTAAATCTTGCAGATATGGCAGCAATATATTGCAAACAAATCCCAAACCAATTTTATCTCGCTAACACACACACACTGGAAGCTCTACTGTGGAGCTAAAGACGTCATGTAATTTAATAATGATGATGATAATAATAATCATCATCATCATCTTTATTTGTAGTCCGCCCTATCTGTCTAAGGTAGTGGTTCTCAACCTGGGGTCCCCAGATGTTTTTGACCTACAACTCCCAGAAATCCCAGCCAGTTTACCAGCTGTTAGGATTTCTGGGAGTTGAAGGCCAAAAACATCTGGGGACCCCAGGTTGAGAACCACTGGTCTAAGGGGACTCAGGGCAGATTCTATCATACACAACACAAAGGCAAACAGTCAATGCCTAGGAACAACAAAAAAACAGATAAAGATAAAGGCCTCCCTTTCTGGCACTGGGGGGTGGTGCTCATCTCCATTTCTAAGCCAAAGAGCCTGCATTGTCTGTAGACACCTCCTAATTCATGTGACCGACATGTGGCCGAGGCAGTACCTACTGATCTACTCACATTTGCATGTTTTCGAACTGCTAGGTTGGCAGAAGCTGGGGCTAACAGCAGGAGCCTACCACGTCCCACAGATTTGAATCGCCAACCTTCTGGTCGGCAAGTTCAGCAAACTTTATATCACATGACATTTAGACAATGCCAATTTTTTATTTTTTTATTTACAGCTTTTATATTCTGCCCTTCGCACCCCGCAGGGGACTCAGGGCGGATTTCAGTGTACACATATATGGCAAACATTCAATGCCAATTTTTGACATACAACATATACAGACATAGACAGAGGCTATTTAACTTTTTCTGGCCACTAGATTAGCTGTCACTTTGATTGTCCATCTGAGACGCTGATGAAGCACTTCCGCATTCCCCGCATGCTTCCCCGCTGGAATGCTTTGTTGGAGTCTTCTTTATGGTTTCATAAATCAATTAATTTAGCCTCCCCACACTTTAAGGTGGTACCTAATTTTCCTACTTGACAGATGCAACTGTCTTTCGGGTTGCAAAGGTCGACAACAGGCTACACAATTGGTTGGAAACCCACTCCAACCCGGGCTGGCTTCGAACTCATGACCTTTTGGTCAGAGTGATCTTAATGCAGCTGACACTCAGCCAGCTGCGCCACAATCCCGGTGCCTGTTCAGCAATTATTCTCCTTGCTGAACAGATAAATAATGTACTGAAATAATGCAAAGCTGCTGGAGTTCGATCAAACTGGGGTGCTTTCAGGCATTTAATTTGCTAATTTTAAGAGTAACATATAAGTGTGTATTTTTCTCTACCATGAACAAATGTGAATGTTCTGTATATTAATTAATTAATAGACTGTCTACATCAGGGGTCCTCAAACTTTTTAAACAGGTCACAGCCCCTCAAACTGTTGGAGGGCCGGATTATAATTTGAAAATAAACATGAATGAATTCCTATGCACACTGCACATATCTTATTTGTAGTGCAAAAACCACTTAAAAACAATACAATAATTAAAATGAAGAACAATTTTAACAAATATAAACTTATTAGTATTTCAATGGGAAGTGTGGTCCTACTTTTGGCTAATGAGACAGGATTGTTGTTGTTGTGTGCTTTTAAGTCGTTTCAGACTTAGGTTGACCCTGAGCAAGAGTTGGGTAAATGACCTTGGAGGGCTGCATCCGTCCCCCGGGCCTTAGTTTGAGGACTCCTGGTCTACATAAATCTTAAGTAACAATGAAGTTAAGTTACATATTTAAGAACCTTCTTCCCAAAAAACATTTTTCATCTATAGGTGAATGTAATAGAGAAAACGGCATTTCACTGATGAGATTCCAAGCAAACAAGGACCACTGGTTTTGGGTACAGGCCAGTACTAATGTTCAGTACAGAAATGGTTCCTCAGAATGCAGCGTTGCTCTTCAACAAGCTCCCAAGTAAGTAGCATTAAAAGTTTAGAAAGGCAAATGTGTGTTGTGAGGAGTAATAATTAAGGGAATTGTAATCTTTCAAGGTTTGCCTAATGAGACTCTCAGACTTGGCAAATGTTAGAATATACAGACAAATGTAAGATAGTATTTATTTATTTATAGTATTTATATTCTGCCCTTCTCAGGGCGGATTACAGCGTACACATATATGGCGAACATTCAATGCCAAAGACACACAACAGATATAGACAGACAGTCAGAGGCTATTTAACTTTTTTGGCCGCCAGGGGAGCTGTCGCTTTCATTGTCCATCTGCGACACTGATGAAGTACTTCCGCATTCCCCGCATGCTTTTGCTGGAGTGCTTTGCTGGAGTCTTTTTTATGGCCTCGTAAATTAGTTAAATTAGCCTCCCCACACATAGGTGGTACCTAATTTTCCTACTTGCAAGATGAAACTGTCTTTTGGGTTGCAAAGGTCGACAACAAGCTACACAATTGGTCAGAAGCTCATTCTGACCCGGGCTGGCTTCGAACTCATGACCTTTTGGTCAGAAGTGATCTTAATGCAGCTGACACTCAGCCAGCTGCGCCACAGTCCTGGTGCTTGGTAATTGATAATTAACATAGATTGATAATTAACATAAACATTGATTTGTAAGAAGATAATATCCAACATACAGATTTTGAAAATATGTTGTGATGTGCCAATTAATTGCGTTTTCGGTTTTACTCTGTTGTAATTTGTTGTCTGGGCTTGGCCTCATGTAAGCTGCTCCGAGTCCCCATCGGGGAGATGGCGGCGGGGTATAAATAAAGATTATTATTATTATCTTTATTTATAAGATAAAGCCCCCGGTGGCGCAGTGGGTTAAACCCCTGTGCCGGCAGGACTGAAGACCGACAGGTTGCAAGTTCAAATCCGGGGAGAGGCGGATGAGCTCCCTCTATCAGCTCTAGCTCCTCATGCGGGGATATGAGAAAAGCCTCCCAGAAGGATGATAAAAATATCAAATCATCCGGGCATCCTCTGGGCAACGTCCTTGCAATTCTCTCACACCAGAAGCGATTTGCAGTTTCTCAAGTCGCTCCTGACACGACAATAATAATAATAATAATAATAATAATAATAATAATAATAATAAATCTTTTCACCCCCTCAATGTTTTTGGCTAATGGAGTTTGTGCCTTCCAAATAGGCACAAACCTGCCCCACAACTCTGTGTGTTTTATGAGTTCCATTTAAATTTCCTGCTCCTATTTTATCTCATCATAGTCTGTTAATTGTTTTTTATTCGGAATATGTGGCCCGCCCATTGTCATCTTTATCGTGTTTGTGTCTATTGGAATTTTTATTTTATTTTATTTTATTATTACTATTATTATTTTATTATTATTTTAATGTCATTTTGATAATGTTGTTGTTGTCTGATGTATATGCTTTGATTTTATTGCTGTATTACGTTGTCCGGGCTTGGCCCCATGTGAGCTGCTCCAAGTCCCCATCGGGGAGATGGTCGCAGGGTAGAAATAAAGATTATTATTATTATTATTATTATTATTATTATTATTATTATTATTTTCCTTCACCAAATGTTTGTGTATTATACATGATTGAAAATGTTTTAGTTATTGACTTTTAAAAATATTTTATTGAAAGGGAAGAGAAAATTCAGAAGATACCAAACATCATTGCAAGTATAAAAGGAAACAGGGAACAGTTGGGACAGATGAAGCATCATAAGTGGAGCCCAAGGAAAAAAGAACAGGAGAACACAAAAGTGAAGTTTGAACCTAATACTGAGCATTTTACTCAGCAAGAATTTGCTAATCCTGCTGTCTCACTGTTTGGTGTCCAACACAATAACAGTGGAAATGGCACATGGACATCAAACAGCGCCTCCGGTTTTTGCTTTAGAGGTCAGCGTCATGAGAACATGTGCTGTAACAAAACTCCAAGACCGTTCTACAGCAGAGAGGAGCGGTTCTTCAGTTTGTCTTCAACAGAGAGAGAAAATTGTCAGCTACACCCAGGCTTGCAGCAATGCTCCGCAGACAGTTATTTGGAAGAATGCATGAAATTACCATGTCCCCCAGTATCTCCAGGAACTCTGTACAACAATAATTTGCCTCACAACACACTGATAAAAACAGAATATGATTCAGATTCTGAAAATATAGCTAACAGCCATACCATTTTACCAAGTTGTGCGTGGGTGGATGAAAACAGCACAGTCAAAAAGCACTTTCCTGCAAGAGTCCACCTTAAAACAGAACTCGGCACACCATCATCCCCACAACATTGTGTCTATCCACCGTATAACTGGCAACACATAGTGATGCATCATTCCAATAACGTTAGTAGAAGTGGACTTGGCAAAGCAACGCCAAACAAAGAATCATTTTTACTGGACCTTTCAAAATCCATTGGCGCAGAAGCTATGGAGAGCCCACAAACTTCGTATTATAGCAATCAGTTCTATAGTAGCTTTTCAGTCGAAGAGAAGGGGCTGAATACGCAGGTTCTGAAGTCACACTCTGAGTTTAAAAATCTCTGCTTGAATCAGACAGTTAAACATGAACCTTTCGATTCTCGTCCTATCTCCAGTAATACTCAGACAACAGTAGAGATGACTTTCTGTGAAACACCATTAGCTGATTCTCATCCTCATAAAATAATGCAGCAGCAAACTGTTTGATGTGTTGTGGTGCTACAGAGTTTGGCATTGGTAGTGCAGAAATGGGACACATAGCAGAAAATACCTCATTCATAAGACATTTTCCATTGTAGGGATCCAGAGCTATACATGCTATTTATGATAAATGTTCTAGATTTACAGTTATTGGCATTTTTACGGTATCATGGAGTGTAATTTCCAGTCACCCACAGAATCTAACAGAGGGGTGTGCTTCATATTTATAAAAATATAAACCAAAACTGTGTAAAACTACATAGAAATTTGTTATTCTTTGCTAACAGCAGCCATACCATCTGTGGTTCACAGTTTAAGAGGGTCTTTGTGTTATTCAAAGAATTAAACAGAAACAGAATTGGGTTGTTGTAGGTTTTTTTGGGCTATATGGCCATGTTCTAGAGGCATTCTCTCCTGACGTTTCGCCTGCATCTATGGCAAGCATCCTCAGAGGTAGTGAGGTCTGTTGGCACTAGGAAAGTGGGTTTATATATCTGTGGAATGACCAGGGCGGGACAAAGAACTCTTGTCTGTTGGAGCGAGGTGTGATTAGCATTTGATGGCCTGGCAGTGCCTGGGGCAATCTTTTGTTGAGAGGTGATTAGAAGTCCCTGATTGTTTCCTCTCTGCTGTTTTGCTATTGTAATTTTAGAGTTTTAGAGCTGCAAGACCGAGAACAAGCCACGAGAGTAAAGACAAAGATCCACCCAGAGGAAAAGTGTTCTTGCCATACATCAAGGGAACCACTGACCGCATAGGGAAGCTGATGAGGAAACACAACATACAAACTATCTACAGACCCACCAAGAAAATCCAACAAATGCTACGTTCAGCAAAGGACAAGAGGGATCCTCTCACTTCTGCAGGAGTCTACCATATACCATGCAGCTGTGGACAAGTCTACATAGGGACCACCAAACGCAGCAATGCCCAAAAATGAATCAAGGAGCATGAAAGGCACTGCAGACTACTTCAACCTGAGAAATCAGCCATAGCAGAGCACCTGATGAACCAGCCTGGACACAGCATATTATTTGAGAACACAGAAATGCTGGACCACTCCAACAACCACCATGTCAGACTACACAGAGAAGCCATTGAAATCCACAAGCATGTGGACAATTTCAACAGAAAGGAAGAAACCATGAAAATGAACAAAATCCGGCTATCAGTATTAAAAAACTCTAAAATTACAACAGCAAAACAGCAGAGAGGAAACAATCAGGCACATCTAATCACCTCTCAACAAAATATTGCCCCAGGAATAATGCCTTGACCACAAAGGTATTCACACTGAGGCTGGTATAAGTTGATAAAAATAAGAAGAACTTTTATTGAACAGAGTTAGATATTTCAGGTACAAATGCTTGATGGTTTCAGTAAAAAAATCTGGCATACAAAGCTTGTGGTCTTAAAAACTTCCGGGTTTCAAGTCTTAAAAGTTACAACACAGAAAATTACTTCAGGAAATGAATCTCTGAAAGTAACTCCCACAAAAAAAATAAAAATCTAACCAAAGCCTGAACTAGCCTTCCTTAAGGAAAAGAACAGACTACTCACGGGGTGCTGTTCCACACAGTATTCTAGCTATATTTTCTATAGCTATTTCTGAATACTCTACAAAAGCCTGACCCAAACTGTTCCTTCAAAACCCCAAACTGTTCTCACTAACACCCTTTCCAAGCTCCAACTCTCCACTCCCAACTCTCAACTCCAAACTGGCAAGCTGAGAACTCAAGCCTCAGTTTTAAAGTCACTTTTTTCCTTCAGATCACACATCGTTCTAACCAATCCTAGTGGTCTAACTTTCCCTCCAAAACTAGAACACGCTCCCTTAAGGCAAACCTAACCTAAGATGGCGTCTCCCTGTCCCCCTTCTCTAAAATGGATGACGTGGCTTCGCCAGGCCCACTCCTAGGCCTAAACTAGCTTGCCAATCTAAGGGATTCATTACAAGCATCATACAAAATACACATAGCCTTTCAAGAAAATAAATTCTTTTGCAAAGAGGTATTTTACAGGAAATAAATTATCATCGGTTTATTCCTACACTGATAGTTCTACTGCTGCTGTTGTCACTTTTGACTTGCTGTCACTCTATAAATGCAAGATGTAAAGATATCCTCTCATCAGCAGATGCTGTAGACTCGGTTGTGATCTTCTTGTTTGAATTTATTCACCTTTCATGTGCTCATCCTCTTTTCTTACTGCCGCCTTATTTCCAAAACATTATCAACTGTTCTAATGAGTCATGTCATCTCCTGATGTGACCAAAGCACAATAATCTCAGTTTGCTCATTCTGGTGTCAAGTGAGAATCTTGGCTTGATTTGCTCCAAGACCCATTTATTTGTCCCTTTTTTGGCCATCCACAGTGTTTGTAGAACTTTTCTCTACACTAGATTTCAAATGAATCGATTCTCTTGCTGTCAGCTTTCTTCACTATCTGGCTTTCCCAACCAAACATGGATATTGGAAATATAATGGCATGGAGAATTCTGACTTTGATTTTCCATCATATATATTTACACTTTATTACCATTACATAGTACAAAAGCAAAAATGCATAGAAGCTTTCTTTTTTAAAGGAGTATAATTAGACAAATAATGTAAACAGACAAATAATGTAAACAAATGATTCTTCAATCATTTTATTGTTAAGACATACCATCCATATGCTGTTCTGCTTCCATCACCATTCAGTATAGCAGTATTGACATGAATACAAAACATTTTAAAAATCCATTTTATGTTTGTAGGTCATATACTTTGTTTTCAGTCTGAAAATATTAGTTCATACATGCAAAAACAAACAAACAAACAAACAAACAAAAAACAACCAGATGTGATTTATGTTATTTCATATGTGTAACTTGCAGTATTGAATCAAGAGAAAAAATGCAACATTTAGTTGAATAATAAAAGCAGTAGTATAATTTATTCCATAATCGCAGCTCAGGTAGCTTTGCTCTTGTAGTAAGCTGGTGAAGTAGAGTAAAGTTTTTTTCTTTTTTCAAAACAAAACTGACATTTTCCCTTTATTTTGATACTCTCTCCTGCAAAAGAAAAAGTTACAAAATTAGAAATTATAGAATCTAAAATTAGAAATTACAGAATTGTGTAGTTCAGCTACGCCATTTAGTATTTTAACAAAGTTTGATCTGAAGTTCAACTTTACAATACTATTTCTTAAATTTACACTCTGCTGTTCTTTGAAGATGTAAACCTCAGTATTTGTTAATAAACGTTATTTGTAAAAGTGGAATTTGTAATCTTGTCTTCCGTTCTTAGTTTACATGTTTTGACAGGTGTAAATTCTTATCTATTCACATGAAAAGAGCTTCTACATGCAACATATGATTCTTTTGTATTAAAATGTACAATAGTTTGGGAATGCTTAGTGCACAACTAAGCAAGGCTTCAAGTTAGGTAATAGTTCTTAATTTGTCTATAAAGTCCCAACCATAAAATAAAGGATAAAATGTATATCATGTTATGTCACATGGACTCCCCTTGCACATTTTTAAAAAACTATTTTATATTATATTTATTTACAGCATTTTTACTCCGCTTTTCTCAACCCCCAAAGGGGGACTCAGAGTGGCTAATATAGGCAGCGATTCGATGCCACAATATCAATAAACACCAATATAAAATCATCTATATAAATAAAAATGTAATGTTCGTTTGTGGGATTAACATAACTCAAAAACCACTGGACGAATTGACATGAAATTTTGATACAATACACCTAACAGTCCAACAAGTGTTCATCACCCCTAAAAACACAAAAAAAACCCCCAGTAGAACAGACTTAAACCCCCCCCAAATACACCATATATATATATATACATACATACATACACACACACACACTCATATACACATGCACACATACACACACACACATATATCCAAGCACACACATATATACACAGATACACAAATATATACACACATATAAACACATATATGCACACACAAAACACATATATACAGACTGCAACGTGTGGCAGGGAATGGCCAGTAAATACAAATAAGGTTACAGTAACAATTAATTATATAATCACCTAATTGCATAATCACATAGCTGTTTCCCATTATCATAACAGTCGTCAGGTCCAGTTCCATGTTCAGAATGCTGCTGTGCCCACTAACTGAAAGCCTGGTTCCATAACCACGATTTTAGTTTTTTTCTGAAGGAAAGGAGAGAGGATGCCAATCTACTCTTGCTGGGGAGTGAATTCCACAAGCGGGGCGTCACCACCAAGAAGGCCTTGTCCCTCGTCCTCACCAGATGCGTTTGCAAAGCCAGTGGGACCGAGAGCAGGGCCTCCCCAGCAGATCTTAGACTACAAGGTGGAACTTAGAGGGAAATACGTACTACATAATGCGACCAGATAGCTCCAGATTGAAGTGTGAGAAAGTGATACATGAACATCTTAACCCATTCTCCTTGAGCAGTTTATCCACAATTAATTCTCTATCTTAAAATCTATATAAATAAAAATGTAATGTTTGTTTGTGGGATTAACAGAACTTAAAAACCACTAGACAAATTGACACCAAATTTGGACAGAATACGGCTAACAACCCAATGTATGTCCTTCACTTCAAAAAAATGATTTTGTCATTTGGGAGTTGTCATTGCTGGGATTTATCACAAACAAAGAACATTCTGAACCCCACCAATGATGGAACTGAACCAAACTTAGCACACAGTTCTTCCATGACCAACAGAAAATACTGGAAGGGTTTGGTGGGCAGTGTCCTTTGGTTTTGGAGTTGTAGTTCACCTACATCCTGAGATCACTGTGGACTCAAACAATGATGGATCTGGACCAAACTCTACATGAAGACTCAATATGCCTAAATGTGAACACCGGTGGAGTTTGGGGAAAATAGAATCTTGACATTTGGGAGTTGTACTTGCTGGGATTTATAGTTCAATCACAGAGCATTCTGAACCCCACCAGTGATAGAATTGGACCAAACCTCCCACACAGAACCCCCATGTGAGTCACAACAACGCGTGGCAGGGGACAGCTAGTAGTCTAAATAAATTTAAAGCAGCTGAAAAAATTCTTAAGTCCAAGTTTTAGGTGGTGTAAAATCCTCCTTTGAAGAATCCCAATAATAAATTGCTAAATTGGATTTTCCCCAAGTCATACAAAAAGTAGACAAAATCGATTCTTGACTTATGCATGGTGTTGATATATATATATGAGTCTGTATGGTATGTGCTGGTTTACCATTCAACAGCTAGTTTGGTGGGCTTAAGCTGGCTGGGACCAGAAAATGAATTTAGGTTGAAACCTTACCTATGTTTCATTCCTCATCTGCTTTCTGGATAGCTGACAAAAATCTTGCATGCTTATACATATTTTGGGCTTTTGAGGTTGTCCTCATAAAAGTATTACTGTAGTACTTAAAATGGAAAAGACCTAATTCAAAGTAAAAGGTGACATGAGCGAGTCCTTTTGGCGGGTTACAAATAAAGTTTCATTTTATTTTATATTGTACCTCCAAGGATTGTAGAGGAAACTAATCTTGTTTTTGGTATAGAGGACAGGAGCAGGATTCAAAACGATCTTGACAGAGAGATGGGCCAAAACTAACAAAATGAAGTTCAACAGGGACAAATGCAAGATACTCCACTTAGGCAGAAAAAACGAAATGCAAAAATACAGAATGGGGGACTGCCTGGCTTGAGAGCAGTACGTGTGAAAAAGATCTTGGAGTCCTCGTGGACAACAAGTTAAACATGAGCCAACAATGTGATGTGGCGGCAAAAAAAGCCAATGGGATTTTGGCCTGCATCAATAGGAGCATAGTGTCTAGATCTAGGGAAGTCATGCTACCCCTCTATTCCGCTTTGGTTAGACCACACCTGGAATATTGTGTCCAATTCTGGGCACCACAATTCAAGAGAGATATTGACAAGCTGGAATGTGTCCAGAGGAGGGTGACTAAAATGATTAAGGGTCTGGAGAAAAAGCCCTGTGCTGGAATGTGTCCACAGGAAAGTGACTAAAATGATCAAGGGTCTGGAGAACAAGCCCTATGAGGAGCGGCTTAAGGAGCTGGGCATGTTTAGCCTGAAGAAGAGAAGGATGAGAGGAGATATGATAGCCATGTATAAATACGTGGGAAGAGGGAGCAAGCTTGTTTTCTGCTTCCCTGGAGACTAGGACGTGGAACAATGGCTTCAAACTACAAGAGAGGAGATTCCATCTGAACATGAGGAAGAACTTCCTGACTGTGAGAGCCGTTCAGCAGTGGAACTCTCTGCCCCGGAGTGTGGTGGAGGCTCCTTCTTTGGAAGCTTTTAAGCAGAGGCTGGATGGCCATCTGTCAGGGGTGATTTGAATGCAATATTCCTGCTTCTTGGCAGGGGGTTGGACTGGATGGCCCATGAAGTCTCTTCCAACTCTTTGATTCTATGATTCTATGATCACTTGCACTCTATGAGCCATCTCATGACGTCAGCATTGTATCGCCGCCTAAAGCAGATCCTGCCTTGTTCCCACTTCATTGTCTCAAAATCTCGCGACTTACTCGGGCAAATATCGCGAGAGTACAGCAAAGGGCAGGTTCTGGCGTCCGTCATCAGGACGCGCCGGCAGAGCTGGAAGCGGTGGGAAGGAGTGAGAGGGGCCTGCTTGACGCTTTTCCAGAGAGAACTCGAATTAACGTCGGGAGTTTTCCGGATGTCTTTGCCGTGATACATCTATGTGGCTATCCTCCTCCTCCAGGTTTGCGCCATGGAAGAAGCCCCGGAGACGCAAGCTGAGAAGCCCATCAACGCCACTCCTTTCTATTGCAATGTGAGCCCTGTTTTTCCTCTCACGATGACATGAAAGCATCATTCCAGGCCAAAGCAGATAATGTGGGATTTTATTTAACTGTGTGGAAGGGCCCCTTCTACACTGCTATGTAAAATTCAGATTATCTGCTTTGAACTGGATTATCTGGCAGTGTAGACTCATATAATCCTGTTCAAAGCAGATAATGTGGATTATATGGCAGTGTAGAAGGGGCCTCAGTATTGTGTTTCTGCTTAATTTTATTGTTATTTTTGAAAGCATCGATTTTAAAGTAACAAAGGTCCTAGATTCCTGAAATGACCTGCAAAAACAACATTTTAGGGATAACAAACATTGGCCCATAATAATAATAATAATAATAATAATAATAAACTTTATACCCTGCCACCATCTCCCCGAGGCCAAGCCCAAACAACAATTACAATAGAGAAAAACCAAAATACAAACTGAAAACGCGAACGATAAACAATAACATCAAAACCCTAACCCATTTTCCTAGTTCCAACAGACCTCACTACCTCTGAGGATGCTTGCCCTGATGAAGGGAGTTGGACTGGGTGGCCTTCAGTATTTTCTGTTGGTCATGGGGGTTCTGTGTGGGAAGTTTGCCCAGATTCTGTCATTCGTGAGGTTCAGAATGCTCTTTGATTGTAGGTGAACTGTGAATCCCAGTGACTACAACTCCCAAATGTCAAGATCTATTTTCCTCAAACTCCATCTGTGTTCATATTTGAGCGTATTGAGTGCTTGTGCCAAGTTTGGTCCAGATCCATCATTGCTTGAGTCCACAGTGCTCTGTGGATGTAGGTGAACTACAGCTCCCAAACTCAAGGTCAATCCCCACCAAACCCTTCCAGTATTTTCTGTTGGTCATGGGAATTCTGTGTGCCAAGTTTGGTTCAATTCCATCATTGATGGAGTTCAGAATGCTCTCTGATTGTAAGTGAACTATAAATCCCAGCAACTACAACTCCCAAATGGTCACTCCTTGTGTTGTGAGATGTTTTGTTGCCAAATTTGGTGTGATTTCGTTCATTGGTTCTTTTGTTTTTAAGGTACTCATTATGCACAGAGCATTTTATATATATATATATATATATATATATATATAGATAGATAGATAGAGAGAGAGAGAGAGAGAGAGAGAGAGAGAGAGAGAGAGATGTATAGCGTCCATACTTCGTGGATTTTAACTTTTCACGGGTGCTCCTGGAATGTAACACCCGCGATAAGTGAGGGAACACTGTAAGTCATTTTAGATCTATTTGACCTGGTTGCCTTCATCTTATCAGTAATTTAATTATGAGTTGAGTAAAATCCCGCATTTCATCTATTCTGAGACACACTTTTTCCATATGTAGACATCTTTAAACATGAGATGCATGTTAGAATCACAGATTTATTTGTATTGTTGTTGGTTCTGAAATTAGGGTGTGTTAATCAATGAAGAAATATGGTGATTCATGTCTTCTATGAATTTGCTGCCTTCATGTCTTCTATGAATTTAGGGCAACCCCAGGAATTTCAAAGGGTTTTCTTAGTTAAGGAGTACTCAGATTTACTAATTCCTAAAGATTTTTTGGTAGGGAATTATAACATGAGACACTTTGTCCCCATTGTTTATTGTTTTATAAAGTTTTTCATGCCTCCAGTTTTGTCTTTTGTACTTAGTTTCAGACTTTCCCCTCAGAAGAGCTCCTGCATTTTATGCCTTTATTTCCTCTACCTTTCAGAAAGTTGTGATAAGTATTTTGAGCAAGGTACAAGCACTGCATTTGTTATTCCAAATGTAATGCACTTTTTTATATAGGTGTGTTATGCTGTGAAACATATTAGTTTCAGTCATTGTTTTATTAATGCACAATATGAAGTTTCCCTTTTCCACAGCTGAATGCTACTCCTATTGTGTCTGACTGAAATAATCTTCCCCTAGCTTCTTTTCTCCAAAGGGATATATTTGATGTGGAATATTTAGTTGGAGATATGGAATGCTGGCAGTTTTACTGAGCTGATGTTAATCCAAGGTCTGTACTGTGAAATTCTGGAAAAGTCTGTGTTCTATTCATTAGGCTTATTGAACAACTGACTTGGTATTTCCCTTAAGAATAGTTTTTAATGTTTTATCTTATGTCTTTTAAAATATCTTTTTGATTTAGATCTGCAAAATCTATTGTGCATCGCCTGTAAATCTACAGTCTCATTTCCTTGGGTCCAAACATAGGCTGGTAAGGTCATTTTTCTCATTTATCTTTTAAGGTTATAGTATTTACAGTTTTATATACAAGATTACAGTGAGTTAAATACTTTTAATGTAAAAATTAGAGTCAGACAGTACCTACTTTTTGGATGAGGATCAATAAGCTGAGGATTAACAAGACAGAGGTCCTCCAGGTCGATCGTAAGCCGGATCGGGGTATAGGGTGGCAACCCGTGCTTGATGGGGTTGCACTCCCCCTGAAATCACAGGTCATCAATTTGGGTGTCCTCCTAGACTCATCACTAACGCTTGAAGCCCAGGCGTCGGCAGTGGCTGGGAGGGCCTTTGCTCAATTAAGACTCGTGCATCAGCTGGGACCGTAACCCGCTAACATCTCCCGACGGACTCGGTGCGGCTTACAAAGGCCAAGGCCCTCAATAAAACAACAGCATAACAAATACAACAATAGAACTCAAAAAGAAAACCAATAAACATTAAAGCAATAACAGTAAAACAATAAAACAATGACATCATGACACATTTAAAAACTAAGGGCCGGGCCAAATGTAATGAATAAAAATTAAAAGTGCTGGGCATGACAGGTGAAATGTAAGGATTCTATGGTAGGTGCGATGTGCAGACAATCTTAAATCTCTAATAAAGCGTGTTTGGGACATGATGCTGGGAGCTTCCTATTCTGGAGAGGCACACTCCAGAAGCTCCTCCTAAAGACTGCAAACGTTGGGGCTTGTCTGATGTCCTTGGGGAGAGAGTTCCAGAGTCGGGGGGCCACCACAGAGAAGGCCCTGTCCCTCGTCCCCACCAAACGCGCTTGCGACGCAGGTGGGATCGTGAGCAGGGTCTCTCCAGATGAATGGAGGGATTGTGTGGGCTCATATACGGAGATACGGTCACGCAGGTAGGCGGGTCCCAAACCGTTTAGGGCTTTGTAGGTGAGCACCTGCACCTTGATTTGGGACCGGAAAATGAACGGCAGCCAATGGAGCTCCTTAAACAGGAGGGTTGACCTCTCTCTGTAAGGAGCACCAGTTAACAACCTGGCTGCCGCCCATAGGACCAGTTGGAAATTCCGAGCCGTTTTCAAGGGCAGCCCCACGTAGAGCACATTACAGTAGTCCAATCTAGAGGTGACCAAGGCATGGACCACCCCGGCCAGATCAGCCTTTACGAGTTACGGTTGCAGTTGGCGCACGAGTCTCAATTGTGCAAAAGCCCTCCCGGCCACCGCCGACGCCTGAGCCTCAAACATAAGTGATGAATCCAAGAGGACACCCAAACTGCGGACCTGTGACTTCAGGGGGAGTGTAACCCCGTCCAACACAGGTTGCCACCCTATACCCCGATCCGGTTTACGATCAACCAGGAGGACCTCTGTCTTGTTGGGATTGATCTTCAGCTTGTTCATCCTCATCCAGACAGCCACAGTGGTCAGGCACTCGTCCAGCACCTGAGGGGCTTCCTTGGAGTTAGGTGGAAAGGAGTAGTAGAGTTGTGTGTCATCTGCATAGAGATGGCACCCAACTCCAAAACTCCAGATGACCTCTCCCAGTGGTTTCATGTAGATGTTAAAAAGCATGGGAGACAGAATAGAGCCTTGCAGGACCCCACACGTCAAAGGCCAGGGGTCCGAGCAGGCATCTCCCAGCTTCACCATCTGGGATCGCCCCTCCAGGAAGGACCGTCAACAGTACTGGGTTGGGTTAAGCAGATTATGGATTCTTTATAACAGCTTTTTCTGCACTGGAGACATAAGGAATGACTTGTCTCGTTATCTGGGTATAGAGCTTTTTGGTTTGAAGAATCACACATCGAACAAGAGACTGTTCTAAATGTTGATTGAGCATGTCTGTAAAGTATTTTGAAATTTAAATTGTATATTATTTTCTCTCCTATCAATCAAGGTTGAAAAAGCTCTCAAAGACCATGGTGTTGGTAAGTTGAACTATGAATGTAAATCTTTATTCCTTAGGCCAATATTTATACATAGGAGTTATATTAAACGACTTTAATTATAATGTCAGCAATGAGCAGTCTATTCTAGAATTGCTTTAGGGTGCTTGGGAGTCCTTCCACAGAGCCCTATATCCCAGAATATTAAGACGGGAATTCCCACATTATCTGAGTGTGGACTCAGATAACCCAGTTCAAAGCAGATATTGTGGGATTTTCTGCCTTGATATTCTGGGATAAAGAGCTGTGTAGAAGGGCCATAAGGCATTTAGGAAATGTGAAGGGTAGGCTGCTGGGGATGGCGTAGATGGGATTTGTGATTTTAAACATTTTAAACATGTTTTTTAACATTTTATCCTGCACATGTGGCCCGCCCACTGTCATTGTGATTGTATTTAATGTAATTTTATTGCTAATGTATTCATATGTTTTTATGTGATTATGATATTGTTGCTTGTGTTTTGGTGTTATTTTGCTGTAATATGTAAGCCGCCCCGAGTCCCCCGTTGAGGGAGATGCTGGCGGGGTATAAATAAAGATTATTATTATTATTATTATTATTATTATTAAACTGTAATGGTATTTTAATGTTTATGCTTCAAGACAAAGATGTAATTTAAAAAATTATATTCATATTTACATTCATTTGCTTAGCTTTTAATTTGTATTGTATTTTGTTATGTTCGTTATCAGCTGTCTTGTCTCCATGAAAGGAGAAAGATGGGATAAAAACAATAAATAAATAAATAGAGAAATACAGAAAAAAACAGTTGCATAGAAATATCAAATTATTTAATTTGAAATAAGGAGATTTAATGCTATAAAATAATTTTGTTAATTCATATATTGGCAAATTTTAGTACAGTAATTATTTAAAAAGTAATGGCTGAACAGAGTACTTAAGAGTGTGTTGTGGATAAAGTAGGAGGGACTAGTAGTTTGGGTAAATATTGGATAAAGAGAGACATTTACACTTAATTCAGATATAATAGCACAACTATATATATTAAAGTTTATTATTCATTGTCCACACATTTTTCTTCTTGCCATTCCTAATGTGCTACTTCCATTTCTATCCTGGGCCCCTTCTATACAACTGAATAAAATCCCACATTATCTTCTTTGAACTGGGATATTTGGCAGTGTGGACTCAGATAACCCAGTTCAAAGCAGATATTGTGGGATTTTCTGCCTTGGTATTCCCTGTGATCAAAGCAGTGAAACACAAACAAGGAGAAGAAGGAAAGACTAAAGCTTGTTCTTGGCTGAATAAGCTGCAGTTTATTAATCAAGGAGTAATCTTCTCCTTTTTTTACTGCTTTACCTGCAATGCTAAAGGCTACTTTTTCTTCAGTTGGGATAATAAACCATGAATCCTATTCTCATAGTAACAGAATAGTAACTATTCTCATAGTAACAGAAAACTGGGCTTCTGTTTTGGTAGGTTTATGGTAGGTTGATCATTTGAAATGTTGGTGATAAAGACTAGCATGGGCCCCTTCCACTCAGCTGAATAAATTCCAACATTTTCTGCTTTGAATTGAAATATGTGGCAGTGTGGACCCAGATTACCCAGTTCAAAGCACATATTATGGGATTTTCTGCCTTGGTATTCTGGGTTATATGGCTGTGTGGAAGGGCCCATAGTTATTTGAAATAAATAAAATGATAGCTGTTGGGTTTATTCTTGAGAAGTTTCTACCACCATCTTTGCGCTCCATGTTTACCAACCATTTCTTCAACTATTATATCTTTTATGATGATAAGAGCTGTTCAACAATGGAATATGCCTTCTCAGAGTGTGATGGTGCCTTCCAATTTTATGATTTTATGCTTCCTTAAAATGAAACGTTTAAGGAAAATAAAAGTGAAATAAAATACACTTTGACGTATAAATAGAATAAGGAACAAAATGTTGTTGCTGTTGTTGTATTTCATAAAAAATTGTTTCTTTTTCAGTTAAGCCTCTAATCAATACTACAGAAACAGTTAAAAAACCAGAACCCCTTCCAAATTTTGGTAAGTGAACTTCTTTATAGATTATTTTTGTTGACACAGTTCCTGCTGTAAACAGGTTTTTGGAGGGGAGAGATTATGTCGGAACACAGACGCCTTAAAGGGCCAGACTCAGAGTTAATTCCAAAACAGAGTTTATTAAAGCAAAGGAAAAAGACTCAGAGATGCTTAACTCAACGCCTCTGGTCAAAACTCAAAGGTAAAACCAGTCCTGGTTCAAAAGAGCAAGCAAAAGTATAATCCGGATTATCCGGATAAAAGAACTGAATCAAACACAGTACTCTGAAGTCACATAAAGAAGAGGCACAGTAAGCAAACAGTTAACAAAGCAAAGAAGCCGCAAGGAGGAAAGCGTAGTCAAGTGAAGTCCAGGGTCGTAGCAGGAGGAATCCAAAATAGTGAAGTTCCAAAGTCCACAGAAGCAGCGTCATAGTCAAGCCGGTCCAAGGTCAAGGAAGGGGGAAATCCACACTCACAAGAATCCAATCCGAGTCGAGAGCACACACGAACAGGAGCAGCAACCTGCAGATCCCAAAACCAATGCCGAACATGAACAGGCAGCGACGAGTCCAAACAGTACCCAATGCACGAACGTATACCAACATCTTGCCTTCTGCAAAGATCCCCCTTTTCTGAACCCACTTTTATTACACATCATCCTCATCAGAAGATGAACTGACCACCGCCCCATGATCATCCCTTGCAGCTGCTTCTAACTCTCCACGTGAAGACCCAAGCCCATCCCTCGATCTTCTCCATCTCCTGTCAAGACTTAGATCCCCCCAAGAGTCAGTTGTATTCCACGATTGCCAATCTTCACTTCCAGAGAAACCCATAAATGTATCACTAGATGTTGGCTGTGCACAAATAGCTTGCACTTCTTTTACCTTAGTCCAATCCACAGTGTCATCACAGAGAGAGAGGGGGGGGGGGCAGGAGACAGTTCCTAATAATATAATATATATTGTATATACATGTAATATTTATAATATTATAATATAATGCATTATAATAATATGATATTATAATTATATATTATATTCCACCCTTATGTGTAATATATACTAATAATATTCCAGTATAATACATATAGTACAATATAGCAATATTTAAAAATGATATTCTACTCTGCTAATAATATATTGTATGTATAGATACCTTGTAAGCCGCTCTGAGTCCCCTTTGGGTGAGAAGGGCAGCATATAAATGTTGTAAATAAATACATAATAAATACCCATCCAGGTATTGTAAACTAATTAAGGCTTTAATATCTATGTCCAGACACCTTCTGGCATAGGTGAATAGCTCAGACAGCTCTTTTAAAAGTTTTATGGGTATAAGGATAGTAAGTCATCAATCATGCAGCTCTGTCACAACTATGTTAGTTTAGGGAAAGTTTTTAGTAACTACCTGTCTTTCTATATGGTACGGAGCACATTTTTACGTATCACGATATGCCATATATAAATGCTTATTTTACAGTTGACCCTGGACCTAAAAAGCCGCCTGAAAGACCCTTGGAAGAGCAACTTAATTCCTGTAAGGATGAAGAACCTGCCCTTGGTGAGTTCCTTTGAGTTTGTTTATGAAATATTTAAGACTTTTAAGTCTGTATTTGGCATCAAAATGTTCAGCTGCTGTGTTTACTTGGGAATAGATTTCAGTGGTTTTATAGATTTTCAACATTATTGTTGTCTAATTGTGGTACTTACAAAGTGAAATATATTGTGTATATTATTATATCTATACACATAATAAAAGTGACGATGCGTATATGTGTGTGTTTGTGTGCGGCTGGAGTGTCCATTTGCACAGACAAGCTCCCACTTCCACAAATAGCTATAGCTCCCACTACTTAGGAGACACCTAAGCCCCCCTCCCTCCAATGACATTGCAGGTTATAGTGAGCACCATGAATGTGTACAAGAGACCTGCTAGTGTCCTCCAGAAACAACATACTGCCCACTACCTGAGTTGCAGTTCACCTACATCTAGAGCGCACTATGAACCCAAGCAATGAAGGATCTGGACCAAACTTGGCACGCATACCCAACATACTCAAATTTGAATGCTGGTGGTTTTGAGGGGAATTGGCCTTGAAATTTTGGAGTTGTAGCTACTGGGATTTATAGTTCACCTGCAATCATTGAGCACTCTGAACTCCACCGAAGATGGAATTGGAATAAACTTGGCACACAGAGCCCCCATGACCAACAAAAAATATTGGAGGTCTTTCACTTTGATTTGGGGGAGTTGTAGTTCACCTATATCCAGAGAGCATTGTGAATAGACACTGATGGATCTGGACCAAACACGGCACACATGCCTGATATGCCAAAATTTGATTTCTGGAGGGGTTTAGGGGAACTGACCTTCCTTTCTGGGAGTTGTAGTTCACCTACAACTAGAGAAACTGTGACCTCCACAGATGATAGACCTTGACCAAACTTGGCACACAGAACCCCCATGACTAACTCAACCTACTGGAGGGGTTTGAGGGGACTGACTCACCATAGTGGGAGTTGTAGTTTACCCTACAGCCAGAGATCATACTGAACCCCACTGATGAATTTTAATCAGTCTCTCTTTTAACCATTACATGTAGCCTGCCCATTGTCATTGTGATTGTGCCTATTGTAATTTTATATTGCTATGTTTTTCATATGTTCTATGTAAATATGTTGTTGTTGTTTATTGTTTGTGTTTTCTGTTTTATTTCATTGTAATTTTGTTGTTTGGGCTTGGCCTCATGTAAGCCGCTCCGAGTCCCCATTGGGGAGATGGTGGCGGGATATAAATAAAGATTATTATTATTATTATTATTGAGCAAACTTGCCCAACATAACAAAGTTTAAGTACTGATGGAGTTTTTCAGGGTTAACCTGGCATGATATGAGTTGTACTTCACCCACAACCTTACGCACTTTGTTCAAAAAAACCCCAAAACATGACTTTTTCAAATAATCTGGACAACGTCAGGTACCTAAGCCAATTGTAAATAAAAGGAGACTTTAGGCAGTGGTGGTTGTAATAGTACAGAATTGAATTAGAGGTTGATTTCATGGCATTAGGGAAGCTCTTCTTTAGCCATCTGAAAGGCCTAGTTTTCTCTAAAGCAATACATCTGGGCTTCATCCATTCAGAATCCAGGACTTATATGTGAGAGTTCATCCATACTGAAAACATTTCTAAATATATTTTAAGGCCTCCAGCATGATTCTGGATGACCTAGAAATGTCTAGAGAAGGGTTTCCCTGGGTTAAAAAAGCATTTGTGGTTTTATTTATTTTTGTATTTTTCCCCCTTTTCATGTGGATTCTCTGTCACTACTATGAAAGTTGAGGGCCAATTACAATTCATGTTTTTCCCCCCCAAAATCCCTGTGTTTTCAAATACAGGCCTCCAATATATAACTGAATTCCAGATAAACGAATGCCTGATGTATGAATGTAGTCTGTGCGACTGTCAAGCAGGATTAACCAATATGTTCATGCACGTTTTGGGTATTAAACACAAGCTTGCATATTTGGTAAGTAATCTTTTTTAATTTTCAAAAGAATAACGAATTTGGTTATTTATTTATTTATTTAAAACGTTTATATCCCAATCTTCTCTACCTCTGTAGAGGGACTCAGACTGGCTAACAGCAGAAATTCAATGCACAAATACAACTAAAAAAATAATAAAATCATAATAAGTTAAAATACAAACAAAATAAATACATATTAAGCCAAATCGCCAAGATAGAATCAAGTTCAACTCAATCCGTCAGTGTGGTCAGTAGTTATTAGGTTATTGCTGGACTCAACCAATTATTCTGGGAATGCTGTATCCCAGAGCCAGGATTTCACTAGCTTTCTGAAGGTCAGGAGGGAAAGGGCTGTGGAACTCTCCCCATCGGGAGAGAGTTCCACAGCCGAGGGGCTACCACCGAGAAGGCCCTGTCTCTCATCCCCACCAGATGCAATTTCGAATGTGGCTGGATCGAGAGCAGGGCCCCTCCAGAAGATCTTAACAACCTTGATGGTTCATAGGGGCGTATCCGTTCAAAATGTTTTACTCTCTTTGCAGTTGTTCTAACATGCATATGTAAAACATTTTGAGTCGAATGTAATAGCTGCACATTGGTGGAGCATATTATAATGCAGGTGATACTTAATTTTCTTCTGCTGTTCTTCTGTTTACGTTTTTGAGAAACTGAGGCTAGTGAAAATGGTAGTTCAGTGTCATTTTAATTTTTAGAAAAAACACCGTCCTGAGCTGGCAGAAGTTACAGGACGAGGTTCCAACTTAAAGAAAAAAATAAAAGACATTGCTGCGAAAGTTGAACAAGAAGAAGGAAGAAAACACATAATGGTATGATGCTAAAAACCCTTTGCCCCTTGCTAGTCATTATTATATCCTGGGTCAGAGTAAGCATATTTCTGTATTTGAGAAGTGGAGAATACATTTGGGAGGGTGTTAGCATTGTCTCCTATTTTGGCTTCTGTAGAAACTGAATACTTTTCTAGAGAGATCTTTATTCTGATTCAGTAAGACTTTGTGTGTTAGCATTCGGCATGAAACTAGTGGGCTACCTGGACAAAGATAAAATATGTCATTCCTCTTCGTGCATGGTTTGTGTGTTGGGTGGGCTTTGCTTCCTCTTTGCCTAGCACGTAAGTGCAGTGGTTGGGCCAGTGAAAGGATGGATCAAATGGGGGAAGAAAGCGCTTTTATTTTAGTGCTGATTCCAGCAGAACAGATATGTAGTGGGGGCTGGTGAAATGGAATTCCAGGGCTTAAAGTATATCAAAAACTGGTTATTTAAAAATCCCATCTTCTTTAGGTTTCCTCGGATCTTCCAGTTTTGAAAGGTACGTTGGTATAGTGTAAGTAACTACAGAATCCTATAGCTGGAAAGGGCCTCATGCTCCTTTGAATCCAATCTCATGCTCCTCAGAGGAACTCCAGGTAGAGCACCCCAGCAGATAGTTGTCCACTTTTTGCAAATGAGAAAGAAACCCTACAACCTCTCTAGATCAGAGCTTTTCAAACATTTCAGGTTGGTGACACACTTTTTAGACAGGCATCATTTCATTACACAGTAATTCCATTTTACTGACAAACTGGAGGTTAAACCAACCCCTTGTAAGAGATATGGTCATTTACATAAATTATAATAACAAAATGTATGGTGACACAATATAGGCAGTCCCTGAGTTACACACTTTCAAAGAAATAAAAACGAAAACTTTTTATATAAAAATCTGCAATCATTACAGGTATAAGGAGCACTTTTACTTCCCAGTAGGTGAGTTTACTTCGTCCTATTTTCATCTAAGGCAGTGGTTCCCAACCTGTGGTCTGTGGACCACCATTGGTCCCCAAAAACAAAAATATGGTCCGTGGCTTTACCACTACTACACCATTGCCTTGAAACCTCGCGGCAACGAGAGCGATTGGTCTCACAAAACTCTCTTGCCAAGGCAACAGGGATGTCAGGAGGGAAGAGGCTGACTACCCACTACTACCACATCAGCTCTAGATTATTAGATATGGTTTTATGTGGGTGAGCAGATGGCGACTACTGGATGGCATATGTTCTGTATCAGAAACTAGACCTGATATGGTCTATCCAATGCAGTTTTCTGAATCAGCATCCCAAATAACTAAACCGAATCTAAATACAATCTAAAGTTGACCAAAAATCAATTCATAACCCTTTGGTTACTAATGTTGGAGAGTGGTGCCTGGTCAAATGGTCCCTGATCAAAAAAAAGGTTGGGACACAGAGAAAATACTCAAAAGTACCCCCAGAGGATAAAGAAACAAAACAGAAATTAGAATAATTGAGAAAACAGATTTTCTGGAAACAGAAGAATGAGCAAAAAAACCCTAAAATTGCTAAAACAGCACCATTTCCAAAACGCTAATAAAACTAGGAAGTGGCTTGCCAGGAGAATGAGAAAGAAAATACAACAGCATATTACAAGAATAGAGGAAGAAGGAAAAAGCTTCACATCTGATTGCGATATTTTAAACCAGTTTAATAAATTTTATAGAAAACTCTTGCCAAAGAACAAACAAAGAAAGAAGCTATAGTAAGCTCCCTGAGTAATCAAAAACTACATAAATTACTAGACGAACAAAGGGAAATACTAAATCAAGAAATTAGAGAAGAAGAGATTAAAAGAGTTATTAAAAACTTGAATAATGGCATGGCCCCTGGCCCAGATGGGTTTACAGTGATTTATTATAAAGAACTAATGGATGAATTAGCACTATATTTTTTAAAAAGTGATGAATCGGGCTCTATTAACACAAAAAATCCCAAACACCTGGAAATCTGCAAATATTACTATGATTTATAAGGAAAATTCTGATCCAACAGATGTCAAAAATTATAGACCCGTATCCCTTCTAAATTTGAACTACAAAATATTTACTAATATTATAACAAATTGACTGAAGGACTTCTTTAAGGAATGGATACATGAAGACCAGACAGGGTTCCTACCGAAAAGACATATAAAAGATAATGCAAGAATGGTCTTAAACATAAATGAATACTACAAGTAAAACAACCAAAAATAATTGGCCTCACCATGCTAGATGCAGAAAAAGCTTTTGATAGACTAAATTGGCACTTCCTTCTTTCATTAATAATCAAATTTGATTGTATTTCCTATTCACAAATGCGATCAAATCGATCTACAACAAACAAGAGGCTAACATTATTATATATGGCTAAACAACTGAAATCATTAAGATGAATAGAGGTATGAGACAAGGATGCCCGCTTTCCCTGGCTCTCTGTTGGAAAAGTTTGAGGACCCCTGCCCTAGACCTAGCCTTTACCCATTTCCTTCCCCTTACTCCCCCTATTACCTTTTTATGTTAACTGGAAAATTCTTTAATAAAGATTACAGTATTTTTAAAAGGTTGGGAACCACTGATCTAAGGATAAAAATGTGGGTTCTCACTTAACCCCTGTCACTAAGGAAATGTTACCTCGTAAACAGGATCAGAATACTTAGTCTATAATGAAGTCTACACAAAATACCCTTTTGAAAAAGTTACTGAAATCCTTAAAATGTGTAATACATTTCAACTGCAATTTGAATTACTGCCATAATTTCATTATATACCTCATGATATTTTTTAAATAAAACTGTAAGTACTGTATATACTCGAGTATAAGCCTAGTTTTTCAGCCCCTTTTTTAGGCTGAAAATAATCCCCTCGGCTTATACTTGAGTCAAGGTTATTTATTATTTTACTCTGCTATTAGTATTATATTTATTGCATTTATTATTTTACTCTAATATTGTTATTATTACATTTATTACTTTATTATTATTACTATTATTATTAAATTTCCATTATTTACTCTATTGTTTTTATTACATGTTATTATATTTATTATTTTATTCTATCATTATAGGTAAAAGGTAAGCACATTTACATTGAAGGAGCTTAGAATAATAGTTGAATCAGAGTTGGGCAATCTTATCTTAAATTACAGTTTTGTGTAAGTACTCAAAAACATTTAACCTCCTGACGATTACCAGTAGCAGATACATTTTTCACCCTCGGCTTATACTCGAGTCAATACGTTTTCCCAATCTTTTGTGGTAAAATTAGGTCCCTCGGCTTATATTCAGGTCGGCTTATACTCGAGTATATACGGTAAATTAAACTGAATGACTTCATGTAAAGGTGTTTTATAGAAGAATAGTTTTCAATAATTCCAAAGTAGACTTTCACATATTTTTTCCTTTAATTTTACAGAGGACAAATATTCAGTTCAGCTTTCAGATTCTCTTGTCACTTGGTTTACTGAAGGTGAGATTTTACATTTTTAAAAGGTCTGTATTCAAAGCCATTAGACTTTTTTGATTTGCTGTATTTATGATAAATTACAAACATCAACACTGGATTAATACCGCAATAACATGAATGCTTTCTTCAGTTGTCATCCAGAGGCTTCTAGAATTGTTAGAATAATTGGTGAATGTTGCAGATATTTCTGCTAGATACGTTATAGATGAGACTCAGGCCTCTTCTACACTGCCATATAATCCAGATTATCAAAGATTATCATAATCCACATTATCTGCTTTGAACTGGAATATATGAGTCTACACTGCCAGATAATCCAGTTCAAAGCAGATAATCTGGATTTTATATGGCAGTATAGAAGTTGTTCGTCAGAATGTCTTGTAAACTTGTTACAGCTTGCCCTGATGGCATAACTAGTGTGTTTCTGCATACGCGTGACAATATCTGGGACGGATTGTGACAGGCTCCCACTTTTGATTTCTTTATATTGATATTTTGTTGCTTTAACATGAAAAGTAAAGTAAAATTCCATCTTTGTTGGAGTATTGTTATGTAATAAGCTTAATTTGTTTCTAGATGATCCAAGCATAGAAAATATAATAGATGATGTTAAGAGCATAGAAAATAAGAAGGATGTTGCTAAGAGCTCTGAGGGGGGTACCCAGAAGGCTGGAGATATCAACAATTCAACAAAGTAAGTTTTTTGATAATTGAAAATATCCTAGGAAAAATGTCTAAAGGTATATGCCTAATTAGATGTGGGGTTTCTTTTGTCATATAATGAATCTTTGTTTGATATAGCTTATTTTCAGGAGTTATGGGAATGGCATTATATCATTTCTTTGGCCTGTGGCTTTTAAAACATTGAGTTGGGTGTTGTAGGAGATGTATACTGTCACTAGAACATACATCAATTAGTCTGTATTCTTACAAACAATGGAAGGGGCTATCAGAGATTAGGGGCCTTGTGTTAGAGCCACAGGGGATCTTGAGGGGCCACCAACCACACAAAAAGTAATTCCCCATTGCTCCAAATCAATTTATTTAATAATAATAATAAAACTTTATTAATATACCGCTCCATCTCCCCGAGGGTACTCAGAGCGGTTCCCAGGTAACATCACAAAACATACAAAGTAAAAAACAACATAACCATAAGATTAACAAAACAAAATATAAGCATAAAAATTGTCGCCATAACGCACACATATTAAAAGTAATCCTGCCTATTCAAGGCAATTTAAAAAAATTAAAAGACCAGGCCACGATTTGTGCAAGTCCAAAAATTCCAGGGGGCCCGGGAATTAAGTGCAATGCTATGGCAGGCAACAATAATATTAGGTATGGGTCTGTGGCTGTTCATTCTGGGGCCGATCAGAGGAAAGAATCTAGGTAATTGGTAGGAAGAATAAGGCCGTATTCGACAATGTGTAGGGCTGAGTTAGAACTGATCATTTTCAAAGGCTTGTTGAAACCACCAGGTCTTCAAGCTCTTACGAAAGGAGGGGAGGGATGGGGCCTGTCTTATTTCCCTTGGAAGGGCGTTCCAGAGGCGGAGGGCCACCACTGAGAAGACCCTCTCTCTCGTCCCCACCAACCGCACTTGAGTGGGACTGAGAGGAAGGCCTCCCCGGAAGATCTTAGAGCTTAAGAACCTATCAAGCACCCAAAATGATGTTCCACAGTTTAAAACATTTACCACTGAGTTAAATTGCTGAGCTGCTGAACTTGCTGACTGAAAGGTTGGCAGTTCAAATCTGGGAAACGGGGTGAGCTTCCACTGTTAGCCCCTGCTTCTGGCAACCTAGCAAGCTCGAAAACATGCAAATGTGAGTAGATTAATGAATCTTTGTTAATGAATATTTTGCAGGGGATTGTTGCCTTTATTCGGGGAAGGCATCTCCATATATGAACCCACACGATCCCTCCGTTCATCTGGAGAGGCCCTGCTCACGATCCCACCTGCGTCGCAAGCGCGTTTGCTGGGGACGAGGGACAGGGCCTTCTCTGCGGTAGCCCCCCAACTCTGGAACTTTCTCCCCAAGGACAACAGACAAGCCCCAACATTGGCAGTCTTTAGGAAGAGCTTGAAGACCTGGCTGTTCCAGTGTGCCTTTCCAGAATAGGAAACTCCCAGCATCATGTCCCAAACACACTTTATTAGAGATTTAAGATTGCCTGCACATCGCACCTACCCTTAAGCTTACAAATCCTTACATTTCACCTGTCATGTCCAGCACTTTTAATTTTATTCATTACATGTGGCCCGGCCCTTAATTTTAAATGTGTCATGATGTTATTGTTTTAATGTTTTACTGTTATTGTTTTAATGTTTATTGGTTTGCTTTATGAGTTTTATTGTTGTATTTGTTATGCTGTCGTTTTATTGAGGGCCTTGGCCTTTGTAAGCTGCACCGAGTCCTTCGGGAGATGTTAGCGGGGTATAAATAAAGTTAATAATAATAATAATAATAATAATAATAATAATAATAATAATAGAAGTGTGTCCTCAGTTATCTTTGTAAACTCTGGCTTCAATGTGGATGGAGTACAAATCAAAACAAATCAACACAATTATCTTTTCATTTCATGCAATTAATTTTCAACAGTTCTAGAATATAGTAATATTTTTTTCCCCCCGCAAAAGAACATCAGATGGGATAGTGCCCTTGGAAAGAACCACTCACCATTCTACAAAGTGTGATGACATCAGCAAATCAAAAGATGAAGAAAAGGTAATCCTTTTAATGGAAGTGTTCAGCTGTAGAAGTCTTTTGTTTGTTCTGTTATGTGCCTTCAGTACTATCATGAGGTTTTCTTGGCACAATTCATTCAGAGGATTTGTCATTGCCTTCTGAGGATGACAGTGTGATTTCCAATGGCTAGGCAGGAATTTGAACATTGGTCTTCCAGATTCCTAGTCCAACACTCAAAATGCTACACAGTGCTGCCTTTCTCATAGAATCATAGAGTTGGAAGAGACCTCATGGGCCATCCAGTCCAACCCCCGCCAAGAAGCAGGAAAATTGCATTCAAAGCTCCCCCGACAGATGGCCAACCAGCCTCTGTTTAAAAGCTTCCAAAGAAGGAGCCTCTACCACATTCCGGAGCAGAGAGTTCCACCGCTGAACAGCTCTCACAATCAGGAAGTTCTTTCTAATGTTCAGATGAAATCTCCTTTCTTGTAGTTTGAAGCCATTCTTCCTCATCCTGGTCTTCAGGGCAGCAAAAAACAAGCCTGCTCCCTCCTCCCTATGACTTTCTCTCACATATTTATACATGGCTATCATGTCTCCTCTCAGCTGTCTCTTCTTCAGGCTAAACATGCCCAACTCTTTAAGCCGCTCCTCATAGGGCTTGTTCTCCAGGCCCTTGATTATTGGACACATTCCAGCTTGTCTCCTATTACACTACATTGTCTCTCCTGTATTCAGTTAGTCATTAGTTAAAACCATTACTATATTTTGACATTTACTGCTATATTTCTATTTATATGGAATGAAAATAAAATAACTTCAAGAATTCTGGTTATAAACAGATTTTTCACATTTTAATGTCATACTCCTAGTTTCTCTATATACAATTTTTTTTAAATAACTGATTTTAAAAAAGAGATTTTTTGTGTTTTACAGAATAAAGAAGAGTTAATTGGTTCATATTTATTCACTAACAATGAACAAATTATACATTATCTGGTAGGTATTAAATTATGTATCTATGTTGTCTGTTTTACTAGTCTAGATGTGGAGGTGCCTTAAAAATATAATGTAATTATATCAAGATATAATTTGATTGTTATTTGCTGTGCAAACAATATTTTGGTTAAACTTGCTCTTTTCTACACACCATATAAATACCCTCACCTCAGTGTTCTTCTATAATAATTGCTATTTTCCAGTGCAAGCACAAGTGAATGTTTTCAATTTTGTGCCTAAAGCAAAATAACTATTGTGGTAGAGCTTCATAAATTGCAAACAATATATGGCAAATAAAGATTACTTGCTAATGGGACATAGTTATCTTAAAATGAAAACAAAAATAACTTTTGAAAAGTAGATTCCAAGGCTAAAAGGAAATGTACCTATGTATTAATGCCAGTGCTCTTCATTATGAAAAAAATCCATAGTGCTATGGTACTCAGTGGTAATGATAGAAATACGTTCTCTGAATTCAGGGCTAATTTTCTCCCGTCACCTAGAATATGTCACCACACAGGTTGTATTACAACTCTAACATATATGGAAGCAGATAGAACCCCCTTTCTATTTTCACCACTCCGGATTGCCTCAGTCGAGGAGGCCTGACCCCCCACCAGGATCACTGAGATGTTGGGGAGTTCATCCATCGCCAGAGGAGCCTCAGCAAGGCCAACGATGCGATCAGCTGGCCCAGTTCTCTTCCTGGCTGACCATGGGCAACCGGTTGGGTCCTGGTCAAAAGGGCATTCTCCGCGAAAAAGGCAGTCATGTTGGACCGCAGTGCCCGGGCCAGCAGTCGATTGCCATCTCTCCGGACCTTGATCAAACATCGGCGTAGACAATCCCCGTCTCGCTGTCTGGGTTGATCCACACTCCCAAGCCACCGCATGGGCTTGGCCTCATGCAAGACGCTCCGAGTCCCTTGGGGAGATGGTAGCGGGGTATAAATAAGGCTATTATTATTATTATTATTATTATTATTATTAGGATGAGGCAAGTTGTGTGCAGGGGGAACGGGAGGTGGCTGTGCATCATTTGAAAGGGAAATCATTTCTGTGGATGTCTAGGGATGACAGTTTTTCTTTGGTATGTGGATGAACATCTTTGTTTTTTGAAAGTGGAACATTTAAGTTGTCACTTATATTCAAGTTAGTTTCATCTCACTGACTTTTATACGAAACTAGGGGTTTTTTTTTGTATGTATGATACAGTGGGGAAAAACGGTATTTAGTCAGATACCAATTGTACAAGTTCTCCTACTTAAAAAGATGTGAGAGGCCAGTAACTGACATCATAGGTAGACCTCAACTATGATAGACAACATGAGAAAACACATCCAGAAAATCACATTGTCTGATTTTTAACGAATTTATTTGCAAATTATGGTGGAAAATAAGTATTTGGTCCATGACAAAAGTTCATCTCAATACTTTGTTATATATTCTTTATTGACAATGACAGATGTCAAATGTTTTCTGTAAATCCTCACAAGGTTGGGACACACTGTTGCTGGTATGTTGGCCCATTACTCCATGCAGATCTCCTCAAGAGCAGTGATGTTTTGGACTTTCAGCTCCCTCCAAAGTTTTTCTATAGGGTTGTGATTTTTCTCATGTTGCCTTTCATAGTTGAGGTCTACCTATGATGTCAATTACAGCCCTCTCTCATCTTTTTAAGTTGGAGAACTTGTACAGTTGGTATTTGACTAAATACTCCCCCCCCGCCCCCCCCACACACACTGTATTAGGACTCCAAAAAATTAACCGCATGACTGACTGCACTAAGCATGTAACTGAACTTTATGTGCTTGCAATCAATTGTACTTTTCCTCGTTTAATATTTTGACTTGTGTTATATCTCTTTTCAGCAAACCTTTCAAATAGGGGATGAATATGATGCTGCATTTATCTTGAAAGTTGTCCAGATACTTACTGATTCATTGGTGGTGTATCGTCAGAAGGTTTCAGAAACAAAAGTAATTTCCTCTTAATATTTCCACTATTTCTTATAGGATTAGATAAGTTCTAAACTGCTTAGCAAACTGATGCATACAATTATTATTTTAAAAACTGCTTTTTAAAAAAAATCATGATTCTTCACAAAGGCCCCTGGCAACCTCTCAAGGGTTTCAGGAACCTCTGGTTGAAAATGGGATTTTTCACTGGGACATTGCTTTAACTTCTTAAAACTGCAGTGGTCAAAGCAGAGGAGGACAAGTTGAGCTGGATTTCCTGGCATGATGTGCCACAGATCAGTCCCAGTATTTTACAGCACAAGTTTTCTAAAATTCCCTTAATTATATCACTGAAATTAAGAAATACTTGTGTAGAAGTATATATGAAAGGAGGTTTTTTTTTTTCCTTATTGCTCAGGGAATTTTTCCTTATTATATATTTGATGATGATAAGAATGATCTTGCTTTAATGTTTATATTTATACTATTTTTCCCAAACTAAACATTGAGAAGAGATTTTGTATGAGATAATACTTTTGGACTGGAGGTAGTATATTTTTTATTTGTACCAAACCATTTCCCATAAATGTTTTCCATATATATGTTGATATATCCAAGTTCCCCTTTTTTAAAATTTTCACTGTTTTTATAATTTGATTATAATGAAATCTGCTTGGCAATCCCATTTCTCCTTTTATTTTTTTCTGATACAGATTTTCAGCTAATACTTATGATCATCTAAATTTCTTATATTTTCTGCTACCAAATTTTCACCTAACTATTCTGAATTGTAAAAAAAAAAAAAAGTAATGCGTAGGGACATTATTCTTAGTAGAATTACTATCTTTATAGGCTGCTTTCTTCCCAGGCAAGATAATGGATATATTTCCCAGCTGCTCAGATCTTTCTCCGTTTCTGATGTTAATAGGCTACAGTTATGGTCTTGCATTTTTCTTAAATTTGGATTTACTCTTTTCAAAAGAGTATTGAAACTCAAGGTTTTATTTAATAGACATCATCACCTTTGAAAAACACAATTTATTGCATTCTAAGTATTTACTGAAATAACTTTCATATTGTATACAAAATGTACTTTTAGGACTTTTCTGAATCAAATCCAGAAGAAAACGTTGACGAGTCAGAACCGTTGCAGATGACATCTGAGACAGATGATGAACCTAACACTGGTAAGAAGCTGAGAACTTGAGAGGATGGTTGCTTGAACTTTGAGAAAAAAATCAAGCGGCCAACAGACAAAGTCCAGTGTTAAAAAGGGCTAAGAGATTAATGCTGTTGATGCAAAATAAATAAATAGTTGTGAGAGCTAAAATATTTACTAATGAATAAGTCACCCTCATGTATAAGTCAAGGGCAGATTTTAGGGCCGAAATTATGAATATCGATATAACCCATAGATAAGATAAAAGTTATTCCATGGAGATGTGAAAGCAGAAATGCTGTCCCAGGTCCAGAAGCCCCTTGCCACTGCTGCTATCTCCCTGTCCAGGCATTCAAATAAGCGAGAAGTGATGCCATGGCAGAGAAAAGCCATGTTTTAACTTGCCTCCGAAACGTTAAGAGGGAGGGAGCAGATCTAATCTCCCTATGGAGGGTGTTCCATAGCCAAGGGGCCACCACTGAGAGGCCCTGTCTCTCGTCCCTGCTAAACGTACTTGAGATGAAGGCAGGGCCGAGAGCAGGGCCTCCCCAGACAATCTTAGAATTCTCGATGGTTTGTAAGGGGAGACACGTTCAGACAGGTAAGTTGGGCCAGAACCGGTTAGGGCTTTATAGGCCAAATCCAGTACTTTGAATTGGGCCCAGTAGCAAACCGGCAGCCAGTGGAGCTGGCGCAACAAGGAAGTTGTATGCTCCCTGAGCGCCATTCCTGTTAGCAACCTGGCTGCTGTTCGTTGGACTAGTTGAAGCTTCTGGACCGTCTTCAAAGGCAACCCTACCTAGAGAGCATTGCAGTAGTCTATATGGGATGTAACCAGAGCGTGGACTACCGTTGCCAAGTCACACTTCCCAAAGAACGGGCGTTTTAACTGTGCAAATGCTCCCCTGGTCACCGCTGAAACCTGAGGTTCCAGACTCAGAGATGAATCCAGGATCACTCCCAAGCTGCGAACCTGCGTCTTCAGGGGGAGTGTAACCCCATCCAACACAGGCTGTAACCCTATGCCTTGTTCAGCCTTGCGACTGACCAGGAGTATCTCTGTCTTGTCTGGATTCAATTTCAATTTGTTCGCCCTCATCCAGACCGTCACAGCGGCCAAGCAATGATTTTATTGGTATAGATTAATCAAAATGTAACATTAAGTTTTCATATATTTTTATATCTGTGTTTTTATGTATTTGTTTTAGTTTTTGCCACCTACATTCAGGTTTAGCTTTGGACTTTAAATTATAATTATGGCTGCACCATATTGTGATTGATGACTAGCAACATTTTATATGAAATATCTGCTTTGAATTATAATTATGGCTGCACCATATTGTGATTAATGACTAGCAACATTTTATATTAAACTAGCTTGGGGACCCGGCAATGCCCGGGTTACATGATAAAGACCTCACAACCTCAGGATGCTTGCCATAGATGCAGGTGAAACGTCAGGAGATAATGCCTCTAGAACATGGCCATACAGCCCGAAGAAAGCTACAACAACCCAGTGATTCCAGCCATGAAAGCCTTTGACACTACATTGAGAAAGGCATTGTTTGTTTTGGAAATTTTGGTAATATCTCTGGGTGCAGGGTGAACAATTCCCACACAGGCAGGTCATTGCCTCCTAAATCCCTCCAGTATGTTATGTTAGCCTGGGTTATTTGAAAAAGGTACTATTTGTTTGGGGTGTTAGGTAATATCCGTTTGGTAATTTGTAGCTCTATTTCTTAGAAAAAAGCCAGAATTTCCTGTTGTTTTTATGAATGCTCGCATTAGAAAATGCATAAGGATGTGGGTGAACTGTATTTCCCAAAATCGTGGACCAATCACCCCAAACCCCACCGGTATTCAAAGCTTGCCATGTTGGGTCTGTGTGCCATGTTTGGTAATTCTTCTGGAACATGCAACATATCGTTGTCCTTCTTTAGGGACCCCTTTCAAATCTATGATATTATATCTGTCCGCCCTGTGCTGGCAGGACTGAAGACCGACAGGTCGCAGGTTCGAGTCCGGGGAGAGGTGGTTGAGCTCCCTCTATCAGCTCCAGCTCCTCATGCGGGGACATGAGAGAGGCCTCCCACAGGGATGATAAAACATCAAAAATCATCCGGGCGTCCCCTGGGCAACGTCCTTGCAGACGGCCAATTCTCTCACGACAGGATGCTCCTGACACGACAAAAAGAAAAAAAAAAGAAAAAAATCTGTGTGTGAATCATATAGATCTATCTATATCTATGGCTGGATGGCTCTTTGTCAGGAGGGCTTTAATTAGATTTTCTTGCCCTGGTGAAGAGAGTTGGACTGGATGGCCTTAAGTATTTTCTGTTGGTCATGTGGGCTCTGTGTGGGAAATTTGCACCAATTCTGTCGTTTGTGGGGTTCAGAATGCTCTTTGATTGTAGGTGAACTATAAATCCCAGTAACTACAACTCCCAAATGTTGAGGTCTATTTTCCCCAAACTCCATCTGTGTTCATATTTGGGCATATGGAATATTCGTGCCAAGTTTGGTCCAGATCCATCATTGTTTGAGTCCACAGTGCTCTCTGGATGTAGATGAACTACAACTCCCAAACTCAAGGTCAATGCCCACCAAACCCTTCTAGTGTTTTCTGTTGGTCAGGGGAGTTCTGTGTGTCACTTTTGGTTTAATTCCATCATTGGTGGAGTTCAGAATGCTCTTTGATTGCAGGTGAACTATAAATCCCAAGAACTACAACTCCCAAATGACAAAATCAAACATTTTTGAGTGAAGGACATACAGTGGGTTGTTAAATGTATGCTGTACAAATTTGGTGTCAATTCGCCCACTGGTTTTTGAATTCTGTTAATCCCACAAATGAACATTACATTTTTATTTATATAGATATCTGCTTTGAATTATAATTATGGCTGCACCATATTGTGATTGATGACTAGCAACATTTTATATTAAATATCTGCTTTGAATCAGTAAGTCATTTTGAAGAGAAGATAGACTGCATGTCTGATTTTTTTTCCTTTTCACAGAAAGAAAGCATTTAAATTAATGTAGGGCATGCTTGAAAAAACAATTACCAATGTACCTTTAAAATGTGCTTTCTCCCGTATTCTTGTATCCCTAAAAAAATTAGTTATCTAGCTATTTTTCTGTCCTATAGGTTTTCCTGAAAAGTCATCTGAAAAGCAGTCATCTGAAGTTATGGAAACAGTCAATCCACAAAAGAAGCGGAAAGCATCACCACCGAGTGTAAATGAGAAACGTAAACATTTTAAGCATGGGATTTCTGCATCCACATTGGTAGATGCACCCAATGAACAGGCTTCTCTTGGTAAAATTTCTGCATCAGACAGAAAACCTTCATTTCCAAATATGTCAGATATACCCATTGGCTCTATTCCTGGTTCGTCAGCGTCTAAGAGTCATATTTCAAAGTTGCTCAGTAGTGTAAGAAAGAATGCTGGTGAAGTTGCTGCCACCTCGCCCAAACCAACTGCGTTGAACCCATCATTACGTGGTAATTTGCTTTTCTGTACTGTTCTGTATGTATGTGTCATGTGCACCAAACACCCTACTTTTTAGGTTCTAACTATGAGATTTGACAAATAGCTAGCCACTAAAATTAAGTAGATCAAGGCAGGGGTGGATTAAATTCTTATTATCTATCAGTGGTTAATCATAAAACTGCTCATCGTTAAACACAGTTCAAGGCTTAAGGAATAAATGTATAATTATTTCTCCCTTGGGTTCCTCCATCATATTCTCACTGCTTTAACCATGATTCATAATTGCATTGGTGCCACCATTTAGTATAGTACATGCCAGTAAAGGGTTCTGTTACCCAGGGCCGTAGCCAGAAAAAAATTTCGGGAGGGGTTGAAATTTTCGGGGAGGGGGGGTTGAAATTTTTGCAGGGGGGTTTAAAACCTGCCTCCTAGCTCACGCTGAAGCAAAGAGCACAGCAGGGGGCAGAGCAGCCTTCAATAGCCTGCAGCTCCGCCCTTGTCAACCACCTCCACCAAGTCTGGCCTCCTTAATGACAGCATTTAACCCCCCCCCCCCCCAACTTGATTGCTTCACTACTGTTCTGTCGCGCGCTGGGCCTGTAAATAATTGTCTTTAGAACAGGATGTGCAACCTTTGCTCAGCGGGAACCCAGGGGGCCTAAAGAGAAGTTCTCAGAGGTTTCCACCACAAACAGTCTTTAGATGGCTTGAGAAGTACAACAAAGTCTTTTATTAATGAACAATCAAACAAAAACTTCTCTTTTCTTCAGTAAAGTTAAGCAAATGATTCCAAGCTTTTAGGCAACTAGTGAATTCCTAATCTTGCCCACGAAGGACAAGCAACTGTCTTCAATAACCTCTTCTTTAAAGGAAAATCCCCGTTTTAACTTCTAGGCTGACTGTAAGCTAACCCTTACTGATGTGGGCTCCGCTACCTGGTCGAACTGCATCTCGAACACTGAGTGGACCTACCAGCAAGGCAGTAGATGTTCTCCAGCTGGAGTTCTTTGGTCTTTAGGGCTGTTTTCCTGGAAATTCTTTGGAGACTCTTAAGACTTTTCTCCCCCGGAAGGTCTTCAGGGTTGAAGCTTTTGTACAGGGGAAGCTTGCACACATCCTATACATAAGCTTACCTTGCTGATACTAACTAAAAATGGCTCCCTTCCCTTCCCAATTGCCCTGAGCAAGGGGCGAGACCAAAACTTAACAATGATGGACAGGTGACTTGCCCTATGACTGCAACCAAAGAAGCCACCTATCTGCAGAGTCCCTGAAACCTAGGACTGCAAGCAAACATTTAATACAAAGCAAATAAAGTTGGAGCTCCTGGTACAGCTGTACCAGTACAACTACATCGGCTATTGCTGCAAGTAATGACAGTGTGAATAAATTGCTAATATTTGCTTGAGATAGTGCTTGCAGTTCTGGAGGGACTCTTGATTTTTTGCATCTCATAGACTTAGCATGGGGATTTGGTTAACCAGGTAAAATTCATGAGTAAACCAGGTTTTTAAAAAAAATCTGAAACATTTGGGGGGGGGGGGTTGAACCCCTAACCCCTCCCCCCCCCCTTGCTACGGGCCTGCTGTTACCAAAGATTTTGAAATAGCATGCAAGACCTAGTAAGTTGACTGTTGGTATCATTGTTAGCCAGTATTGATGGTACATGAACAGTCCTTCATTTTAAGTCTATCTCTCTGGGCCCTTAACTCATCTGCTTGACATTAGTTTCAGAGCGTTTAACTTTTAAGAAGCAGATTCTTATTTAGCTAGAAGAATTTACAGAAAACCCTATAAAAATATACTATTAAAAACAGGAAAATTCTAGACAACAGTTTTATAACAAAGCCCATCTGTCGTGAAGAAACAAGCCATTCCTCTCATTTTTGTGTCTCAAGCCATGGTATTTCCACAAACTTAGTTGCCAATATTTATTATAGTGATGGAATTATCTATATATAAGTTGGAACTTGTATGTTTAATTTTATTTTTGATAACTTGGCTCTCTGCTTTTCTCTTTGATCAAGGAAATGAAGTTAAAAAGACGATAAAGATCAACATTCAAAATGTGACCCTGAAATCCAAGAAGAATGCCCGCACCACTTGAAGGAAGATAATTAGTTATTTTATGTTGTTTTATATTGTGCTCAAAACTGTGTTTTAAAAGTTTAGATGAATATTTTTTTTCTTATCTGATTTGTTTCTTCCCATTACTTCCCCTTTATAAACTATGGTTGTGGTGTATATTTAATTTTAGTTTTGATTTTTTTGTTATTAATATTTAAAATGGTGTTTAGTTACACCAAAGAAGTTGCGTAAGTATTTTAATGCATAAACCTTTACTTTTAATGTTATGTTACTCAGTATTCTGTGCTGACACATAAAAGCATAAAAGCTGAAGAAGAAATGAAAAGAATATTAACAATCCAGTCCTGTGCACTCGGAAGGAAGGCCCATGTAGCGGGTAATGCGCATAATATTGCAGCCAAATAGAGGAACATTCAGTGCAAGAAATAGCTACATTGGTCCTCTGATATTTTCATATTCAGCAGTAAAGGGAGAAACATCATTTGGATGGGTTCTTTCCACTCACTGAAGTTTATTTTGTATCAAAAGCATTGCATAAATTAGTATAAAACTGATAAAATGGAAGGTATGCAGGTGGCTAAATATCTTTTGACCAAAAAACGGGCAACAGCAATGGCATTGTCTGTAGCCTCCAACAATTCCTCCTCTTTACATGAGGCAGGGCACAATGGACAAGCCTACAGATGCAGAGTTGTCTGTTCTGCTTCACTGTGAAGGTATGGGACACAAGGTATGGGATTCTTTTAGGTTGTGCTATTTCGCCAGGTTGTCTTTTGATCTGCCCACTCCGCTTCTGAGTCTATTCAGGGACTTCCAGACTGCCCATTCTTGGTTTGCCCCTGGATGAAGAACTTTGTTGGGGGGGGGGGGGCATCCAGTTGGGATTTCCTGGTTTAGCTGCCCAGATGGATACCCTTGCTGTTGCTGGGGGACGCCAAGAGGAGTGGTAGTTCTCATAAAGCTTTTCCTTGATTTGTGTCTACTGGGAGGAGGCTGGTAGCCATGCACTGGGTGGCTTTCACAGTGTTCAACCTTATTTCTCTCACATTTAGCAGTAACTTCCCGTTGCACATCTAGGGGCGGGGGGGGGGGGGGATGCCAGGATGTTATTGTGTGCAGCTACTTTGTGCTTAGTGTTCAAGCAGTGTTTCCTATATGCTAATGACTCCAAGATATTTAGGATGGAAACAGTGTTCAAGTTCTTGACCTTCCCAGGTGACTTTCAATTTCCTGTTGGCTTCACGGTTTCTTAGATGGAAGGCACATATTTGTGTTTTGGCAGGGTTAGGCTTAGTTATCTTTGAAGTAGCTGGAGAGATCTTTCAAGGCATTAGTAAATTGGATTTCAACTATTTTAAAGTCTTTTGCTTGTGTTGTTAGGCCAAGGTCATCAGGATATACTCACCAAAATAAGCAAGAATGAGATGAACATGTTTCATTTCCGGATTGAAGATATGGGTGGAGCAGAGAAAAGATAAAGGGAAAGACAACTCCCTCTTCTCAACTATTTACATGTTGGTTGTTAGCAACTATGGCCAGGGAAATGGCTGCATTCTTTTTATATTGTACAACTACTGTCCTTGTTTGGTGACTTCCCAGCAGATTGGAGGTGGGCCAATATGGTCCCAACCTTCAAGAAGGGAAAAAAGGATGACCCAAACAATTACCGTCCGGTCAGCCTCACGTCAATACCAGGCAAGATTCTGGAAAAAATTGTTAAGGAAGTGGTCTGCAAACACTTAGAAACAAATGCGGTCATCGCTAATAGTCAACATGGATTTATCAAAAAGAAAAAGAAAAATGGGTTCCCCTGAAACTGTGGAGACCAAAATCCACTGATTGTGGTAATATGAAAATAACTAAATTAACTCAATGTATATATTACAAATACACATATCAAAAAAATGCCACATTCACATTAAGTAGAAACAACTGGTTCTTCTCTTGAAATATAAAACAAAGTCTTCGTTTGAGAAAATGTCCCTGCTCTCTATTGCATATGAGTAGACTCCAGTAGTCACATGAATTGACTCCAACCTGCAACCAGTTTCGACTCACAAGAGCCTTCGTCAGGCGGTTGGGTCTACAAACAACATATATCATGAATACACATATACAGTTGAACAATTTGTTATAACAAGTTTGTAAGAATATATACAGAAACTCTACTTACTCAAATTATCAAAAAAAGCTCAACTTTTGAGGTGAGAAATTCACCAACAGTCTTCTGGAGGGGTGGATCCTAAAGGGACATAGATAGTGGCTCAAGGTACATTGTGACATAAATTATAAACCATAGAGAAATAATATCTATGAAACAAAAATAATATAATACTCCCAGCTATTCTTTGTTGAGCAATATACCCCGCAAGGAGTTTTATTCTGTGGCTTCTCTGTGTAGTCTGACATGGTGGTTGCGAGAGTGGTCCAGCATTTCTGTGTTCTCAAAATGCTGTGTCCCGGTTGGTTCATCAGGTGCTCTGCTATGGCTGACTTCTCTGGTTGAAGTAGTTTGCAGTGCCTTTCACGTTCCTTGATTCGTGTTTGGGCGCTGCGTTTGGTGGTCCCTATGTAGACTTGTCCACAGCTGCATGGTATACGGTAGACTCCTGCAGAGGTGAGAGGATCCCTCTTGTCCTTTGCGGAACGTAGCATTTGGACCACCAAACGCAGCGCCCAAACACGAATCAAGGAACATGAAAGGCACTACAGACTACTTCAACCAGAGAAGTCAGCCATAGCAGAGCACCTGATGAACTAACCTGGACACAGCATATTATTTGAGAACACAGAAATGCTGGACCACTCACAACCACCATGTCAGACTACACAGAGAAGCCACTGAAATCCACAAGCATGTGGACAATTTCAACAGAAAGGAAGAAACCATGAAAATGAACAAAATCTGGCTACCAGTATTAAAAAACTCTAAAATTACAACAGCAAAACAACAGAGAGTAAACAATCAGGCACATCAAATCACTCTCAACAAAAGATTCCCCCCAGGCACTTCCAAGCCATTAAATGCTAATCAAGGTGATCAGTTGAAACATTCACACCTAGCTCCAGCAGACAAAAGTCCTTTGTCCCACCCTAGTCATTCCACAGAGATATAAACCCATTTTCCTACTTCCAACAGACCTCACTACCTCTGAGGATGCTTGCCATAGATGCAGGCAAAACGTCAGGAGAAAATGCTTCTAGACAGTGATGGGCAACCTTTTGAGCGTGGTGTGTCAAAATTCGCCAAAAAACTGAGCATAATTCAGGTGGTGTGTTACTTCAAGAAAAAAACCATAATTTCGCAATATTTAGTTTAAATAACAAAAATATATAATTGTAATTCCCACTTTCTCTCTTATCATGTTGTTCTACCTCTCTTTATGTAAATAATATCCTTTTTGGAGTGTTTAATAAAAATATAATTTTAAAAACCCAACAAAATACAATTTTTAATTTAATGTAAATGTATTTCTAGCATTTAATATGCTGTTTAATGTATTTCTAATAATAATAATAATGCAATAATAATAAAGTAACATTGCAAAATAATATTTTGATATTTAATTTACCATTTCATTTAAGGCATATATATATTTAAGGCATATATTAAAAATATTAAAAATGCATTAAATTAAAATGCATTAAATTAAATGTCAAATAAAAATTCAATTTACCATTTCATTTAAGACATTCTGAAATATTTGAGTAAGATAGAAAAGTAATATTATTTATCATTTAATTTAATTTAAATATGTAACTCCTTAATATTTAGGAAACAATGCAAAATAATATTCATTTACTTAATAATTAAATAAACTAATATTATTTTGCAATTGGTTTGTTTCCTTTGCAAAAAGAGAAAACTCATGTAACCAGGAAGAAAGGAACTGCGCGCGGCTGAAGAGGTGGACCCAGGAACGTTTGAAATGGGCGGAGCCTTCTTTCCAGGAGGCCAATGGGAATGGAGATACAGGGAAGAGGCATGGCCTTTCCCGCCCAGGGCTTTTACTTGAATGAAGAGTGGGCAGGGCTTCGGCCTGCTTTTGCGAGCAGTAGGGAAGAGGCCCCTTTCCACGCATGCGCGGAATTGATTCTATGGAGGCTTACTTCAGCCTGGGGTTTCTCTCTATGGCAGTGTTTCTCAACCTTCCTATTGCCACGACCCCTTAATAAAGTTCCTCCTGTTGTGGTGACCCCCAAACCATAAAATCATTTTCATTACTACTTCATAACTCATTTTGCTACTGATATCAATTGTAATGTAAATATCTGATGTATTTTCATTTACTGGACCAAATTTGGCACAAATACTCAATACACCCAAGTTTTAATACTTGTGGGGTTTGGGGGGGGGGGTTGATTTTGTCATTGGGGAGTTGTAGTAGCTGGGAGTTATAGTTCACCTGCAATCAAAGAGCCTTCTGAACTCCACCAATGATCTAAGGAAGTAATGCTACCCCTCTATTCTGCTTTGGTTAGACCACATCTGGAATATTGTGTCCAATTCTTGGCACCACAATTCAAGAGAGATATTGACAAGCTGGAATGTGTCCAGAGGAGGGTGACTAAAATGATCAAGGGTCTGGAGAACAAGCCCTATGAGGAGCGGCTTAAGGAGCTGGGCATGTTTAGCCTGAGGAAGAGAAGGTTGAGAGGAGATATGATAGCCATGTATAAATATGTGAGAGGAAGCCACAGGGAGGAGGGAAGCAAGCTTGTTTTCAGCTTCCTTGGAGACTAGGACGCGGACAATGGCTTCAAATTACAAGAGAGGAGATTCCATCTGAACATTAGGAAGAACTTCCTGACTGTGAGAGCTTCAGCAGTGGAACTCTCTGCCCCGGAGTGTGGTGGAGGCTCCTTCTTTGGAAGCTTTTAAGCAAAGGCTAGATGGCCATCTGTCAGGGGTGATTTGAATGCAATATTCCTGCTTCTTGGCAGGGGGTTGGACTGGATGGCCCATGAGGTCTCTTCCAACTCTTTGATTCTATGAATGATGGAATTGAACCAAACTTGGCACACGGAATGCCCATGACCAACAGGGGTCCCGACCCCAAGGTTGAGAAACACTGCTCGATGGAATAAGTTACTTTCTTTCCTATCTATTTTTTAAAATGGCATAAAATAAATAAATAATATCCAGCAGGTGCATGTCAGTAGAAATGGCTACGCGTGTCAGTACTGACACGCGTGTCATAGGTTGGCCATCATGGCTCTAGAACATGGCCATATAGCCCGGAAAAACCTACAACAACCCAGTGATTCCGGCCATGAAAGCCTTCGACAATACTTTCTCATTACTTTTCCAGATCACCAGACTGGGCCACAGCAACGCGTGGCAGGGGACAGCTAGTACATATTAAAATGTTGTTGTTCATTCGTTCAGTCGCTTCCGACTCTTCGTGACCTCATGGACCAGCCCACGCCAGAGCTCCCTGTCGGCCGTCACCACCCCCAGCTCCTTCAAGGTCAGTCCAGTCACTTCAAGGATGCCATCCATCCATCTTGCCCTTGGTCGGGCCCCTCTTCCTTTTACCTTCCACTTTCCCCAGCATAATTGTCTTCTCTAGGCTTTGCTGTCTCCTCATGATGTGGCCAAAGTACTTCAACTTTGTCTCTAGTATCCTTCCCTCCAGTGAGCAGTTGGGCTTTATTTCTTGGAGGATGGACTGGTTGGATCTTCTCGCAGTCCAAGGCACTCTCAGAACTTTCCTCCAACACCACAGTTCAAAAGCATCTATCTTCCTTCGCTCAGCCTTCCCTAAGGTCCAGCTCTCACATCCGTAGGTTACTACAGGGAATACCATGGCTTTAACTAGGCGGATCTTTGTTGCCAGTCTGATGTCTCTACTCTTTACTATTTTATCGAGACTGGACATTGCTCTCCTCCCAAGAAGTAAGCGTCTCCTGATTTCCTGGCCACAGTCTGCATCTGCAGTCATCTTTGCACCTAGAAATACAAAGTCTGTCACGGCCTCCACATTTTCTCCCTCTATTTGCCAGTTGTCAATCATTCTTGTTGCCATTGTTGTTCATTCGTTCAGTCGTCTCCGACTCTTCGTGACCTCATGGACCAGCCCACGCCAGAGCTCCCTGTCGGCCGTTACCACCCCCAGCTCCCTCAAGGTCAGTCCAGTCACTTCAAGGATGCCATCCATCCATCTTGCCCTTGGTCGGCCCCTCTTCCTTTTGCCTTCCACTTTCCCCAGCATAATTGTCTTCTCTAGGCTTTCCTGTCTCCTCATGATGTGGCCAAAGTACTTCCCTAAGGTCCAGCTCTCACATCCATAGGTTACTACAGGGAATACCATGGCTTTGTCTCGGCGGATTTTTGTTGCCAGTGTGATGTCTCTACTCTTTACTATTTTATCGAGACTGGACATTGCTCTCCTCCCAAGATGTAAGTGTCTCCTGATTTGTCTCTTCTCCTTGCTGCCATAATCTTGGTTTTTTTGATGTTTAGCTGCAACCCGGCTTTTGCGCTTTCTTCTTTCACCTTGATTAGAAGGCTCCTCAGCTCCTCCTCGCTTTCGGCCATCAGAGTGGTGTCATCTGCATATCTGAGGTTGTTAATGTTTCTTCCAGCAATTTTCACCCCAGGTTTGCATATTAAAATACACAGCACAACATTCACAGGGCATGAGTTTACAATTTATGCTTAAAAGTGGTCGAAAGGGTCTGCCAGAAAGCTTAAGCAGGCTACTAGGAGGAAACCTGCCCACCTCCTCCAAGAACACAACAGCTTCTCAGAACCCCCTCTGAGACTGAGGAGTCAAGGCAAACGAAAACCCAGTTCTCGCGAGAGCTCCATGCGAGATCTCTAAGCTCCCGCGAGATCCTCTTTGGTAGAGGACGGCCGTCGCGAGATGAGGAGTTGATTGGGCGAGCCTGTCGCGCGGCGGCCTGGCCGGAGAGGAGTTGCCAGTGGCGCGTGGTAGGCGAGCGAGGGGCCTGGTGGTTGTGGTGAACCCAACGCCCTGGGGATGAGGAGGCCTCTCCTGAGCGTCGCGCGCCCTTTTTGAAAAGCCGGCGCGGGGTTGGGCCTGTGAGGGAGCGGGGCCGGGCTCTTCACTCTCCGGCAATGGACAGGCGGGGAGTGGGACCCCTGGCTGTTTTCCCCTCCGCTCTTTCTTCCTTCCTCAGTTTCTCCTCTTTCCCAACCGCTGGCTCTCCAACCATGGCGCTTTCCCCTCTCATTCCTTGCTCTTCCTCAGAGGCAGGGCCACTGCTTCGCCTCGCTCCTTGCTCTCTTTTCCTTCTCTCCCTGGTTGGTCGGGAAGGGCAGCCAGGTGCGGTGACTCCTCAGTCAGAGCTTCTGCCACTTTCCCCAAGACCTTTTTACATGACAGCAGGTATATAGATCAATCAAGCCCACAGACGACACCAAATTGGGAGGGATAGCCAATACTCCAGAGGACAGGAGCAGGATTCAAAACGATCTTGACAGATTAGAGAGATGGGCCAAAACTAACAAAATGAATAGGTTCTTGTAGGTTTTTTCGGGCTATAGGGCCATGTTCTAGAGGCATTTCTCCTGACGTTTCGCCTGCATCTATGGCAAGCATCCTCAGAGGTAGTGAGGTCTGTTGGAAATAGGAAAATGGGTTTACATATCTGTGGAATGACTGGGGTGGGGCAAAGAGCTCTCTGGTGAAGTTGGGTGTGAATGCGAACCCCACCTCCTCCAAGATGAACTGAACCACCTCAACTGGGCTCTACAGGCCAATGGATACTCCACCTCAGACATCAGAAGAGCTGCAAGACCAAGAACAAGCCACGAGAGTAAAGATGAAGATCCACCCAGAGGAAAAGTGTTCCTGCCATACATCAAGGGAACCACTGACCGCATAGGGAAGCTGATGAGGAAACACAACATACAAACAATCTACAAACCCACCAAGAAAATCCAAAAAATGCTACGTTCAGCAAAGGACAAGAGGGATCCTCTCACCTCTGCAGGAGTCTACCGTATACCATGCAGCTGTGGACAAGTCTACATAGGGAGCACCAAACACATCACCCAAACATGAATCAAGGAACATGAAAGGCACTGCAGACTACTTCAACCAGAGAAGTCAGCCATAGCAGAGCACCTGATGAACCAGCCTGGACACAGCATATTATTTGTGAACACAGAAATGCTGGACCACTCCAACAACCATCATGTCAGACTACACAGAGAAGCCATTGAAATCCACAAGCATGTGGACAATTTCAACAGAAAGGAGGAGACCATGAAAATGAACAAAATCTGGCTACCAGTATTAAAAAACTCTAAAATTAACACAGCAAAACAGCAGAGAAGAAACAATCAGGCACATTTTAACACCTCTCAACAGAACATTTTCCCAGGGTCAGCCAGGCCTTCAAATGCTGATGAAGGTGGTCAGCTGAAACATTCACACCCAACTTCAGCAGAGAGCTCTTTGCCCCACCCCAGTCATTCCACAGATATATAAACCCATTTTCCTATTTCCAACAGACCTCACTACCTCTGAGGATGCTTGCCATAGATGCAGGCGAAATGTCAGGAGAAATGCCTCTAGAACATGGCCCTATAGCCCGAAAAAACCTACAAGGAACCTAGTGATTCCAGCCATGAAAGCCTTCGACAATACATTTAACAAAATGAAGTTCAACGGGGACAAATGCAAGATACTCCACTTAGGCAGAAAAAATGAAATGCAAAGATACAGAATGCGGGACAATGCCTGGCTCGAAAGCAGTACATGTGAAAAAGATCTTGGAGTCCTCGTGGACAACAAGTTAAACATGAGCCAACAATGTGATGTGGCGGCAAAAAAAGCCAATGGGATTTTGGCCTGTATCAATAGGAGCATAGTGTTTAGATCTAGGGAAGTCATGCTCCCCATGCTCTATTCCGCTTTGGTTAGACCAGCATAGTGACTAGATCTAGGGAAGTAATGCTACCCCTCTATTCTGCTTGGTTAGACCACACCTGGAATATTGTGTCCAATTCTGGGCACCACAATTCAAGAGAGATATTGACAAGCTGGAATGTGTCCAGAGGAGGGAGACTAAAATGATCAAGGATCTGGAGAACAAGCCCTATGAGGAGCGGCTTAAGGAGCTGGGCATGTTTAGCCTGAAGAAGAGAAGGCTGAGAGGAGCTATGATAGCCATGTATAAATATGTGAGAGGAAGCCACAGGGAGGAGGGAGCAAGCTTGTTTTCTGCTTCCTTGGAGACTAGGACGCGGAACAATGGCTTCAAACTACAAGAGAGGAGATTCCATCTGAACAATAGGAAGAACTTCCTGACTGTGAGAGCCGTTCAGCAGTGGAACTCTCTGCCCCGGCGTGTAGTGGAGGCTCCTTCTTTGGAAGCTTTTAAACAGAGGCTGGATGGCCATCTGTCAGGGTGATTTGAATGCAATATTCCTGCTTCTTGGCAGGGAGTTGGACTGGATGGCCCATGAGGTCTCTTCCAACTCTTTGATTCTATGATTCTATGAGTAAGACAAAGCTAGGGCTGATGTTCTTATTAATTTTGGGTCTGCACCCCATGTGCTGCCAGTAAGTTTCCGCATGATGTTATTGCATGCAGCTACTTCGTGCTTGGTTTTCAAGCAGTGTTTCCTATATGCTAGTGTTCAATCTAAAGTTACACTGAGATATTTAGGATGGAAACTTGTGTCTTGGCAGGGTTAGGCTTTAGGTGGTTACCTTTGGAATAGCTGGAGAGATCTTTCAAGGCGTTAGTAAGTTGGATTTTAACTGTTTGAAATCAGAGAGCAAGTGGAATGGAGTTAAGGGGGTAAACATGTTGGCTTTTTTTCCAGATGTTGGTAGACTACAGTTTCTATAAGCACCAGCTGAAATAGTCTGACTTTTTCACCAGTCGTAGTCCCACTCTATTCTGCTTTAGTCAGACTTCATCTGGAATACTGTGTCCAGTTCTTAGCAACTCAAGAAGGATATTGATTATCTAAAAGGTGCCCAGAGAAGAGTGACCAAAATGATCAAAGACTGGAAATCAAGCCCTATGAGGAATGGCTGATTGAGCTGGGTATATTTAGCTTGAAGAAAAATAAGTGGAGAGGGGACATAGTAGCCATGTTTAAGTATTTTCAAGGATGTCACATTGAGGAGGGGGCAAGCATGTTTTCTGCTGCTCTAGAGACTAGGACATAGAGCAATGGATTCAAATTGCAGGAAAAGAGATTCTACCTAAACATTAAGAAGAACTTCCTGATGGTAACAGCTGTTTGGCAGTGGGATATGGTGTCTTGGGGTGTGGTGGAGTCTCCTTCTTTTAAGCAGAAGCTGAATGGCCATCTGTTGGGAGTGCTTTAGTTATGAATTCCTGCATGGCAAACCTTTGTGATCTCTTCCAACACTATGATTCTATGGGATACTCTGATTTTTTCAGTCTAGTTATACACGTGTTTGTTAAATATTTGTATTCGAATTTTCTTTGCAGTGTTAAAATGACAAAGAAAAGGAAATATCAAGAAGATTTTCATAAAGTCAAGCTAAAAGTTGGAAAAAAGAAGCCTAGACTGGAAAATGCAACTGACACAAACTTCAAAACAAGGTCTATACACCTTCCCGAGCAGCTTAGAGAGGATGGAATACTTCCAACAAACAACAGAAAGCTTAACATAAAGGTATAGAAGAATGCAACATTAATTGGTAATGGTGTAGTAATTTGAGGATTGGATCAAAACTTTGTAAACAAGGGTTCTGTTTTCTGTTCAGCCATGACATCCACGGGGTGGCCTTGGGTAATGTCACACTCTCAGCTCAGAGGAGAGTAATGTCAAACAGTCTCAGAACAAATTTTCCAAAGAAACCTATGTGATAGGTTCACTTTAGGGTTGCGATAAATCAGAAATGACTAGAAGGCACGTAACAATGAACTCCTGTTAACATCTCTGAAATCAGTCTTAATAGAGTTTGAATCTTTTTAAAACTTGTAGTTTAATAGCAGGTATGCTGGACAGCATTTAGATTTTTTTTTGTAAATATGTTAAAAAACTAGGTAGCTTAGATAATAAAAACACTCCCATTTCTTTATCATTAGCATTAATAATAATAATAATAATAATAATAATTAATAAACTTTATTTATACCCTGTCACCATCTCCTCAAGGGACTCAGAGCGGCTTACATGAGAAGAAGCCCAACAACACATCAATAAAAACAAAAAGCAATAAACAAAAAACAATAAATACAATACAATTAATATAAATCACATATAAACAATAACCAATAAACAGTAACATACAAGGATTTAAAAGCCTGTGACCGGGCCAAATGTAATAGTTTAAAATTTTTAAAAATAAACTCTGGGCATGAGCGAGGTAGGATATATCTGGTATAGGGTTTTAAAAGAGATGAGGGAGGGCAGTCAATCCTAAACCAGTAGTAAAGTGCATTCTGAGGACATATTGCTGGGAATTTTCTTTATTCTGGGAAGGCACACTGCATTAATATTAGAATTAAAATTGTGAATGATTTTCTGATCACCTCAGGTTTTCTAAAGGTCACGGTGTCAGGGTCATCACATATAGCATGGGTGTGAATTGTGTGACTCCAGATCTTGCTAGCCTAAAATTCCTAGCAGCCCTAGCCCAATTAGTGATAAAAAAAACCTGTGGGAATATTCCCCAATTTTCCATAGGAGGTAGGTGTTCCTTGGCATAGTTTTTTTTCCTGTGCTTTTACTGTTGGATTTTTATTTTCTCTTGATTACAAATATGATGATCAGAAAGGACTGATAGTTTTTCACTGATCTCTTCTATTCCTGTAAGTAAGGAACATAAAACATCTTAAGAATGAGATTGCTTTTAAGAAACTTGCAATCTTCATGAAAACAATAGATGCAATATGTATTTTTTTTTTTGTAGGATCTGCTTTCACAAATGAACCACTACAATGCTGGAGTCAAGCAGAGTGCACTTTCTGGGCTCAAGGATCTGCTGTCCCGGTATCCATTCGTAATTGATGCACACCTTTCAAACCTCCTGAGTGAAATAGCAGCTGTGTTTACAGACAAAGATTCTGCTGTCCGAGCAGCAGCCATCTCCCTCCTCCAATTTTTGGCTCCAAAAATAAGAGCGGAGCACATTTTGCCATTTTTCCCTTTACTGAGTGCCCACCTCTCCAGTGCCATGACTCACATCAATGAAGGAATTCAAGAGGATTCGTTGAAGGTACTAGACATTTTATTGATGGAGTATCCTACTTTGCTGGTGGATCGCAGTAGTGTGTTACTCAATAACTTTGTGGAGCTTATTTCTCATCAGCAACTATCAAAACAATTAAAAAATAAAGAGAAAATGTGTTGGATGCTATCTGTTAATCCTAATCGCAGAACAACTTCCCAACAGTGGAGATTGAATGTCTTGGTTAGGCTCCGGAAGTACCTCCAAGTGCTGGCAGATGGGCCTCGTGAGTTGGAAACTGACATTGACGGGCTACCTGAGCAAAATGGCAGTCCCCAAGTACAGAAAAATGCCTTGTACGTGAATTGGCAGGAACATGCTAGTGGTCAAGAGCACATCCAGATGTATGAAAATGGTGGTTTGCATCGCAAAACTAATTCTTCATTCAGGTTGAGGTAAGAAACTCTGAGCTTTGTGACTTTGAGAATCATTTTTCTTTTGCCATTAATGTGAAACACAGTGTACTTTATTTTAGTTGTTTGCAACATTCCGTTTTTTCAAAGTACACGTACCTAACTGAAAACTGGCAATGTATTGTTGAAGGCTTTTATGGCTGGAATCACTGGGTGGTTGTAGGTTTTTTGAGCTGTATTGCCATGTTCTAGAATCATTCTCTCCTGACGTTTTACCTGCATCTATGACGAGCATCCTCAGAGGTTGTGAGGTCTGTTGGAAACTAGGAAAATTGGGTTTATATATCTGTGGAAAGTCCAGGGTGGGAGAAAGAACTCTTGTTTGTTGGAGCTAGGTGTGCATGTTTTAATTGGCCACCTTGATAAGCATTTGATAACCTGACAGTTTTTAGGTATGCCTTGTTTGCCTGGGGGAATTCTTTGTTGAGGTGATTAGCTGCTCCTGACTGTTTCTTGTCTGGAGTTCCCCTGTATTTGAGGGCTGTTCTTTATTTACTGTTATAATTTTAGAGTTTTTTAAATACTGGTAGCCAGATTTTGTTTATTTTCATGGTTTCTTCATTTCTGTTGAAATTGTCCACATGGTTGTGGATTTCAGTGGCTTCTCTGTGTAGCTTGACATGGTAGTTCTTAGAGTGGTCCATCATTTCTGTGTTCTCAAATAATATGCTGTGTCCAGGTTGGTTCATCAGGTGCTCTTCTATGGCTGACTTCTCTGGTTGAAGTCTGCAGTGCTTTCATGTTCCTTGATTCATGTTTGGGCAATGCTGCATTTGATGGTCCCTATGTAGACTTGTCCACAGCTGCATGTTATACGGTAGACTCCTGCAGAGGTGAGAGGATCCCTCTTGTCCTTTGCTGAACGTAGCATTTGTTGGATTTTCTTGGTGGGTCTGTAGATCATTTGTATGTTGTGTTTCCTCATCAGCTTCCCTATGCGGTCAGTGGTTCCCTTGATGTATGGCAAGAACACTTTTCCTCAGGATGGATCTTTGTCTTTACTCTTGTGACGTTTTCTCAGTCTTGCAGCTCTTCTGATGTCTGAGGTGGAGTATCCATTGGCTTGTAAAGCTCAGTTTAGGTGGTTCAGTTCGTCCTGGAGGAGGTGGGGTTCACATATTTCTTTGGCACGGTCTGCTTCTTTTTTGACTTGGGTGATGGTTGGAGTTTTTATATATATGTAGGTTTTCCGTAAACTGTGTGATCCTATTGCTGATCTGATTTGTGGGACACCTAGAAAAGGCAGTTTACTTCATTTCCTTTTTCCATGTCCATGGCATTTATTGGGAAGGTAGTTGTTTTGTAAGTTTATGAAGTTTCATGAAGTTTTGCAGCTATTCTTGAAACACTCCTCTGCCTGCTTTCCTTTTATTATAACTCCCTCTTCTGCAATATATAGGCAGTGCTGCCTACCTCTTATGCTCATGGTCCTCATACATGTGTTTTTATTAATCCTTTAGTTCTTCTGTTTCTATTGGAATCAGTGCTGGTTTGTGCTTCTTACTTTCCCTCAAATCATTCAGCTGACCTAATTTGTTAAGATACATCAAATATATTACCAAATGTTTTAAAATCAAAAGTCTGGGACTTGAGGTTCCACAAATCATTGTTTGATAATATGTATAGATCACACCTATGGTCGTATCCTCCATGAGCATGAAGGCTCCTCTCATTTTAAAGCAGTGTTTCCCAACCTGTGGATCCCGAGGTGTGTTGGCCTACAACTCCCAGAAATCCCAGCTTGTTGACCAGCTGTTAGGATTTCTGGGAGTTGAAGGTCAAAACATCTGGGGACACACTGGTTTAGAACCACTGATTTAAGAGGTGCATGTCAACCTGAAATTGAACCCCAAATCCAGTGGCCCCAGAATGGAGGACAGATGTTTACAGGGTTAGTGGAGGATGTGTTCTGTCTACTATCTATGAAATAATGTGAAGGACAAAATTTGTCTATATAAAAAGAGAGGAAGAAAACATACTTTAATTTCTGAATGGGTTGCTGGATACTGAGAATAGAAGAGGTGTTAGTGGTTAAAGCTTCACAAGGCTCTCTGGTTATAATGGGATGACTGTGTGGTCATGCTCATGAACATTTCTATACAAATCTATATAAATAAAAATGTAATGTTCGTTTGTGGGATTAACATAACTAAAAAACCACTTGACGAATTGCTGCCAAATTCGGCCACAAGACATCTACTAACCCAAGGAATGACCATCACACAAAAAATTAAATTTGTCATTTGGGAGTTGTAGTTGCTGGGTTTTATAATTAACCTACAATCAGAGAGCATTCTAAACTCCATCAATGATGGAATTGAACCCAACGCGGCACACAGGACTCCCATGACCAACATAAAACACTCGAAGGGTTTGGGGGGGGGGGGCATTGACATTGAGTTTGGGAGTTGTAGTTCACCTACATCCAGCGAGCACTGTGGACTCAAACAATGATGGATCTGGACCAAACTTGGCATGAATATTCAATATGTCCAAATATGAACACAGATGGTATTTGGGGGAAGTAGACCTTGACATTTGGGAGTTGTAGTTACTGGGATTTATAGTTCACCTAGAGTCAGAGAGCATTCTGAACCCCACCAATAACAGAATTGGGGCACACTTCCCAACCAGTGACTATCACTCATAAAAACACTGAAAAACACAGCAGAAGAGATTTAAAAAGCCAAAAAACAAAAAAATACATTACAATGAATGCGCAAAACCACATACATATATACACAAACACACATATACACAAATATATACACACACAAAACACATATACACAGACTGGGCCGCAGCAACACGTGGCAGGGGATGGCTAGTACAATCTATATAAATAAAAATGTAATATTTGTTTGTGGGATTAACATAACTCAAAAAGCACTGGACGAATTGACACCACATTTGGACACAACACACATATCAGGCCAACAGGTGACCATCAGTCATAAAAACACTGAAAAAACAGCGGAAGAGACTTAAAAAGCCAAAAAACAAAATTACATTACAATGCATGCGCAAAACCACACACATATATATACGCAAACACACATACACAAATATATACACACACATAAAACACATATACACTGACTGGGCCACAGCAACGCATGGCAGAGGATGGCTAGTACCTTTTAAAAATAAAAAAATAGGTTCAGCTGATGTGTGTTTGAGAGCCAGCATGGTGTAGAGGTTTGAGCATTCTGCTATGACTCTGGAAGACCAGGGTTCCAAACTATTTGGCCATGGAATCTATGTTGACCTTGAACAAGCCATACTCTTATCCTCAGAAGGATGCAAAACTACTCTCCGAAACTTGCGAAAAAATGAAGCCCTGATAGGACCTCAGGGTCACCATAGGTCAGAAAAGACTTGAAGGCACTCACAACAATGATGTGTATTTGGAAGAGATAAGAGAAGGAGATTGCAATGTGGTGTGAGAGAGGAGGCACATCAAGACTCTTAGTTCTATGATTGAACTTGGGATCTTGGCATCTTTAGCATTACATTCTAAAGCAGGCTTCTTCAACCTGCAACCCTTCAGGTGTTTTGGACTTCAGTTCCCAGAATTCCTGACCATTGAACCATCTGGTTAGGGCTTCTGAGAAGCTACAGGTTGAAGAGTCCTGCTGTAAAGCAAGAACTTTCAAACTTGACACAAAAAACATAGTTCAGAGATGGAGCTAGTTTTCAAATAGTTATAGGTAGAGGAAGTTATTGCTTTAATTTTATATTGGCACCTAACTCCTCTTTGAAAATTGCTGTGTTCTTGCCACATTACCTTTATGCCAGAGTTCCTTAACCAATCTTTCCTTTGGGTTAAGTGTAGGCAGGTGGAACTGCAACTCCCATCAGCCCTACACATCAGAGCCTAGCAACAACTGAGAATTGCTAACCAATGCCGTAATAAAACTGCATCTGAATATGGCAGATGTAGTTCAAATGATAACACATTACACAATTGTGGTGTTATCTGTCTGTCTATCTATCTATCTATCTATCTATCTATCTATCTATCTATCTATCTATCTATCTATCTATTGTGTCAGAAGCGAATTGAGGGTACAGTTGTAATGTATTTAAAAATAAACAAAGTTAAAAACTTGACATTATACTAAATGTTCTTTGACCAGAAACTGGCCACTTGGAGTGCTTCTGGTATTGCTATAAGAAAGTCCTCCATTGTGCATGTAGCAGGGCTTAGGCTTCATTATAATAGGTGGTCTTTTGCTTACTCTTCTCTACACTTGCATGTCATGGACTCCACTTTGTAGCCCCCTTTCTTAAGGTTGGCTCTGCATCTTGTGGTGCCAGAGTGCAGTCTGTTCAGTGTCTTCCAAGTCACCCAGTCTTCTGTGTGCCCAGGTGGGAGTCTCTCATTTGTTATCAGCAATGGATTGAAGTTCCAGGTTTTAGCCTGCCACTTATGGGCTCTCACTTGCTGAGGTGTTCCTGCGAGTATCTCTGTAGATCTTAGAAAGCTATTTCTTGATTTAAGGCGTCGGCGTTCTGGCTGATATCCAAAGGGATTGGCTGAACATGTCACTGCCTTGGTTCTTTCATTATTGACTGCTACTTCCTGGCGGATGTCAGTATAATTTCTCCAGCGGTGTGGAGTGTAAACATCCTGTGATAATGCGGCAAGTCTCATTAAGAGCCACATCCACTGTTTTAATGTGGTGAGATGTGTTTCACACTGGGCATGCGTGTTCAGCAGCAGAGTAGCAAAGCCCAAGGAAAGATGTCTTCACTGTGCTATTGCCCCACTTTAACTATCATGGGGTTTGTAGTTTGGCAAAGCACGTCAGGCTGGGCAGTCTAAAAGCTGTGCTCTAAACTGTCAGTTCTAGGATTCCATAGGATGGAACCATGGCAATTAAAATGGAATAAATGCTATAATGGCCAATGCATATAAGATTGTAAATTTCCTTAAATACATTTGACATTGTGCTGTACTATTCTTGGTTAACAAAATACAACAAACAAATACTCAATCTCTCCTTTCAGCTCTTTGATAACTATGACAGGCAATATTGAAAATGGCCTGTCATCCACTGACAACTTAAAAAGATTTATTCAGGTAATAATTCCTTTGCTTCTTGATTGTTGGATTGAAGCGTCTCCTCCACAACTTACGCCTCCCATTCTTGGAAATCTTCGGGAACCAGGATCTCAGCAGCTTATGGAACAAGTTGTACATATCATATACTTGTTGTGGAAACTTGCAAAGCAAATTGAAGATGCAAATGAAATGGTAAGGAGATGAAATCATTATGGGCATGATTCAAATGATTACTTTTTCTTGTATTTAAATAAGATGGAAATAAAGGAATAGCTAGCTGAAGACTTCAGTAGATACTCAGATTGTTTTGTCTTACTGTGCAGATGTATTTAGAAGATGTGTGTCCAGTACTTTTTTATATATGGAATTGCAAAGTTTGGAGAAAACTGATTTTTCTACTTTTGAAAATCATTAAAAAGCATATTAATAAAATGTATCCCATATGTAATAATAATAATAATAATAATAATAATAATAATAATAATACTTTATTTGTACCCCGCTACCATCTCCCCAAGGGACTCGGTGCGGCTTACATGAGGCCAAGCCCACAGTACATCAATAACAAAAGCAGTAACAAAAACAATCAATACAATACAATTAATATAAATCACATAACAATAAACAGTAACACACAAGTATTTAAAAACCTATGGCCGGGCCAAATATAATAGTTTAAAAATTAAAAAATAACGTTGGGCATCAACAAGGTAGGACATAACTGGTATAGAGTTTTCAGAGAGAGAGATGAGGGAACGCAGTCAGTCCTAAATCAGTGGTAAAGTGCATTTTGAGGGCATATTGCTGAGAGTTTTCCTTATTCTGGGAAGGCACACTGGAACAACCACGTTTTCAGGCTCCTCCTAAAGACTGCCAGAGTTGGGGCATGTCTGATGTCCTTGGGAAGGACATTTATATTTAAATGTCTTTTTTTTAAAAAAGGAAGATGTTCAATCACAAGTCATTATTTGATAGTATCTTTAAAATAGATGTTTGTTCTAATGACTGTAGCAAAACTTGAACACGCTTTCTTTACTGATGTTATAGAATAAGTTTTTTGTTATTGAAACACTTGCATGCCTTTTTCAAAATGCAGCATTTCCTTGAAGCTTAAAGTCTACAAACTGAAATTTCCCTTGTATATATATACATAACCACACTAGTTCTATCCAAGATATTTGGAAATTAATTCGGTTTCTTAGAAAATAGCCTGGTCACCCCACCAAGTGGCTAGAGAGGATTCAAAGCACCTGCGTGTCTAGTAAATTCAATTGAGTCTCGAATTCAACCTGTATTAATAAGATTTTGGTTTATAGCACCAAATACTAGTTCATTTACTAGATCCATAGTTGGTTTGATCTGATCTTGTAGCAAAAAGTACTTGTGAGCATCATTATCCTTGTAGTTTGTAGGCATCTGATGCCACTGGGTTAGTAGAGCAATATACTTTGCCTATTATTCTGGACTCAGTAACATTCAGCAGGGACACTTTATTTTGAACATGGCTACCTGGGAATTTGATCTCATTCCTCTCATGACTTTGGAAGATCCAACTAATTGGTTTAGAAAACATGAATATTATGTTTGTTACACCATTGTAAACAGTCCTTATGTGTTTGCTTCCCATGCTTATGTATTATATGAGTTCGTTTTGTATTCTCCTCATTATTCCAATTGGTATTTTTGCAGAAGTTTATAGCAATAGGACATTTATGTATTGACATTGTAATTATAGATATCTGTGTAGTTAGAGAACATTTTTAAAGTGTAGCATCAGATACACACACATGCACATTCTGGATAGCAAAGGGAAGGGTTAACACCATTGTGGTGTTTTGCTTTGCTGTCTGTGCCCTGTTCACAAGTTTTCACCTCACTTTCTGTCCCTGTGATAATTGGATTTTGAGAAATATGGCTTGTTATGGAAACAAAGATTGGTGATAAAGTTTCATCACAGACACCTTTTCCCCATGATAACTCTTTTAGGAGTGAATTTCCTCTCCTAGGGGTAGATTTCTTTCACTTCCTGTTGTCTCACCCCTGTTTATAACTATGAGTCGTTTGTATGTCAGATATTTGTAACTTGGGGACTACCTGTACTTGGAACAATTTATGAAGAAGGCCCTGGAATAATTAATGAAAACTTCTGTCATTCTAAAAATTATTGGAATTGATTGTCTACAGAAAAAGTTACCTTGATGTATTTGACTCTTTACCTTGTGGTGTTCTTCCAATAGGAAGCATGGCTTCGAGCAAATTACCTGACTGATTTTCAACTTCATTTCATGTCTCACTTTCCTTATTCTTTCCAAGAAACAATCAAACACAAAAAGAGAGAGACTTTGAAAAGGTATGTGTGTGATTGTTAGAAAGGCCAGGAGAGTACAGTTGCTTTCCTTGCAAATAATAGTGCACTGTGTTCCAGATACTTAAATCTACTGTATTTCACTTTATAATAACCACATTACATATTAGCACCCCACATTTTGGGGAAGGCAAAATCAGACAGATTCATTCATGTTCAGTGGAATATGTGGTGGTTCCAGCTTATTTGAAAGGCAAATTATTGAGGGATCAAGATGAGCAAAAACACCTGAATGTGTGTATGTGGTTACATGCCAAGCTCGAACAAGAATTACAATATAACAATACAAATTGCAATAAAATAAACAACATAACATTAAACAATTGCTTGTGATATTATTGTTGGAAACTGGCCTGAGTCCCTCCACGGAGGTGAGAAGACCTGTATACAAAAGCTCTAAATAAATAAATAAAAAAAATATAAAACACCAAAGCATATTTATTTATTTATTTATTTCACAGTTTTGTATACCGAGCTTCTCAACCTCGTAGAGGGACTCAGCCCGGTTTACAGCCATAAAAACATATACATTCATTAAAATATCATATATCACAAATTACAAAACAACTTTAAAAACACTAAATTAAAACTACAGTGGTCAGTCGTCCTAATAAGATGGATCTATATCCACTTCCATCCAGAGTCCTATGGTGTTGTCTCATTCCTCGAAGGCCTGACTCCACAGCCACGTCTTCACCCTTTTCCTAAATGTTAGGATGGATGGGGCGGTTCTGGCCTCCAGAGGGAGAGAGTTCCAGAGTCGCGGGGCCACCACCGAGAAGGCCCTGTCCCTCGTCCCCACCAGGCGCTTGCGAGGCCGGTGGGACCGAGAGCAGGGCCTCTCCAGATGATCTTAGTAATCTTGATGGTTCGTAGGGGAGAATACGTTCGGAGAGGTAAACAGGGCCGGAGTCGTTTAGGGCTTTATAGGTCAACACCAGCATTTTGAATTGTGCTCGGAAGCTAATTGGCAGCCAGTGGAGCTGGCGTAACAGCGGAGTGGTGTGCTCCCTGTACCCAGCCCCCGTTAGTAATCTGGCTGCCGCGCGTTGGACTTGCTGCAGCTTCCGGGCAGTCTTCAAAGGCAACCCCACGTAGAGAGCGTTGCAGTAATCTAAGCGGGATGTAACCAAAGCGTGTACTACCGTGGCCAAGTCAGCCCTCCCAAGGTACGGACGCAGCTGGCGCATAAGTTTTAATTGTGCGAAAGCTCCCCTGACCACCGCTGAGACCTGGGGTTCCAGGCTCAGCGATGAATCCAGGAGAACTCCCAGACTGCGTACCTGAGCTTTTAGGGGGAGTGTGACCCCGTCCAGCACAGGCTGTAACCCCGTACCCTGTTCGGTCTTACGACTGACCAGGAGTACCTCTGTCTTGTCTGGATTTAGTTTCGATCTGTTGTCCCTCATCCAGTCTGAGACAGCGGCCAAGCACCGGTTCATAACCTGAACAGCCTCCTTAGTGGTAGGTGGAAAGGAGTGATAGAGTTGGACATCATCTGCGTACAGATGACATCGCACCCCAAAACTCCGGATGATCTCTCCCAGCGGCTTCATGTAAATGTTAAACAACATAGGGGACAATATTGAAAACAATATACACAAAACATAGGAACTAAGCATAATGACAGAAAGACAAACGGCAGGACGCATGTACAGAAAATGATTTAAAAACTCCGGGTGAGATAAGGGGGCAGAACTAATTGTATGGAGGAAGTAATGCTGAAGGGTTTGTACTTTCATCAGTTTTCTTACAATACGTTTGCTTTGTTTTTAGCCCCAAGAGCCATATTGCACCTTCAAACAATATTGACCATCTTTTGTTGAACTTAACGTTATGTGAAATCATGGTTTCACTGGCAACTGCTTCAACACTACAAATGGATTCTAGTTGGGTTAATATGATTAAGAAGTTTGTGATAGAGACCCTTCAGGATGGCTCTAAGTTAAGCAGTAAGCAGTTGGTCAAATTACTTAGTGTGGCTTGGAGACTTTTACAGATACACATAAACAAAGGTAAGATCTATTGAATATATCGAGGTATTGTATTTTACGTGTTGCCTTTTGCTAGACTGTTTTTTGTGCTTCTGAACATAGAGAATTTACATCTTAAGCAGCTTAGTATATTAATTATGGTTAGGTACAGAAATAGCTTTGCCTCATAAGTAGGCAATGACATTGCTTTGTGATATATTCAAAGCACATTTAGGCATGCTTCCATTTAATAATAATAATAGTAATAATAATCTTTATTTATATCCCGCCACCATCTCCCCGATGGGGACTCGGAGCGTCTTACATGAGGCCAAGACCAGACAACAAATTACAATAGAGTAAAACCGAAAACGCAAACCAAAAACGCGAACAATAAACAACAACATCATAATTACATAAAACATGTGAATACATAACAATATAAAATTACAATAAGCACAATCACAATGACAGTGGGCGGGCTACATGTAATGATTAAAAGAAAAATAAATTAAAGCTAATTAAAAACTCAGGCGAGATAAAAGAGAGACAGATTATTTGCGGAGGAGGGCTCATTATACGGGGGTTGTGGAATCAAGCGTTCCTATGAAGGGGGGGGGGCTTATACTCCAATGACAGAACGTTGAGGCTAAGCATTAGGTATACATTGCTATATCAAAACATCTCAAAGTGAAAATACAACCTCATCTCTTTCACATTTTTTCTCATGGTCAGAGACGATAAACATGCATGTGCAATGCTACATACATGAAGCATAGTCTTGTTGTTTTGTATAACTCCAATGGAGGTTTTAATTTTTCTTCCCTTTAGTGTCATCAGAAACTTTAATGAAAGCAGTATATACACTTTACCAGCAACGAAACCTTCTGCTTCCTGTACGTGCATTGCTTTTGAAATTTTTTAACAGAGCTTATCAAAATGAAGAGTTGAATCTTTATACAAACAGGTAACAAAGTATCTTAAGTGTAATTGAACTTTACAAGGTTGAATTTTAACAATGTTTAAGTTAAGATTTAAAAAAATATTTCTGGCAGCTGTTCATGTATTTTAGGTGTATGTTTGTCATGTATGTATGTATGTATGTATGTATGTATGTATGTATGTATATATTTATGCATTTATGTATTTATTTAGAACTTTTATATACCGGTCTTCTCAACCCCCGCAGAGGGACTCATAAGATTCATAAACAGTAGTTTAAAACATCACATCCCATAATTCACTAAAACATTAAAATACAATCATATAATTACATCATGCCAAATCGTCAAAATGTAGCTTGCTTTTGCTCTAAAATCTGGGTTTTGAATACAATTATTGCAACTTTTTTTTGAAGTGGGTATAAAATGTGGGGTGATAAATAGTATAGAAAATAAATACCGTATATTGGAATACTTGAAGGAATGCCTGAGCAAAAGGAGTAGTCCCATTGACACTAATATTGTACTGCATTTCAAGAAGCAAGTGGAAAGTGAGGGAAAGTAAACATTCCTTTCTTTTTTTGCACCAAACGTTTCTATTCCTCCTTTAAGAAGTAGACTTACTCTTCCCTGAATTTCATATGGCTCCTTCTTTTCAATAAAATTCTATTTTATTTATATGCTATTTTGGGATGCTACATATTTAATTAGGGACAAATGAAATTTGTCCCAAATTTTTAAATGACTTGTATAGGGCAGAATAACACATTTCTGGCAAAATGTTTTATTGGCGATTCTATTAGCATGCTAGATTCCCCTTATTTTGTGGTGACTGACTGCTGCACTACACTTAGCTCTTCCAAAATAACTATATAACACTGTTGCCAGAGCTATTACAGCGATGAAGGACAGCTACCTGAAAGATTTGTTGCCATAGATAAAGGGAATGGAAAGCATATATCCCCTTAAAACATTTCAGCACCCCCAATAATGGGAATAACTGCAAAATTGGCCACATGGAAGAGTGTGGTGCATTTTTTGGCGGGTGGGTGGAGGTAACTTCTTAATGTTTGAACAAAAATGTCAATTATTTCAAATAACATTCATACAGAGAGAGAAAGAATTTGCCTTACTCTATATTTTTCCTCTTTGCTTTCTACTTTAGAAGCAGGAGCAAAGTTTTAACTCGCTGGCTGGCTGGTCTACCTCAGCAGCTTGTTCTGCTTGGCTTGAGAAATCCTGAGCTTTCGGACCAGCTGATTGTTACTATTTATTCTGCTGCTTCTCGAGCAAACAATGAAATCCTCCAGAGTTTACAAGCTGCAGCTCCTCGGATTTATGGTAAATTTCTTTTGTGGAAATTTATATTAAAAACAGGAAATGAATATTCTTTGTTTCCCTTTTGTTTTGCCTGGAATGCTGATACATTATTATTATTTATAATTTATTTACGGCCTTTATATGCTGCCCTTCTCACCTTGAAGGGGACTCAGAGCAGCTTACAATATATATTTTCATAAAATATATTACATTATTAGCCTAGTACAACATCAGTATTATATATTACTATATTGCACTATACGACATTGCATTTTGGACTTAACCATCTTCTTCTTCTTCTATATATTGCACTATACCATATTGCTTAGAAACACTTAACACTGAGTTAAGTGTTTCTAAGCTATTTTTGTTGTGTTAATAAACTTTGTTTGGACCTTTTCTTTGTGTCTGGCTCCTTTAAGGCATCTGGTTCACGGCATCTCAGTTTTTTGTGGTAAAATTAGGTGCCTCGACTTATATGTGGGTCAGCTTATACTCAAGTATATACGGTACCTCCTCCCAGCTTATTTTTAAAAAAACAACATATATGTAGGTTTGGCCACCTCCATGGATTCAGAAAAAGATTTTGGAAGTTTACCTTAGCCTCTTAATCCTTTTCTCAAAAAGCCTGTCCAGTTTAGGTGATATTGTTGCATCCCAGTCCCCATCAGTATCCTATTTTCAAAGGAAAACTCATTAGCGGTAATTTGTTTTAACAGTTTTTGATAGAATTCTTATTTTGCTCAATTAGAGGCATAGATACCATCCATTGGAGTTTTTACCCCCTGAAGCTGTATCTCAACCCCTTCATATTGTCTGTTATCTTGTTTTTTGCCGCATATTTCTTATTCACATAAATTACAACTTTCATTTTCTTTGTGCTTTGTAGATGCACAGAATTGCATGTGACTGTATATTAGTCACTTGAAGAGCTCTATAATAATAATAATAATAATAATAACTTTATTTATACCCCGCCACCATCTCCCCAAGGGGAGCCCCCGGTGGCGCAGTGCCGGCAGGACTGAAGACTGACAGGTCGCAGGTTCGAATCCGGGGAGAGGCAGATGAGCTCCCTCTATGAGCTCCAGCTCCTCATGCGGGGACATGAGAGAAACCTCGCACAAGGATGATAAAAACATTAAATCAACCAGGCGTTCCCTGGGCAACGTCCTTGCAGACGGTCAATTCTCTCACACCAGGAGTCACTCCTGACACGACCAAAAAAAAAATTCTCCCCAAGGGGACTCGGGGCGGCTTACATGAGGCCAAGCCCAACAACACATCAATAAAACAACAAAGCAGTAAGCAAATAAAACAATACAGTTAATATAACTCACATATAGGCAATAACACACAATTTTTTAAAAAAACCTATGGCTGGGCCAGATGTAATAGATTAAAATTTTTAAATAAATATTATTTACAAATAACTCATTTGACTTTTGCAGTATTTTAAAGGAGAATGTACATAATTGTGCCAGATGAAAGGATTCTTGGTTTCTAGAATTCTAATTTTCTTATTCTGATACTTTCAGTTGACTTCAGCTTTCTTGACCTTTTCTAGATCCACTAGATGGTGCTGTGGCTCTTTTGCCAGAAGAATCGCAGAAGCGTTTAGTCCAGCTGGTTCACTTTTTGCCTCACTTACCAGGCAATTTGCTTTCTTCTCTCTGTCGCTGCTGCATTATGGGAAAGCTGTCCATAAAATTATCTACAACTCTCATTTGGATATTGCATATGAGGTAAGCAGCTTGTCTTGTCTTTCCTAACTAATTTCTCCTAATGGCTGTGTAAACTTTATTATGATTACATGTTTAAGAAGTCAGGTTTTATCACATTGTGTCTTTTAAAAAACATCATATGGGAGAGCAACTTGAAGGGCATGTGATTAATTACTAGTAAGGGAAGGTTTAGAATCTAAGGAGGTGGGGAAAATTTAAGTATGGGGAAGTGGTGGTAAAATCCCATGAAGATAAACAAAAAGGGGAACAGAAAGGAGAAACTAAAATGAGCAAAAAGGGAAAGGCAGTTCAATAGGGGCATACACAGTTGCTGATAAAATCTAGAAAATGGGCATCTTATACACAAATAATTGAAAAACAATTAGGTAGAGGAAGGAACAAAGTAGCAGAAAATCTCAGTAGTTTGTGTTTTCTTTTTTCTAATGTAGAAACTGTTTACAACAGTGGTCATTAATTTTCTCCAGTAAAAAGATTCATATCCTGTCTGTCTGTCTATCTTATAATACGTATTTGTGTGTGTAATATTTTATATACTGTAATATGATATGAGACTATATAATCCATGTACATCTTTAGCAATAAAGGCACATATTATAACAAATGTAAAGATATATTTCCAGTAAAACTGCAAGAAATATGTGTGTGTGTTGTTTTCTTGTAGATTTACTGGAAATCTGTTTTTAAATTTTGTTATATATACATTGTGTTGTTCATTCGTTCAGTCGTTTCTGACTCTTTGTGACTTTATGGACCAGCCCACGCCAGAGCTCCTTGTTGGTTGTCACCACCCCAGCTCCAACTGGGAGGTGACAGGTTTGAAGCCCAAGTTGAATTGAACACCCGACTGTTAAGCCTAGCTTACAATCCACCTGAGCAGTTCGAAAACAGCTGAGCTGTGAATAGAGAAATTAGGAACTGCTTAAAGCAGGGAGGTATTTTATGACACCATAAAAATTCCAGCTGTCAAAGAGCAAGGTGGAAATACAAATACTGCAAATAAATTAAAAAATAAGAAATGACATTGTATATAAGAGAATAAAGTTGTATTTGCTTTTCTCTCTCTCCCCCCCCCCCCCCCCCTTTCCATGCTACCATGTGCATTTTTTCTGTTGGAGCAGTATTATTTAGCTAAACTTGTTACTGGGTACATCTGATGGATAAGATATGTTTAGTTGTACATAAAAAAATCTTCCATGTCCTATTGGGGATTACAAAGGGCAAGCAATAATAACTTTAAAAAGTACGTAAACACACGTTGAACCAGTGTTAAAGAATTGGGGATTACAAAACCGGGTAATTTTAATCGGGCTCAGTTTCTTTTAGTTAATTTCTGAGACTTCAGTGGCCCATGAAATCCCAGAGTTGGTCTTTACACAACGAAAATGAAGTGATGACTTCTAGTATTATTGTGTGACAAACCTATTATATGTTTTAGACTGGAGGACTTCATTTTATCATTCCTGAAGAAAAACCTCATAGAAAATGTTGGGATAGTTGTTGTGTTCCTTTAAGTCAGGGGTCCTCAAAATAAGGCCCGAGGGCCAGATACGGCCCTCCAAGGTCGTTTACCCGGCTCTTGCTCAGGGTTAACCTAAGTCTGAACTGACTTGAAAGCACACAACAATAACAACAATCCTATCTCATCAACCAAAAGCACTCCCACATTTTCCATTGAAATACTAATAAGTTTATATTTGTTAAAATTGTTCTTAATTTTAATTATTGTATTGTTTTTAAGTGTTTATTACACTACAAATACGATATGTGCAATATGTATAGGAATTCATGCTTCTTTCAAATTATAATCCAGCCCTCCAACAATTTGAGGGACTGTGACCTGGCCCTCTGTTTAAAAAGTTTGAGGACCCCTGCTTTAAGGTGTTTGCAACTTATGGCTATCTTATAATGCACTTATTGCAGCTTTTTTCGTGGCAGGATTTGTTTTGGGGGGGGGGGGTTGCATTTGCCTTCCTCTAGCTGTGGTTTTGACCCTGAGCCTGAAAGATGTCTTCTTACCTAAGATCATTGAGTTCATTTTCATGTCTGAACAGGGACGTGAACCGTCGTCTCAGAGTCATAGCCCAATGATCTGGCTCTTAAGCGGGACGTACCTTTTTACTAAAGTTGCCATTAGATGGCAGTGTGACTCTTTTGTTTAGATAGGTTTTATTTGGATATGGGGGAGGGGGGATACATTTTTTTTTAAAGGAAATAAGTGTCCAAATTGTACGCTGGAGAAATTTAGTTTAGCACATTATTACTCAGGTCTGTTATTACTAATTCTGAGGTTTGGATCTCTAGTTTTCCTTACTCCAGATAATCTGTATCTCAATTAATATGTTAATTAACATAAATGTATAAGATTCTAGACTAGCAGATATTTATCTCATGAATATAATCTGTAGTGTAAATCTAGAAGTGGAAGTTTTTGAGGTTTTTTTAAAAGTTACCATTTTGTTACTTAGTCCTTTTTATAATGTTGTAAAGCTTTTGCCTGAATATTGTCATCAGTCAAGGATCAGGAGATTTTTTTTTGCAGTGCTGAAGAGAACTTTATCTAAATGTTTACATATGTTTAAATATATTTACAACCAGGAGTGAGTGCAGATGAATTCTTTAGTGTCTCTATATAATAATAATAATAATAATAATAATAATAATAATAATAATAATCCTTTATTTATACCCCGCTAACATCTCCCGAAGGACTCGGTACAGCTTACAAGAGGCCGAGACCCAACACATCAATAAAACAACAGCATAACGAATACAACAATAAATAAAACTCAAAAAAACAAGCAATAAACATTAAAACAATAGCAATAAACATTAGACAATAACACCACACGGGCCAAATATAATGATTAAAATTTTAAAAAATGCTGGACATGGCAGATGAAATAGATAGGTTTTTGGAGATAGGTGCGATGTGCAGACAATCTTAAATCTCTAGTAAAGTGCATTTGGGACATGATGCTATATTATATTTCCTACTCAGCTGCTCTTTATAGAAACCGACGAGCTTTATAGCAGAGGTAGGTTTCTTCATTAGGGACAAGGTTGGCATTTTCCTCTACCACTCAAACCCAACAGGTTTCTTAACTTGAGATGGAAATAGCGTTTTCTAGATGTTACCAAGATAGTTGACTTCAGAACTATTGGAGAAATACAGTATGCCTATGTCTATCTCTCACTTGCTAGTTTTAGAAAGAGAGAAAATACACTTCCCAGCAACATTCGTAATGTTGTGCTTTGTCAAACTCTATTTCACGATAGTTGCTCACATTGATAGGTTCTGTTGTATGTTAGAGGACCTCAAACATTAGCAATGCTTTTACATCCAAGAGGAATAGGAGAATGTGGCCACTTAACTCACTTCAGTTGCACCTGAGTTTAGCTTTACATTTTTTCTTCTTCTGGAGTCATAGCAGTTTTTAATCGTCTTTATTCATAGTTTGCTACTAAAATGCCCAGTTCGAGCCAAAATTATATTATAACCTAATAATCTCTGCTTTTCTTTTCTTTTTTTCTTTTTCTTTTTAAAAAAACAGATCTTCATTTGTGGGTTGGAAATATCCAGTACAAGGCAGTTCATTGGCTGACATGGATTATTTCAGCTTCTTGTTTTCAACTCTTACAGGTAAATTAATACATCTATTTTCTTCCAGGTAAAGTGTAGAAGTAATACTCTATATTAGGGTACTCATATTACTGTACAAAGTATCATTAGACAATTATATGGACATTAGAATTTAAGATACAGTGGTTTAATATAATAATAATAATAATAATAATAATAATAATAATAATAATAATAATAACTTTATTTATACACTGCTCCAACTCCTCGAGGGGACTCAGAGCGGTTCCCAGGTAACATCACAAAACATACAAAGTAAAAACAACATAACCATAAGATTAACAAAACAAAATATAAGCATAAAAATTGTCACCATAACACCCATATATTAAAAGTAATCCTGCCTGTTCAAGGCAATTAAAAAAATTAAAAGGCCGGGCCAAGATTTGTGCAAGCCCAAAAATTCTAGGGGGGTCGGGAATTAAGTGCAATGCTATGGCAGGCAACAATAATATGAGGTATGGGTCTGTGGCTGTTCATTCCGGGGCCGATTAGAGGAAAGAATCTGGGTAATTGGTAGGAAGAATAATGTGTAGGGCTGAGTTAGAATTGGTCATTTTCAAAGGCTTGTTGAAACCACCAGGTCTTCAAGCTCTTACGAAAGGAGGGGAGGGATGGGGCCTGTCTTATTTCCCTTGGAAGGGCGTTCCAGAGGCAGGGGGCCACCACTGAGAAGGCCCTCTCTCTCGTCCCCACCAACCGCGCTTGAGATGGTAGTGGGACCGAGAGGAGGGCCTCCCCGGGAGATCTTAGAGCTCGTGCCAGTTCATAGAAGGAGATAATAAAGCCTATCAGAAATGGGTTTTTATAATCACCAGTCATTATATGTCATTTACATTGAGATTCTTTACAGGATAGGTCATTAAAACGCACAGCTATCTAGCCTTTGTTTTTGGAGGTTTTTTTAAAGCCTTTTATTTCCATAAATGTAGCACACTCATTTGTACATTGTTTGAATCCTTGTTTTATGTGTTTGAATCCTTGTTTTAGTTACATTTTAAAACATGATTCTTATTTTGATTAGCTGTTGTATACTTCTCAATGTGCTTCATGATTATGATGTGGAGATAGCACCTTCTGAAAACTTTGTAGCAAATCCAAACAAAAATAAGTGAAATAATAATAATACAAATAAGTCACTCTCAAGTTTCTGCCTCACTGACTTCTCTGTTAATGTTTTTCAGGCTTTTCCAGAGAAGAGTTAACGAACCTTCAGAGTATTAGGGGGAAACCACACATAAGCCAAACACAGCTCTCCCCTGTCCACCTTTACCTGACTGATCTGGAACAGTTCTCCTTTCACTGGGCGGTGACTGAGGTAATGTCATATGCACTGAGAATGCAAAGTATTACTGTCATACATATATGAAAATAAAGTATTTTAAGGCCTTGGTGGAATATATTCTCCTAGAAAGTTTTTTAAAAGTGTCTGTGTTCCCTGCCTGGCTCTTGGGAGTAATATGATGTTAATGCTGGCTACAGCTGATAGATAGCAAATTTCAGGGTAGGCAGCCATAGAAAGCATTTGTAATGCTCCCATTATATACTGATTTGAGTGCCTTACTACTTTATTAGGTCTTTTAGCATCATAGATTTTTTAAAAAATAAAAAAATGATTTGTGTGTGTGTGTGTGTGTATGAAACTATTTGGAAAGGACCTTCATTTTTTCCATTTAAGTTCTGTTTAGCATAGTAAAAGTGTTTCCTTTCCCTTGAAAGGACAGCAGAATTTGAGTAAATTAAGTAACCAATGCACCAAGTTTACTGATGACAAAGTAGCCCAACTATTCATGTTTTTGCATCTTTTCTAGAGCGGTGAAAGTACCATATTTACTTGAGTATAATGTGACATCAAATGTATTGCACACTTCAATTTTGAAGATATGCATTACAAAAAAGAAGCATTGTCATGGGATGTGAGGTGGTGGTGGCAGCCACGAAAATGCTAGTAGGAAGCCATGCCCCTCCATCAGGTCTGGTAGGAATCTTGTAGTGGCCACGGTGAGGCTGTGGAAAGCTCTGCCTCTCCGTCTGGCTTTCCCATTAGCGTTTACACAGCCATCGCTGTCTTCTGCTCCACTAAAATGTCCTGGTAGGGAGCTGTGCCCGGTTATCATGCCTAACCACCAGGATTTTTTCAGCCAGCATCAGCTTCCCACCAACCTTTCCACAGCCTCTTCCTCCTTTGTCCCCAGCTGGAATCTCCTGCCCAATAGCACAGGCAGGTTTAGGTGCGTCATTTAATCTATAAATAAAAATTGTATTAGGCCCATATAACAAACTTAAACAAGGGAAATATGGAGAATGTTTAGGCAAAGAAAGTGAGGTTTTAAAATATATTTATGAAAGGACAGAAGATAAGTTGGGGACCCCTCCGCCAAGCACCAACTGCCGCACTGAGCCAGAGTGAAGGGGGGAGGGCAGGGAACAGTTCCACCTTGTCTCCGGCATATGTCATCAGCTGTGGACCCCTCCCCCAGCACCAAGTGCCGCTCTGGGATAGACTGAAAGGGGGGGGGGGGAAGGGGACAGTTCCATCTTGTCTCTGGCATATGCCATCAGTTGGGGGCCCCTACCTATAGCAGCAACTGATGCTCTGGGCCAGAGTGAAGAGAGAGGGGGCGGGGACAGTTCCACCTTGTCTCTGGCATATGTCATCAGCTGTGGACCCCTCCCCCAGCACCAAGTGCCGCTCTGGGATAGAGTGGGGGGGGCAGGGGGCAGTTCCATCTTGTCGCTGGCATATGCCATCAGTTGGGGGCCCCTACCCGTAGCAGCAACTGATACTCTGGGCCAGAGTGAAGAGAGGGGGGGCAGGGGACAGTTCCACTTTGTCTCTGGCATATGTCATCAGCTGTGGACCCCTCCCCCAGCATCAAGTGCCGCTCTGGGATAGAGTGAAGGAGGGGAAGGGGGCAGTTCCATCTTGTCTCTGGCATATGCCATCAGTTGGGGGCCCCTACCCGTAGCAGCAACTGATGCTCTGGGCCAGAGTGAAGAGGGGGGGGGGGGCAGGGGACAGTTCCAACGTGTCTCCTGTGCTATACTAATAATATAATATAATATAATATAATATAATATAATATAATATAATATAATTTACTGTATATGCCTATACTATAATATTATAATGTAATGCAATAATAATAATAATAATATCATAATTATATATTTTATATTACATGTAATATTACTAATAATATAACAATATAATAGTATAGTACAATATAGTAATATATAATACTGATATTGTACTATGCTAATAATATAATATATTGTATGTATATATATCTTGTAGGCCGCTCTGAGTCCCCTTCGGGGTGAGAAGAGCGGCATATAAATGTCGTAAATAAATAAATATTGTGCACCTCAATTTTGGTAATTTAACAAAAATGTGCACATTAGATTCAAGTAAATATGGTCGTATATGCTATCAAAATCTAAATAGAATGTTAGCATTGCTGATCAAAATTTAGTTCTTGAGTAAGGAAGCTGTGAACTATGAAGTATTTCTGATGTCAGGTGGAGAATATTTTGTTATAGGCTCTTTGCTGATTTGGTTGTGAACTTTGAAACCTGGAAATATACAGGTGTTCATATGACCTAAAATATAAAGCAGAAAGCCCTGTGTATTGGAGGATGTGTGTGCGTCACCAAGAGCATAGACATAGCTGAGTTCCAGGCAGAATGCCAACATAACTATCAACATTATACAAGCATATCAAACAGTGGCGTGACTGAACAGGGACCTTAAAACAGGTGCCTTGTTAAGAGTACCAGCTGGTGCGATCGGATGAATGATGTAATCTGATGAAAAGCAGCCAAGATCTAAATACCTAATGTTATGTCACTTTTAGAGGACCAGGAAATGTACCTTAGCAAGATATGTCAGCTGGCTAGGCTACCAGAAGTATAAAACTATCTGAGAAGAGAGAAAGGCCACATACCTTTGTCATATAAAGATAGCTGTTGATAAGCAGTTGCTTTTCATATACTATATTTTGCTAATGAAATAGATAATGCTGGTAAGAGCAAATTTGAACAGAACAATTCAGTTATAGGTAACTTGTTTTAAGAAGGAGAGAGGCAGCTTGGAGACAGGAAGCACCCCTTTGTGTTAACATAAATCCTGCTTTTGGTAGTCACTGCCTAAATGGAAGTGGGGCTATATGGGCACATGTCAGCTCAGAAGGATAGTGGTTCTGCTCAAAAAGTTGGCATGGCTGATGTCGTTTTTAAACTACATAGCTTTCTGAGCTTTTATTTTAATTAGGAACCTATCCTTCCTCAGGGGTCATTCCCTCACTTAATTGGTTTGGAGTAACACTCAACTTTGTTGCTACTTCTTTGCTTGAAACAACTATGATAGGTTTGATTTCCGATTGCCAGAAGTTGAAAACTACTTGAAGGTGCAATTTGAATTTGTTTGTATTAGTGGGTGACTTTATGATGATTTTCCATGAGATAGAAAGAAGACATGCATAGCAATAATTCCATTGTTTCACAGTGGTGAAATGATGGTAAGATTTTGGAATGTGGTACTTTTTGGCAGGATTCTATTGCTATAAATTTAGACAGACCCACAATGAATGTTGATAATTCTATTTTTTTTCTGTTGCAACAGGTAGTGAGCCAGTGCCTCTCCACAATATCTTCACGAAGTCAATGCATAGATATTGTACAAAGTGGCATTTGTAAATACCTGGTAGGTGATTTTATTTACATCCCTTACCTTTATGCCCAGGAATTACTCTCATTGTTTGTAACTGCTTGTATCCAGTTGTCAGTGGTAATTGAATTCTATCCATTTTTTAAAAAAGGTATGTGAAAAAATGTATGTGTACGGTAACAAGATTCAGATAATACACTATTAGCAATGGAAGCTTTATTCATTTATGAATTTTAATGACATTTCACTCCCGGTCTACAAGGGTTCCTATGGGGACTAACAAATAACCTCTCATCGGTGATCATTTGTGTCCGAGTAGAATAGCCTTCCAAGGTTATTTATTTATTTAGAACTTTTATATACCGGTCTTCCCACCTCCAACGAGGGACTCAGGTCGGTTTACAACAAGGGAATTCATACACAATAGTTTAAAAACATCACATCAATAATACACTAATATAAACACATTAAAGTACTATCATATAATTGTATAAAGTCAAGTCGTCAGCATAAAAATCACTATTCATCCCCATCCGCCTGTGCGGTCAAGAGTCATTGCCTCACTCATCAAATGCCAGATTCCAAAGCCAGGTTTTTCACCAACCTTCTAAAGGTCAGGAGGGAAGGAGCAGTTCTAATCTCCAATGGGAGAGAGTTCCAGAGCCGAGGGGCCACCACCAAGAAGGCCCTGTCCCTCGTCCCCACCAGACGCAATTGTGAAGATGGTGGGACCGAGAGCAGGGCCCCTCCAGAAGATCTTAACAAGCTTGATGGTTCATAGGGGAGAATCCGTTCAGACAGGTAAACTGGGCCGGAGTCGTTTAGGGATTTATACGTCAGCACCAGCACTTTGAATTGTGCTCGGAAGCTAATTGGCAGCCAGTGGAGCTGGCGCAACAGAGGAGTAGTATGCTCCCTGTACCCCGCTCCTGTTAGTAATCTGGCTGCTGCTCGTTGGACTAATTGCAGCTTCCGGGCAGTCTTCAGAGGCAACCCCACGTAGAGAGCGTTGCAGTAGTCTATACGGGATGTGACCACCGTGGACAAGTCAGATTTCCCAAGGTATGGGATTAGGTGACTGTGGAGACCTATTCTTGATCCTCATGTTCTTCCACAGTAAGGACATCGGTTTCCAGATGGAAGGTGGTCCTGGTCAGGGTTGGCTTGACGCGCCTTCCTTCTTGATGCATTTCTCCCTTTCGCCCTCCATTCGTGCCTCTTCAAATTTCACAGCATTGTTGGCAACAGCTGACCTCCATCAGGATGCTTGCCATAGGTGCAGGCAAAACGTCAGGAGAGAATGCCTCTAGAACATGGCCATATAGCCCGAAAAAATCTACAACAACCCAGTGATTCCGGCCATGAAAGCCTTCAACGACATTAACCTTGTTTGTACATAGATTTATCTCAAACTCTCTTATATTTTTCATATTCAAGGATTTTATATCCATTTTATATCTTTCTAGAAGCTGTTTATATGTGTGCCAATTAAGGTCAGTTCCTTTATCCAGTAATTCCTGTTGTGTTTTGAATCTGTGTTTTCCAAATAGTATGTTTATGGTCTATCTGTTTTGTAAATGCCTTGTTAGTTGAAATCCCAATAGAGTCTTAGAATATTATGTTTTTTAAAACCCCTAAAAGGGTTATACTAATGTGATGGCAGCACCAAAGAGCAGCTGCCCAGAGAGGAGAAGCCACACGAATTGGCTGTGCTGAAGCAGCCATTGTGGGATGTGATAGTGGCACGAAAGAGGACAGGTTAGCAGTCAACTTTCATCTTTCCGAGTTACAAACGCTAATGGGAGAGCTTTTGCACAATTAAAACTTGTGTGCCAGTTGCGCCCGTACCTTGGGAAGTCTGATTTGGCCACAGTGGTCCACGCTCTTGTTACATCCCGAATAGATTACTGCAATGCGCTCTATGTGGGGTTGCCTTTGAAAACTGTTCAGAAACTTCAGTTAGTCCAACAGACGGCAGCTAGATTAATCACCGGAGCGTCATACAGGGAACATACCACCCCTCTGTTGTGTCAGCTCCACTGGCTGCCGATCCAGTTCCAAGCACAATTCAAAGTGCTGGTTTTGACCTATAAAACCCTATATGGCTTCGGCCCAGCGTACCTGTCCGAACGTATCTCCTTCTATGTCTCAGAGTTTAAGATCTTCTGGGGAGGCCCTGCTCTCGGCCCCGCCTCCATCACAAGTGAGGCTGGTGGGGATGAGGGACAGGGCCTTCTCAGTGTGGCTCCTCGCCCGTGGAACTCACTCCCCGGAGAAATTAGGTCATCGACATCACTCCTCTCCTTCAGAAGGGAGCTGAAAACATGGATATGGGACCAGGCCTTTGGGTAATCTGGCAGACTGAGAAGGTAATGACGACCAGAATTTGGAAAGCACTATGGTAATGCTGAATGGACTTACGGATTTGAGAACTCTGTGAACGTTGGCCACTAGATTGGCTTTTTAGTTGTTACTGTATTAATTGAATGTTTTCACTATAGTGGTTATTGTTGTTATGTATTTTATCTGTTGAATTGTTGGCATCGAATTGTGCCGGTTGTAAGCCGCCCTGAGTCCCCCATAGGGGGTTGAGAAGGGCGGGGTAGAAGCGCCATAAATAAATAAATAAATAAATAAATAAATAAATAAATAAATAAATAAATAAATAAATAAATAAATAAATAAATCAGATATGAGGATGGAGAGGCTTTCCAGAGGCTGTCCCTTCCTCTCTCAATAAACTCCAAGGTCTTCCGGGGAGGCCCTCCTCTCGGTCCCACTACCGTCTCAAGTTGGTGCGGACGAGAGAGAGGGCCTTCTCAGTGGTGGCCTCCCGCCTCTGGAATGCCCTTCCAAGGGAAATAAGACAGGCCCCATCACTCCCCTCCTTTTGTAAGAGTGTGAAGACCTGGTGGTTTCAACATGCCTTTGAAAATGGCCAGTTCTAACTCAGCCCTACACGTTGTCGAATACAGCCTTATTCTTCCTAGCAATTACCCAGACAATTTCCTCTAGTCGGCCCTGGAATGAAGAGCCACAGACCCGTACCTAATATTATTGTTGCCTGCCATAGCATTGCATTTAATTCCCGGGCCCCCTAGAATTTTAGGGCTTGCACAAATCTTGGCCTGGCCTTTTAATTCTTTTTTAAATTGCCTTGAACAGGCAGGACTACTTTTAATATATGTGTTTTATGGCGACAATTCTAATGCATATTTTGTTTTTGTTAATCTTATGGTTATGTTGTTTTTACTTTGTATGTTTTGTGATTTTTACCTGGGAACCGCTCTGAGTCCCCTCGGGGAGATAGAGTGGTATATAAATAAAGATTATTATTATTATTATTATTATTATTGTTGTTGTTGTTGTAAATGGGTGGCACTCAACAACATTTTACTATTGCCAATTTTTTGTGACCCCAACATTGAGCAGGGGACCACAGCTCCTGATTTAAGAAAGAAAAAAAAACCCTAAAGAGTCTAGGATGCCATCGATTCTAAGACATCCCTCTTTTTTTGCCCTCTATTTTAGGGGGAAAGTTCATCTTAGAATCAGCGAAATACAGTATTTGCTTTTTATAAACTGGTGACTTCCCCTGGAACATGTTTGTTAATACAGAACCAAAACCAAAAGAAAGGAAGAGCAGGTTGTAAAATCTTAACAGACTGAAGGGCTACTGAAATTGTTGCTAGTATTCTCTTAAGAACACAGACACTAAGAAAGAACTATGATAAAAATGAGAGGCTCTGTGTAATGAATTTATTTTGTTTTGTCTCCTAGGCAGGATTAACTGTAATACCTGACAGCACTGCTGGATCTGTTTTGTGTGCCATTAGTAAGCTCATGGATCAAGGGTGCCTCCTGAATGAAAACCTCTTCAAGTTCCTAACTTCTTTGTGTTACAGTCTCCTTTTTCTCCTCTTAACAATAGAGCGAGAAGATTCAGAACATTTACAGAAGAGGTAAATGTTTTAATTTTGTTTACTTAACTCTTAAAAGTTCTTGCATGTGCAAAAGATTCATTAGGAGAATATGCATCCAAATGAATAAATGTGTAAGTATAGCTTTTAACTTGCTTATTTTAGTGAGGAATATGGTAGTTGTATCCTTATAGTCACTTTAATCTTTGGAATTCTTTGTGGTTTCATTAATATTCCCTTTTCCTAAATTTGAGATATAAATTGTAAACAATACAATTTTAGAAGCTGTGCTGTCAATTAGTCTATTTTTCTCTCTGAATGCCATGTTCAAAAAGATATGCCATTTATGGAATTGGTTTCAGGTTGTAGTTGATTAGAGTTAACCAGACAAGAATGTTTACTTCTTAAGTTATTGTATGTTAATTATTTTTTTCTGGCCAAGCATATCCCAGCCTATAAAACTACTGCCCCTCATGTTTTGAGATCTGCCATGCAATATGCAGGAACCTGAAAGAGAGGAGGCAGGGCAGGTTATGGAGAGCAGTTATGTGAGGCCACAAATCAGTTTTGTGTGCTGTGTTTTTTAAAATTTGATTTGTTCAGCAAATAGGTGAGCTGAGTAATTTCAGCACACATACCACATATTTCATGTTCTCTCTTCAGATTGACAGACTATGTATCCTGTCCACTATTACTGTGCCTGTGCATATTGTAATTTGTATATTGTTATGTATTCACTAGCTGTCCCCTGCCATGCGTTTCTGTGGCCCACATGGGGGTTCTATCATTGATGGGATTCAGAATGCTCTGATTGTAGGTGAACTATAAATCCCAGCAACTACAACTCACAAATGTCAAGATTCTATTTCCCCCAAATTCCACCAGTGTTCACATTTGGGCATATTGAGTATTTGTGTAGAGTTTGGTCCAGATCCATCATTGTTTGAGTCCACAGTGATTTCTGGATGTAGACTCCAAAACCAAAGGACACTGCCCACCAAACCCTTCCAGTATTTTCTGTTGGTCATGGGAGAACTGTGTGCCAAGTTCGGTTCAATTCCATTGTTGATGGAGTTCAGAATGCTCTTGGATTGTAGGTGAACTATAAATCCCAGAAACTACAACTTCCAAATGACAAAATCTTTTTTTTTTTTGAGTAAAGGACATACATTGGGTTGTTAGTTGTCTTGTGTCCAAATTTGGTGTCAATTCGTCCAGTGGTTTTTGAGTTCCGTTAATCCCACAAACGAACGTTACATTTTTATTTATATAGATTTGTTTTATGTAACTATGTTACTATTTATTGTTTGCGTTTTTGGTTTGTGTTTTTGGTTTTTCTTTATTGTAATTGTCATTTGGGCTTGGCCTCATGTAAGCCACTCCGAGTCCCCATCAGGGAGATGGTGGCGAGGTATAAATAAGGCTTATTATTATTATTACGATTATTACGATTATTATTATTATTATTACTATTATTATGTTCTGTTCTATTACAGGGATGTGCTGTGGGGGGCCTGCATTTCATTGCTTACTACCTTGCCTCGGATTTTGAGGCTGATGCTTCTGAGCCTTCACGTGAACAGAATCTGTCGAGAAGAATTGCCTGTTGTGGCTCAGCTCCTGCGTTTACTAATGCAACACGGGCAGCTTCGGAGTCATATGGTGGCCAATGAACCTCTGGTGAAGCAGATTGTCAGAGATATGATGGTAAGAGACAATTTCCTTTTTTTAAAATATCTATATTTTTTCAGCAATTTAAGTTTTGTTATACAATTGTAAATACCATATTTTTTCCATATACGATTTATATCACTACATGCAGTAATTAAAACTAGTTTCCCCCACCCTCCCCACTAAAAATAATAAAATGTTAAAATGGACTTCCCACCTCAAAGATACACAATGAAAAGACTACTCATCTCTTATCTTGGACAATTTATTCATTCTACTTTGCCATTTCAATGGTTTACTGAATCTTCAAAAATCACAAGCACTTTTACATTTTTCTTTATTTGTGATTGTACTGTTGCCGCTGGGCCTGTATCTGGTTGGCTTTAAAATAGGATGTGTAACCTTTGGCCAGCGGGAAGCCCAAGGAAAAGTTCTCAGGGGCTTCCTCTACAAGAGAATCTTCAGATGGCTTGAGAAATACAATAAAGTCTTTTATTAATGAATTCAACGGGAACTACAAGGCTTTCTTGATAAAGTATTGGTTCTCTCAATCTTGTCCACAGGGGACAGGCACTATCTTCAATAACGTTTTCTTTAAAGGAAAATTCCCCTTTTTAACTTCTCCCAGGCTGACTAAAATCCAACCCTCGCTGATGCGTGCTCCGTTACCGGGCCAGACTGCTTCTCGGATGCCGAGTGGACCTACCAGCAAGGCAGTGGATGTTCTCCAGCTGGAGTTCTTTAGTCTTTAGGGCTGTTTCCTGGAAATTCCCAAAGCTGAGGGAATGCTTCCCTGGAGTTCCTTAGGAGTCTCTTAAAGCTGTTCTCCCCTGGATTGCTTAAAGCTGTGGGAATGCTTCCCTGGCGTTCTTCTCCTGGAGATTCTTAAAAGTTGAAGCCTTTGTACAGGGGAAGTTACATCGGCTATACATCGGCTAACCTGGCTGAGACTAACTAACAAAATGGCTCACTTCCCTCCAAAGCCCAAAAAGGGGGCGGGACTAGGGAACCTAATAATAATTGACAGGCAATTGACCCAATAACTGCAAAGTAAGGAAAGCCATCTAACTGCAAAGGCATAGAACTTTAAAATACATGCAGCAATCAACAAATAGCAAGATAAGCTGGAGCTCCTGGTGCGGCTGTCCCAGAACAGTGATATCAACTGACTTATCCTTTATCAAACAAAACTTATCTATTTCTTCCAGATCTAGAATATTTATCAACCAATTCTATTTTAGGTGTAGTTCTTTGGTTTTCTATTTTTGTGCATAAAGTACCCTGTTTCCCCTAAAATAAGACATACCCATAAAATAAGCCATAGCAGGATTTCTAAGCATTTGCACAATATAAGCCATACCCCGAAAATAAGACATAGTGATATGCATGGCTATGCAGCATACATGGTAGGCTTCCCCTACCAGGTCCCGATCGTTCTGTGTGTACTGCAAGCTGAGGCATAGAGGGAGACATAGAAAGTGAAAATAAAGTAGGACACTCTGCTTTAGGTATTGTGTGTCTTCAGGGGGAAGAAATAAAGCTGTAGCTGCCGTTTTACTCAAAACTATGGGTCTCTCTCCTCCAGCACCAACCAGCTACAGTCTGTGGGTCTCTCTCACCCCCACAAACACCAGGGGATAGGGGAAAAGCTTCACAAAAAGCTACACAAGGGGATAGGGAAAACACCAGGGGATAGGGGAAAAGCTTCAAAAGCAGTCTGCTACTGAGGCCAGAGAAATCATCCCATAAATGCAGATTGTTGTACCATACTTAATAAAAATAAGACATCCCCTGAAAATAAGCCATAGTGTGTCTTCTTGAGGAAAAATAAATATAAGACAGTGTCTTATTTTCAGGGAAACATGATAGTCATACTGTAACAATCAAATAAAGTAATAACTTAAAATTTAGGATTCTTCTTTGTTTATTTGGATGTCCCTGTAGAAAAAGTTAATTCTAGCTGTATCCCAATTTTAAATACTCTTTTAACACATTTTGTATCAATATCGAATATTCTTTGCTTTGCTGCAGTCCCACCACATGTGATAAAAAGTACCTTGATGTGTTTTATATTTCTAACATTAATGTTTAATGCCCTTGTACATTCTTGCAAGTTTGACCAGAGTCAGATACCATCTATACATTATTTTGTTTCCTTTAGGCCAAAACTTAGAATACCTTTTGGTTCTTTTGACCACATTTTGACCACATTGCCTCCCATCTCTCCGACTCATTATTCTGTCTAGGATTTTGTTTCCATTGAATCATACGTTCTTTTATTTGTTTTTCCTCTAATTTCATTTTCAGTAGCAATTTAAACATGTTCCAATTTAAGTGAACATCATCTGTACAAACATTGGTTTTGAATTCAATTTTATTTTCTTTAAATTTAAATAGTGTTTTGTCTTTTATAAAGTGATGTTTGTATCAATTTAATTCCACTCCTTCCAACAATTTATTTTTCGAATCTGTGTTGATCCTTTGAAAATATATTAAATCTATGTATATTGTTGATTTTACATTTGTTGTCTTATCTAGATTATAAAATGTCTCCTGAGTGGAAATGCAAAGAAGTAGTTTATTCCCTTGCCTGGTTTTCAGTTTATGTCTCTTTTTTCAGCAGTAGTCAACCTAAATGAAATTTAGGGTGGTATTTACAGTTAATTATACCTCCTTTTCCTCCTCCATTTTTAGGCGCTGAAGAGTGGTGAAACCCAAGAGCAGTGGCTAACAGATCTCCATTACTATTTCAACATATACTTAGCCACGCATCCCTTGGGATGTGGGGCAGCTAACTCAGTCTATTAAGGAGAACAGCTGCCTTTAGTTGAAATCTTTTGTGTTCATTTTGGTATGAATCCAAAATCATAATTTTATGTGGAAATTAAAATACGTTTTGTAAAACCTGTCCGCGTTTTATTTTTATAACTAATTTTATTATTGTAGAAAAATATAAAAATGGCCATTACAAGCGTAGCTGAATCTAGCCAATTAATAGATTTTAATGGGACAACGGTGAGGGCAAATATCAGTTTCTGTGGAACTCTGGATCTTCTAAGGATGGCATCCTGCATTTCAGTTAAAGATTAACAACCTACACAGCCCAACCAATTTTTTTTTGTCTTGTTGTCTTTTTTAGGCCTGTTCCTGGGATTAGTTGGGGTGTTAATTCAGAAAATTACATTGGAGAGACCATATCAGCTTTTATTTCATAGATACGGTTATCATAGTTTTCTATGAGCACGCAGATTATTTATTTATTTGTCATGTCAGGAGCAACCAGTCGATTATATTACATTTCTAACAGAACAAAGCAAACAAACAGACAAAATATAAAATTTGTGAGTTTGGTAGTTGATTAAATGTCCTTTGACCAGTATCTGGTCACTTGGAGTGCTTCTGGTGTTGCTGCAAGAAGGTCCTCTGTTGTGCATGTGGCAGGGCTCAGGTTGCATTGCAGCAAGCGGTCAGTGGTTTGCTCCTCTCCACAATCGCATGCCGAGGATTCCACTTTGTAGCCCCATTTCTGAAGGTTGGCTCTGCATCTTGTGGTGCCAGAGTGCAGTTTGTTCAGCGCCTTCCAAGTCGCCCAGTCTTCTTTGTGCCCAGGGGGGAGTCTCATTTGGTATCAGCCATTGGTCGAGGTTCTGGGTTTGAGCCTGCCACTTTTGGACTCTCGCTTGCTGAGGTGTTCCAGCGAGTGTCTCTGTAGATCTTAGAAAACTATTTCTAGATTTAAGTCGTTGACGTGCTGGCTAATACCCAAACGGGATGAGCTGGAGATGTCTCTGCCTTGGTCCTTTCACTATTGGCTGCTACTTCCCAGCGGATGTCAGGTGGTGCAATACCGGCTAAGCAGTGTAATTTCTCCAGTGGTGTAGGGCGCAGACACCCCGTGATAATGCGGCATGTCTCATTAAGAGCCACATCCACTGTTTTAGTGTGGTGAGATGTGTTCCACACTGGGCATGCATACTCAGCAGCAGAGCAGCACAGCGCAAGGGCAGATGTCTTCACTGTATCTGGTTGTGATCCCCAGGTTGTGCCAGTCCGCTTTCATATGATATTGTTTCTAGCATGCAGATGAAGACTGGTATATGACATATGCTCTGTATTTCAAAAACTGAAGCTGATCAGGGAAAACCGGTGCCATTTTTGGAATCAGTTGATCAAATAAACCCAGAAACAATATTTGAGGCATCAAAATGTGTGTTGGTCAGTGATTATCAATACAACCTAAATGTTCTATAGTTAGCTACACCATACTTCTGTACAAGTCTTAGGAAGATAGGCGGACAAATAGCAATTTTGAAGAAGCAATGCCCACTAGCATCAAAACGATTCTCCACCATCAATTTTGCTGGACTGGCCACATTGTCTGAATGTCCAATCACCATTTCTCAAAGCAGTTATGTTATTCCCAGCTCAAGAATGGAAAACAGAATGTCAGTGGACAGCAAAAGAGACTTAAAGAAGGCCTTAAAGCTAACCTAAAAATTGTGGTACAAACACCAAGAACTGGGAAGATATAGCACTTGAGCGCTGTAACTGGAGGTCAGCTGTTGCCAACACTACTATGGATTTTGAAGAGGCACGAATAGAGGGTGAAAGGGAGAAACATGCCAAGGGGAAGGCACATCAATCAAACTCTTGTTGTGACTGCCTGTCATCTGGAAATCTATGTCCTCTATGTAGCAGACTATGTAGATTCAGAATAGGTCTCAGTCACTTATGGACCCAAAGAGTCTACTCTTGGAAGGCAATCATACTCGGCCATGAATAATTGCCTATGATAGTACCTGCAATGATCATATCACTTCCAAATCCACTTTAAACCCAAAATGATGCCGCAACCCCTTTCTTATCTCCCAGCCTTCCCAAGGTGTGGCTTTCTGGAGTTTAAGGTGGGTTTCAGTGCTAACTGAATAAGATAATTCATAATCATAGCTACAAATACAAGGGGTATTTTTTGTGGTATGCGCGCGAACTACTAGTGTCTACAACAAAACGGACCTTACTTAAAAAATACCCCTCGTATGATGCATGATCTCAGTGGTGATGCCATTGTTACATTTAATTGTAGTGTTCTGAGTAATGAACTGTGTTCACACATGCAAATTATGTGATTGCAGAGGGCGTTAGTTGAAACATCTAAAAGGTAGGGAAAGGGTTGGTGAGAGTTCAAAAGCACAAAAGTAAAATCAAAACAATGAGAGAAAGTGGCAAAACTCAGAATACTTTTTGAGGAATATTTTGTGGATTTTCTCATTTTACATAACAGTGAAATGTGTTCACAACTAGCCAATGTTCAGGCAAGTGATGATTAAAACCAATGAGTTGGGTGATATTACTTTGCAGGACAAAACAAAGATGGGAATATGGAAGAATAGAGGATAGCTTATCTTGTTGAGTGAAGAAGAGGTGTCAGAGCCCCCTGGCTGTTTACATTTTGGTTATTTGAAAGATCACTTGGAGTTTGGTTTGAAAAGATGGGTAAGAGATGTGGGCTCAGAGGACTGGCCAGAAACTTGTTAGTTAAGTGTGGCTTCCATGGACATATACCTGTTTTGTACAAAAAAGGGTGTTCTGTACCCCTTTCCAAATCTTGTCCCAGGAAATGCTGGTGCTGAAGATCACCTTAGAAGCCATAAGCCTTAGCCTGTTTGACCCCACGAAGCTCACAGGTACCTGTTTTAAGGCAACCTCAAAGTCACATGATTCTCCATCCCTGAAGACACATCCTTGCCAATTTGCCCATGTCCTCAGAGACACCAATGGCCTCCTTGCCAATGTGCCCATGAATCTGTAGAGACGTTTGCTTTCCCTAACCCAATTGCACATGCCTAAATCGGGGTTTCCATCTGTACAGAAATTTATTGAAGTTTTCAAACATACACAAACGAATTATACACAAATGTCAAAAATATGATTTGTGGCTTCTCATTTATATTAAAGACAACAGCATTCTAATATTTTACCAGCTTTCCCAATATTGAACAGTTTAATTTTCATTACTGTTTCAAGTGCTTAAGAGAGTTTCCCCGCATGGCTAGCCTGTGAATTCACACATGTGGTAATCCCTGCGTGCGCACGCAGGCAGCAACGGACATTCTCGAGCTCACTCCAACTGACCGTTAGAATAGCCCCGCCCTTTTCTCCTCACTCCTATAAATAGCCCTGCCGCGGGGCTACTGGCCAGTACATTAAATCCGCCGCAAAAAGGCAGCATCGGATACATTAACTTTATTTATTTAATACATTTAAGATGACAACTTCTTTCAAGAAATGCGTGTCTTGTTCAAATAAAATACCGGACAATGACTCACACCTTCAATGTGTAGCCTGCCCGGGAGAAGCACATCTCTCCCAGGCGTGTGAAATATGCAGGGCTTTTACACCCCGAACTAAAAAATATAGGGAGCTGCGACTGAAAGCAGCTTTGTATGAACAAGCCCTTCTCCCGATGCCTCAGAAGGAAGGGGAAGGGACACCGAACTTAAAAACTATTAAGAAAATCCAGGCGGCTACATGCCCCAAAGATGCACAATCCGCCTTAAAGAAGAGAAAAGCCAAGCCGCCTCTTCCCTCGCGAGAGGGGAAGATGGCGCCGCAACTTGCTATCGACATGGAAAAAGGGGCAAAAGAGGCCTCTTTGCCAAGAGAGATACAAACTGGGGCAGAAGGGGCGACCCTTAAACCGCCCGCTGATCAAGGCAAGGGCCAGATGGCCGAAACAAGCTCAACTGAATCTCCACCTACCTTAGTAAGAGCCCTGAATGGGGGCCATGATCCAAAAGACGCACCGATACCGATGGTTTCGGTATCAATGCCGCCGAGCAGGCTGCTTGGGGAACCCTCCCCTAAACGTGCGAGAGCGTGCCCTCCTTCGCGTAGCCCAACAAAAGGGAAGGAAGGACGTCGGCGGTCCCCATTGAGGAGCTCAACAAGCTCCTCCTCCTCTGACTCATCATCAAGCTCCTTCCCCTCTCCCAAGAGGGGAAGAAAGCACAAGGCTAAAAGCCAGGGAAGCCACCCTAAAGCTTCCTCAATGGGCAAAGGCAACCAGGACTGGCGGCCCCCCATGCCCCCGAAGGATGGCTACTGGCAAATGACTCCTCAGGAGCACATGGTGTTCGAATCCATATGCCTGGCAGCCAGATAATACAAGAGGGAGAGATACTAAGGGCAAACATAATGTAAGACGTTTAAACCAAATAGAAGATAATTATGAGGACCCCTTGGAAGGCCCTTCTACACCATGTACTAGACAGGTCATAGATGAGAATCAAGAGTCATTAATAGACTTATCTGAGTCGTCTGACGATAACCCTTTATTTCTTGAAGAAGTAAAGGAGAGGGATCAAGATAAATCTAACATAGAAGAATTTAAGAAATTCAATGCTATATTGTCCAGAATGATAAGAGCATTGGACTTACCAACACCTAAGCCACAGGAAACAATGGAAGATCCAATGTTCCCTACTGACGAACAAGATGTTCCTAATACTACGGCACTACCATCTTTACCTTACCTTTTAAAACTTACAAAAATTCCAGAAGGGTCACCAGCAGCAGCACCAGCCATGCCCAGAAAAGTGGACAATCTTTATAGAATTGACTTAACAAATGCAGACTGGTTGGTTCGCCCCTTTAAACCTAATACTGTAATAGCTGAAGTAGGGCAAGGCAAGAAATCTAGGAAAACTGCAATGACACCAGCAGATAAAGAAGGGAAAAAACTAGACACCATGGGAAAGAAAATGCATATGGCAGCAGGCCTAATTACGAGAATGGCTCATTACGCAACCTATATGAGCGCATATCAGACCTTCTTATGGAACAAGGTACTGCCATATGTCAATATACTACCAGAGGAAGAGCAACATCTGCCTAGAGCATTTGCAACGGAGGCCTTGCTCCTATCTAAATATCAGAAAGATTTTGCAAAACATTTAGCGGAATCAGCTGGGAAAATGTTTGCAATAGCAATATCAACTAGACGTCATGCTTGGCTGAGAGCATCTGACTTATCAGAAGAGGGTAGATCTTTAGCAGAGGAACTACCTATGCTCCATGATGGGTTGCTTAACACGACAACAGATGACAAATTGAAGCACAACCAAGAAATGAAGAAAACTATACAAATATATGGTTTTCCAAAACAAAACTCATACCAACAACGACCGAGATGGCAGAACGCTTCACCTTACTATAGAAGAGGCTACGGTAACTACATGAATACGCAACAACGTCAATATCCCATGCAATACAGCAGACCATTTGTGCCTAAGAAGCAAAGTTTCCGGACGAAGAACCATTTCCAACCATATCAAAGAAAACCAAACCGCACTGGGGGTCCAAAGCAGCATTTTTGATAAAGATTCAGCAGAGGGAACGTCCACAGTTGGATCTGTACCACAAGTTGTTTATGTTACACATGTTGAATGCTTTAGTTATGACAGGAATGGGGAAGTTTGTAAGGAATCTTCCATGTTTGGCGATCGCCTAGCCCGTTTTTATGATGTTTGGGCTAGAATAACAACAGACAAGTGGGTTTTGAAAATTATTAAGCACGGTTACTACATTGAATTTAAGCAGTTGCCACCTGTTGGGCGACTTAAAGTTACAACTCAATCTCCTTTACTGCAGGAAGAGATTGATAAGCTCCTATCAAAAGGGGCCATTTCTCCATTGCCTCCAGGAGTTCAAAAGTTTTGTTTTTATTCAAGATACTTTTTGGTGTCTAAAAAGGGAGGTAGTCAACGACCAATCTTAGATCTGAGGGACGTAAATTCCTACATAGAACCTAAGAAATTTCGGATGTTATCGTTGAAGATACTGTTACCATTATTGAATAAAGGTGATTGGTTCGCAACGGTGGATCTTAAAGATGCTTATTTCCACATTTCAATAAATAGGGAGCATAGGAAATATCTAGCTTTTATGGTGGGAAACCGTGCTTATAACTTCAATGTCTTGGCTTTCGGGCTCGCAACTGCGCCACGAGTATTTACTAAGTGTATGGCGGCAGTAGCAGCTTACCTACACACCTCTGGTGTTATGGTTTACCCGTACATAGATGACTGGTTAATTGTGGCTAGATCTAAAGAAACACTTGAAGAGCATGTCAAAAAAACCCTGTTTTCTCCAGTCCCTAGGTCTCTTCGTGAATTGGGAAAAATTCCAGCTCATGCCGACAAGAAGAATTCAGTTTATTGGCGCAGTACTGGATTCGGAGTTAGAGAGGGCGTTCCTACCCGATGACCGTTTCGAAAATCTAAAAAAACTGATTCTTCAAGTCTTTCAGGGAAAAAGAGTGAAAGCCAGAAATATCCAGGTCATTCTGGGACACATGGCATCTACCATAGCAGTGACCCCTCATGCACGGCTGAACATGAGAATACTGCAATCGTAGTTCCTTTCTTTGTATGACCCACTAACACACAGGCCCTATGTACTCCCATCATTGCCTGGGGAAGTTCACACATCCCTACTTTGGTGGCTGGAGCGCAGCAATGTCTGTGTGGGCCTGCCATTCCAAGAAGTCACCGCTTCAAAGACCATGACAACAGACTCTTCACTCATGGGGTCGGGAGCACATATGGACGATCTCACGGCACAGGGGCAGTGGACATCACTAGAGTCCACTCTACACATAAACCAGTTGGAACTACTAGCAGTAGGAAAGGCATTGAAGGCCTTCGAGCTAGTACTATCCGGCAGGGTCATCCAGATCCTTACAGACAATACTACTGTAATGTATTATATCAACAAACAGGGAGGCACACACTCCCCCACATTATTGACATTAACACTGAGAATATGGCAATGGTGTGTGGAACAAAACATTCATCTCATCGCAGTCCACCTACCAGGAAAACAAAACACCCTAGCAGATTTTCTGAGCAGAAGTCCACTAGGTCATCACGAGTGGTCTCTGAATGAGGAAGTAGCATCTCAACTTTTCAAGGAGTGGACGACTCCCACAATAGATCTCTTTGCATCAATGCTGAACAGGAAGTGTTGCCTGTTTTGCGCAAGATGGGAGAGAAATTTAGCGCCGAACTGCATGGGGGACGCTTTTTCAATACATTGGGGGGCGCAGGAAGTGTATGCGTTTCCACCGTTTCCCCTGATTCTGAGGGTGGTGTCGAAACTGTGCCGCAAGAGGGCCAAAGGGATTTTGATCACTCCTTGGTGGCCTCGTCAGCCGTGGTTTGCGCTGGTTCTACAGCTATCCAAGAGGAGGTTCAGACATTCCCATGCAGAACGGATCTGTTAACAACAGGACAATTGTGTCCTTTATCCAGATGTACAGGACCTGAGGCTAACTGCCTGGAGAATTCTCCCGTTCCAGTAGGATTAGACCCAGATTTATCAAAAGACGTGAGGGATGTTTTAGAAGCCGCACAAAGGGCATCCACAAAAAGATCGTATCACTACAAATGGGCAAGGTTTACTAAATTTGCCCAAGAGAAAGCCACGGACCCTTGTACGGCCTCTACGACAATAGTATTAGAATTTTTAATGCATCTTGCCAACCAAGGTTTGGCTCTGTCATCCTTGAAGTGCTACTTAGCAGCTTTATCCTGGTATTGCAGGAGAGCAGGTTTACCTTCTTGTTTTGCAGACCCTCTGGTGTCACAATTTATGAAAGGTTTTAAGAATATTAGGCCCCCAATTACACCAGTTATTTCGGCCTGGAGCCTTGAAATAGTGCTTGCAGCATTGTCTAAGCCGCCGTTTGAGCCGATGGCAACAGCAGATTTGTCTTTTTTGTCCTGGAAAGCAGCTTTCCTAGTAGCAATAACTTCAGCACGTAGGGCGAGTGAGCTCTGTGCTTTGAGGTGTGATGAGCCGTATTTTAGGATGCATAAGGACAGAGTTGTTCTGAGGACGGATATAGCGTTCCTCCCAAAATAGCTACGAAACTCCATCTTTCTCAGGAGATAGTACTGCCAGCCCTGCCAGTACTATCTGGCAGTACTGCTGGCAATACTGCCAGCCCTATTTCAAAACTTTGGAAAAAGTTTTACATTGCCTAGATGTTAGGAGAGCACTTGCCTTTTACATAGATAGAACGTCGGCTAATAGGAAATCTCCGAGGTTATTTTTGAAATACCGCAGAGACTCCATTGGTCTTCAGTATCATCCCAACGCCTGTCATCTTGGATAGTCCTAACGATTCATAAGGCTTATAATATGGCAGGTAGAGACTCACCTTTGCAGGTTAAAGCTCATTCCACAAGAGCGGTGGCAACATTGTCGGCTTTCCTGAGGGGAGTTCCGTTGGACGTGGTGTGTAGAGCAGCAACCTGGTCGACTCCTTCAACTTTTGTGACACACTACAAACTGGATGTGGCATCAAAGAGGGATGCAGCCTTCGGCTGAGTGGTCCTTTTTTCAGCTGTGGCATGATGCCCTCCACCGAGGTTAGCAGCTCGCTAGTCTACCACATGTGTGATTCACAGGCTAGCCACGCGGGGAAAATATAGGTTGCTTACCTGTAAACATAGTTTCCTGAGTGGTAGCCTGTGAATTCACACATTCCCGCCCGTCCTCCCCACTCTTATGATCATGCCCCAGCACTTCTGACTGCATTTTGCGGCGGAAGAACTGGCCAGTAGCCCTGCGGCAGGGCTATTTATAGGAGTGAGGAGAAAAGGGCGGGGCTACTCTAACGGTCAGTTGGAGTGAGCTCGAGAATGTCTGTTGCTGCCTGCGTGCGCGCGCGCAGGGATTACCACATGTGTGAATTCACAGGCTACCACTCGGGAAACTGTTTACAGGTAGGCAACCTATATTTATAGCACATGAGAGCTATTTAAGATCACCTATATGGGCATACTGATAAAATATTAAAGATAACTTTAATATCTTGCTACATAACAGATATGTTCTTCTGCTATAGCCCAGTCTTGCTTTCATTCCTGCATTTTGTGTGCTTTGTTTGTAGTGCTTTAGTTGGCTTCATGTTGTATGAAAACTGTTTAAATTTCCCTGTGTTCTCCAGTAGACAAAGGTACTGCAATCTGCTTCCTAGAAAAAACAAAAATGAATTCGTTACTGCATTTGGCCAGTGAAGAGTGAAATATCGTAGCTTTCTCTCCTTAATAAGCACAGTGGGTATTGAAGTCACTTAAATTCTACCCTGAATTGTCTTATCAGTGCTGACTTGAGTATTATTATTATTATTATTATTATTATTATCATTATTTTTATCCTGGAGTCTCTGATAGCGCAGTGGGTTAAAGCCCTGTGCCAATAGGACTGAAGATTGACAGGTCACAGGTTCGAATCTGGGGAGAGGCGGATGAGTTCCCTCTATCAGCTCCAGCTCCTCATGCGGGGACATGAGAGAAGCCTCCCACAAGGATGATAAAACATCAAATAATCTGGGCGTCCCCTGGGCAACATCCTTGCAGACGGCCAATTCTCTCACAACAGGAGCGACTTGCAGTTTCTCAGGTCGCTCCTGACACGACAAAAAAAATTATATCCTGCCTTTCTCCCCATGGGGGGACTCACGGCAGCTAAGATCTATCCACACTAAACAGTTTAAAAAGCAATACAAAAGTTAAAAAACAAATATTAGCAGTGTGGTAAAAACAGAATTAAAATACAGCAAATTGCAATCGCGTCTGGTGGGGACAAGGGACAGGGCCTTTTCTATGGTGGCCCCTCGGCTATGGAACTCCCAAGTGAAATTAGATCTGCTGCATCCCTCTTGACCTTTTGTACCATGTTGTGCATGAAAAATGCAAAATGCAACTAGGATCCAATTTTGGGAGCTCATTCTATTCTTTCATATATATGTATGTGTGTGTGTATACATTGTGGGTACACAAGATATTTTCCTGTTTTGGATTTGAGGCCAATTATAATATTTCTGAACAGGGTGAAATATCTTATGTAATTATTACCTTTCGATAGTTTATCTGACCTGTTCACCCAAGGAGAGATGGAACTAAAGCCTTTTTGTTCCTGTGTAACGGCATGAACTTGTAGCTTAAAACACATCAAACCACATTCCAAAATCAAGGGGTTTGGAGAGAATTGCTTTCTGAATCTACACTGACCTCATTGTGAACAGTTATATGTATTGTCGAAGGCTTTCATGGCCGGAATCACTGGGTTGTTGTAGGTTTTTTCGGGCTATATGGCCATGGTCTAGAGGCATTCTCTCCTGACGTTTCGCCTGCATCTATGGCAAGCATCCTCAGAGGTAGTGAGGTCTGTTGGAACTAGGAAAAAGGGTTTATATACCTGTGGAATGACCAGGATGTGACAAAGGACTCTTGTCTGCTGGAGCTAGGTGTGAATGTTTCAACTGACCACTTTGATTAGCATATAATGGCCTGACAGTGCCTGGAGCCAACTTTTGTTGAGAGGTGATGAGATGTCCTTGTTTATTTCCTCTCTGTTGTTGTGCTGTTGCAATTTTAGAGGTCCAACAGACCTCACTACCTCTGAGGATGCTTGCCATAGATGCAGGCGAAACGTCAGGAGAGAATGCCTCTAGACCATGGCCATATAGCCCGAAAAAACCTACAACAACCCTTTTGAACAGTTTTTCTAACTCCATACCTGAAAATTCACTGAAAGGGACTAGATTTCTGCTGTTGTCATTATTTTAATATTTAAAGACCTGGTCTAATATAATATACCACTAATCCTGTAATGTACTGTAACATAATATGGCCTGAACCGTACCTGATAACATCTGCAGTTCACAAACTTTGTATTTTGAAGAAGGAGGTCGTACTGGATAATGTAATCTTCCCTCTTGAGAGCACCCTTTAAAAAAAAGTTTTCCAAATATTTGTATGAACAGACACGCTAGTATTTTTCATTCTTTTGCTGTACTATATTCTAATAAAAATGCAAACTTTGAACTATTTTTTTAAAATAAAAAGACAACTTAATCTTTAATTGTCACCTTTGCACTCAGACCGGTATGTACACAATTTACTTTTCTCTTTTGCCATCACATTTATTTAACTACTTCAGAGAGAGAGTTACTTTTCCCTTTGTCTAAAACATTTTCCTTTTTATACCCTTTCTTGAGTTTTCTACAATTTTTATATGATATTATATCTCTGCTCTCCCTATATTTCTTTTGTTAATGTTAAACGCTTAATGCAGGGATCCTCAAACTAAGGCCCACAGAGCCAAATATGGCCCTCCAAAGTCATTTACCCAGCCCTCGCTCAGGGCCAACCTAAGTTTGAAACGACTTGAAACCACACCACAACAACAATCCTATTTCATCAGCCAAAAGCAGGCCCACGCTTCCCATTGAAATACTACTCAGTTTATATTTGTTTAAATTTTCTTCATTTTAATTATTGTATTGTTTCTAAGTGTTTTGTTTTGGTACTACAAATAAGATATGTGCAGTGTGCATAGGAAATAATTCATGCTTTTTTCAAATTATAATCCGGCCCTCCAACATTTTGGGGTACTTTGACCTGGCCCCCTGTTTAAAAAGTTTGAGGACCCCTGCCTTAATGTCTTCATGCTCTTAATCTTAATTGTACTGAAAACCTTAGTCTCAATGGACTAATGCTCAAAGCTTTACATAATACACAAATACTTCTATTTTTTTCCATATGCACTCAAGTACATCAGATTGCATCTATAATGCCGCTTTTTGCGGACTCGTTGTTTTACGGTTTTTCAATAAATATTAATGTAAAATATTTATCATGGCATTTTCATTGAAAATATTACTAATAAATGAATCATTTTCTCTCTAACATAAGCACATAACAACACAAACCATTACCATATATCTGCTTCAGGGCAGATGGCTTTTTTTTGGCGTTTACATCTGAACTGCTCTTCTTTACAGACTTCAGATTTCTGCCCGAAGGAGCACTTTCCAAGTGGGTCGGCCTCAACGACTTGTTCCACACGACTTCAATGCAAAAGGCTGCTGTTTCTTGACGCCATTTGTTTTCATCAGTCTTGCACTGTCTTTTAATACTAAAAAACTGAAAAAACTGTTTTCTTAATCGGTATCTGGATGAAGAAAAGAAAATGTATGTAAGGGGGCGGGATGGCCATTTCACCTCACCCCTTTTTGGCCCCAGAGATGTTCATCAATCACGTCACACAATATATACTTAAGAAAACAAATTTCCCCGCAATAGACTAGCTCTCCTGTATAAAAGAAGACAATAGACAAAGCAGCACTTGTGGGGAATTCTAGGTCCTGCCATTAATTTTGAATATCAATACTTGAACTTCAGCATTAATATACTGCATCAGAATGAATTAATTTGCTGTTAAATACCTCTTCATGGTCCCTGAAATAGATTACTTTTGTACTGCCGAAGGCTTTCATGGCCGGAATCACTGGGTTGTTGTAGGTTTTTTCGGGATATATGGCCATGGTCTAGAGGCATTCTCTCCTGATGTTTCGCCTGCATCTATGGCAAGCATCACTACCTCTGAGGATGCTTGCCATAGATGCAGGCAAAACGTCAGGGTAGAATGCCTCTAGACCATGGCCGTATAGCCCGAAAAAACCTACATCACAACATCATGAGTCATACAGAGAGGAGATTCCATCTGAACATGAGGAAGAACTTCCTGACTGTGAGAGCCGTTCAGCAGTGGAACTCTCTGCCCCAGAATGTGGTGGAGGCTCCTTCTTTGGAAGCTTTTAAACAGAGGCTGGATGGCCATCTGTCAGGGGTGATTTGAATGCAATATTCCTGCTTCTTGCAGGGGGTTGGACTGGATGGCCCATGAGGTCTCTTCCAACTCTTTGATTCTATGATACATCTTTGCTGATGTGTCCTGTTAACAAGGGAAATAGCTAGAGCAGTGTTTCTCAACCTGGGGGTTGGGACCCCTGGAGGGGTCGCAAGGGGGTGTCAGAGGGGTCACCTAAGACCATTTTCTGTTGGTCATGGTGGTTCTGTGTGGAAAGTTCGGCCCAATTCTATCGTTGGTGGGGTTCATAATACTCTAATTGTAAGTGAACTATAAATCCCAGCATCTACAACTCCCAAATGTCAAGTATCATTTCCCCAAACTCCACCAGTGTTCACATTTGGGCATATTGAGGATCTGTGCCAAGTTTGGTCCAGATCCATCATTGTTTGAGGCCACAGTGCTCTCTAGATGTAGGTGAACTACAACTCCCAAACTCAAGGTCAATGCCTACCAAACTCTTCCAATATTTTCTATTCGTCATGGGAGTTCGGTATGCCAAGTTTGGTTCAATTCCATTGTTGGTGGAGTTCAGAATGCTTTTGATTGTAGGTGAAGCCCAGTAACTATAACTCCCAAATGACAAAATCAACCCCATCAGTATTCAAATTTGGGCATATTAGGTATTTGTGCCATATTTGCTCCAGTGAATGAAAACACATCCTGGATACTGGATATTTACATTCTGATTCATAACAGGAGCAAAATTACAGTTATGAAGTAGCAACAAAATTAATGTTATGGTTGGGGGTCACCACAACATGAGGAACTGTATTTAGGGGTCACGACATTAGGAAGGTTGAGAAACACTGAGCTAGAGGATGAGAACATATTCAACATGGCAAACTGTTTTCTCTACACCTTTAGTGACAAGCCTTTCCTAACTTCATTTGATGCCACGACTATAAACACAAAGTACACAAAAACTTCAATTATAACCACAGCTGTAAATGGCAAGCTAAGTCTTATTATGAAATTCCAAGTAATAACATAAAATAAGGCAGTGAAATAAGCTGGAAAGTAATACAGCATTCCTACCTTCTCCAAGCCTTTTGGATTATGTTTGCAGCACAGTTCTTCTCCCGATAGAGCTCTTTTCGCACCCTCTCCTTCTCTATTGCCTGCTTACAGGTTTCAAATGGGATACTTTCAGTATTTGAACCCTTGTGCGGAAAAAAACACACCTCCGAAGTCCTGGGTGTCACTGCAGCATTGCTGTCTCGTTTTGCACTGCCTTCATGGCCACTATCCACAGCCATTCTGCTACAAAGAGGCCTGGAAGTCCTTGCATTACTGGCCACCAAAGGATCAACTTTCTTATTTGTCACGTTGTGTGTAACAGCAGCACTGGGATCGTCCCTTCTGAGGTTCCCACTTTTCCTTCTGGCACTGCAAGGCCTGCTGGAACCAGCAGGAGAACACCTCTCATCATTTAACTCCCTGCTTTTTAGGTTGAGATGTTGTGTGTTTCCATTAGGAACTACTTTACACTGTCTTGAATTCCTTGTGCTTGCATTAGTGCAGTTATTGTTCTGTATATAAGTTGTTTCTTCACAATGATTCGTATAACTGGTTATTGACTGACTTTGATTTTCTGGTTTCTCCTCTGAGTTGGTGGCTTTTCTCAGGAAGATGTGCCTTTTCTGGGCATGAGTAACATTTACATTTGGATGCACCTTGGGTTTTTTATTATCACCATCTAATGAAGCAGATTTAGTTTGGTGTTTTGTTTGTGACTGAGATGGAGACACATCATTTTCCTTACTGGAATGTGAAGAAACACAGGCAGACTTGTATTTGTTGCTTGTTTTGGATACCTCTGGGAAGAAAAAGATAATAATGAAGTAATAGTAGCAGTAGTAGTAGTAGTAGTAACAACAACAACAACAACAACAACAGAAGCAGCGTTCTTATTTTCTAATGACAGCTTTTCAGATTAAGATATCAGCAGCTTGAAGGTAGTTCAAACTTCTAATAAATAAATAACTAAAATAACTATAGCAGGCAATTGAGGCTAGAGAATGAAACATGCAAGAGACCAAAACTTTTACTTAGAACTTTCTGTTAAAATTATTTTGATGCATGCCTGGCACAAAACTGTATTTCAATCTAGTTTATTTATTTTATTTATTTATAATTCAAACGTATATGCCGCCACTCCCCTGGGGCTTGGAGCGGCTTACAAGCTTAGCTCATTTCCTTCTGGGTCTTAGTATTGAAGGGAGGGAGACGTGCTGGTCGTGACCCCTGATTCAGTTATATGACCCCTCAAAGCCCAGATACCAAGAGAATTGCTCTAGGATTTTCTGCTTAAAGAAGTGCCTTCCGGAGGTTTAGCACAGCTGGTAAATCATCAGCAACTATAAGATCTATCAACCAAAAGGTTGCAAGTTCAAAGTCCCGGTCGGCGTGAGCGGCTGATCGTCAGCCCTGCTCACTGTTTACCTGAGCAGTTTGAAAACAGCTTCAGCTGTAATTAGAGAAATTAGGTACCACTAAAGCGGGGAGGTGTTTTACAACGCCATAAAGAAAAAGATCAGAAAACGCTGGAATGAGGAAGTTCTGATGGCTCTTTGTCACGGAGGATGGAGTGACAGCACCCTCTGTAGACTCGAGCCCAACCGTCCATGGCACTGAAACACCTCCTTCTTTTACGTGTACTGTTCATACAAACGGCATTGAATGTTTGCTGTGTATGTGTACTTGTGATCTGCCCTGAGTCCCCTTCGGGGTGAGAAGGGCGGAATATAAATATAGTGTTGTTGTTGTTGTTGTTGTTGTTATTATTATTATTCCTGACAAAAGGAAACAGAAAGTTTACAAACCTATTTGTCTTTTGTGGTCTTCACCAAGCAGCTTGGCGGGGTGACATTTATTCTTGATGGTTACTTTATTTTTGGCTGAGCTTCTTCCACTTTTTCCTGGTTGGTTTTGCAATATGTTGCCATGCTGAATAGGGTTCTGTGGATTGTAACCCTTCTGAGTCTGTGAAAGATCCTCCTGGTGTACTTGGTCCTTGCCAGTCACAGCATTCTGTGTTTCTTTCTGCAGCTCAGAGGCTTTCCTTCTATTTTCTTCCTCCCGTTTCCTAAAACCATGTTTACAATATTAGGGAAATCATAGAGAGTACATTACTATGTCCTTAAAATGAGACAACTTTGGCGGGTGGGGAGAATCAGATGTTTCTTAAACTTTACAATTTGTCTAATGATTTAAATACAGTATCCTCACATCGACCCTTTATGGTAGATTGAAAGTTACATTATAACTCCATTACTGACATCTAGGGGAAAAACCTAAAAGACTAATTCAGCCAACACTGTGTATCTTTAGAAACCTGACAGATTCCAATGGCAATATTAATAGCATACTATTCAGAGTTCAGGATTTGTATGAACGTGTAATGAATCCCTGGCTGCCTATAACCTAGGGGAGTGGGCCTGGCGAAGCCACGGCATCCATTTTAGAAAAGGGAGAAGCCATCTTAGGTTAGGTTTGCCTTGAGGGGGCGTGTTCAAGTCTTAGAGGGAAAATAAGAAGGCTAGGATTGGCTAGAAAGATGGGGGCAGAGCCTAAGTGATCTAAAGGAAAAAAAGTGGCTTTTAAACTGAGACTTGAGGTCCCAGTTTTAGTTTAGTTGGAGTTTGGAACTGTTAGAGAGAAGTGTAGATGTTAGTGAGAAACGAGTTTGGGTTTGAGAAAAAGACTGGGTTAGTCTTTTGTGTAGTATTCAGAGTAGCTATTGGGAATATAGCTAGAATACTGTGTGGAGCAGTACCTCATTAGTGGTCTGTTCAATTCCTAAAGAAGTCTAGTTCAGGGTTTTTGGCTAGTTTCCTAAGAGGCATTTTTGGGAGTTACTTTCAGAGATTAATTTCCTGAAGTAATTTTCTGTGGTGGAACTTTGAAGACTTGTAACCCAGGAGTTTTAAGATCTTTACTCTAATGTAACCACAAGCTTTTTATGCCAGTATTTTACTGTAACCATTAAGCATTTGTACCTGAATATTTCAAGCCTGTTCAATAAACGTTCTTGTTATTTTAATCAACTTATACGAGCCTCAGTGTGAATACCTTTGTGGTCAAAGTATTATTAAAGCCAGCTTGACAGCAGCCTCTAAGAAACTATAGTGACAAAGTGTGCGTCACAGGAAAATCTCTTCAGTATTACCTAAGCCTGTTTGAATATTAAAATGGTGGCAGCGGAAATCTTTTGAAGAATAAATTTAAGTATCTCAGTTCCAGTGGTTCCCATTTCCTAGCTTTTAAATATACAGTTGGTTCAGCAACCATACTCCCTCTACCTTTTGTGAGCTTTATGATTTTGGCAGAGCAGCGTTTGGGATTATTCTATATATATTTCCCCATCAAATAATTCAATTAAAAATCTTCTCTACTACTCTTCACTGCGTTGTTATATATTTTGGTGGTTAGTGGTGGTTATCGTTATAAACGGCTTTTCAAAAGGGTTCTGCTAGGTCCAGACCATATGTGAAATCATTTTTATTAGCTAAACAAATCTACGAATAAGCACTCCATACACTATCAATATAAACACATCAAACACACTAAAACAATACTAATATTCTTTGAATGCTTTCAACTTAGTCTTCCATAAACCATCTGGAGCAAGTCTGGGGAGAAGCTGAAATGATCTCCAGGCATCCCCTTCAAAGTATTGGCCTAACAGCATTAGGAGCAGCAAACCAAAGAAAATGGGAATTATATGCTACACCAACCAGCAAATACTGAAGTCCTAACCAAACAATATATTTTATCAAAGTGTGAGCTCTACCAAGCAAATGCTATTTTGGTACTAGTGCAGCTATGACAGACACTGAGCAGGCTACTTGCCACTCTAGTGCATTTCTTGGACAAGTACCCTTTGAAAGGTAGTATTTGATTGGTTCAGCTTGCTGTCATCTTCATCTTGGAGAGAATGTGATGTCTATTGGCAAGCAAGGACTCAGGCACAGTGGAGGATGAGGACTGCCATTGTTGCTGCAACCATCATGTCATTAGGGCCAAAAACATGAAATAAAAACATTAAAAATTAATAAAAACAGTCACAAAACAGGAGGGAACGCGGAACAGTTCTTTCCAGCTGGTAATTTAAGGGAGTGATTTTGCAATTCGGAGCTGAGATGGCTGGAAAATAATGAGATGTCCAACATAGTTATATGTATGGCAGGTGAGGTGCAATCTTTTTAATGCACTGGCCAAGCTCCTGCAGTAGAATGGCTGCAAAGTTCTGACCAGGTGGAATATGACCTGATTCCTCTCTCTCTGCTTTAATGCCCACCTGTTTCTTGTTGTCTCCCCATCCCTTGCCAGAAGCTGTTTCTGTCAGGTTTTACAATGTATTGTAATGTAATATAGCTGAGTCATGCACTGCTAATGGGCTTCTACTGGAAATGCTGAGTCATGCATTAACTGTATATAGGGAATCATTTGGGGAATGTGTTCTGGCCTAGTCCAGGTGATTGTGAATGATGTAATCCTGGGTCTGAGTTAAGTTAATGAGTTGGGAGCCAATCAGAGATTGCTATGTGTAATTGTATAGAATTGTATATAAGGAAGTCATGTACAGTGTATATTTCTCTCCTTGTGCTGTGATGTTGTTCATTGAAGGCTCTATGTAATTGATTAAAAGAACCTGTCTGCTAAGACAAGATATAACTGTATGCTGTGGTAAGTTTGTAATGTCATCTAGACTAAGGGGAAAGACAATGATAAAACTGACAATGGCTGGGCATGTGCTCAAGTGTATGTAAAAGGTTCCAGAGTGACTGCAGGCTGTGGGACAAGTTGACTGAAAATACTGTGCAGGAAGAAGCTACTGGAAAGCGCTGAAGTTGTGCAACTGATCTGCTGCAAAATTGTGAAATTAATCTCAACAGTTTCCCCCATCACATAATTAGGTTTGTGAGACTAAGGCCCCTTGTACACTGTCATATAAAATCCAGATTATCTGCTTTGAACTGGATAGTATAGCAGTGCAGACTCATGTAATCCAGTTTAAAGCAGACAATGTGTGATTTTCCTCCCCCCTTCTCTCAGTGTGTCATTGCTATGAGCCAGGAGAGCTCAGGAGAAGGGGAAATGGTGGCCTGATGAGTTATCTCACCATTTCTCCTTATGAACCCTCCAGGACTTTAAGATCGTCTGGGGGAGGGCCTGCTCTTGGTCCTGCCTTCGTCACAAGTACAGCTGGCAGGAATGAGAGACAGGGCCTTCTCAGTGGTGGCGCCTCGGCTATGGAACGCCCTCCCTAAGGATATCAGTTCGGCCCCCTTCCTTTTAACATTTCGAAAGAGCGTCAAGACTTGGCTCTTTGAGTGGGCATTTCCAAATACAGTGTAACAGTCATAGGAAACTGGAATGGTTGGACGATGTGATCGGACAATGTTTTTAATGTTCATGTTTTTACTGATTTTGTGATGTTTTTATTATTCGATTGTTTTATTGTATTGAATTTGTATTTTATGATCTTGGTACCAACTGTAAACCGTCCCGAGTCGCCTGTGGGCTGAGAGGGACGGTATATAAATATAGTAAAATAAATAATAAATATATTATTTTCCTTTTTAAAAGGCCTTTAAAGGGGGTTTGGGAGGGAGTGGGGGCTGTATTGGGCTTCTTGGGCTCCACCTGAACATTAGGTCAAACTTCCTGAAGTGTTCAACAGTGAGACTCTCTGCCTCACAATCACTGTGTCATGATTGGTTTTAATTTTATATTGTTCGCTGTATCTTTATGTTTTATGTAATTTATCAAGTTATTGTGTGTGTTTTGATTTTAGTTATTGTATTGTGTTGCTGGGCTTGGTCTCATGTAAGCTGCCTCGAGTCCTCATCGGGGAGATGGAGGCGGGATATAAATGAAGTTTATTATTATTACGAGGGGTATTTTTTAAGTAAGGTCCGTTTTGTTGTAGACACTAGTAGTTCATGCTCATACCGCAACGAGCGCGTGCGTCATGTACCAGCATGCCTCGGGAACAACTGTGCTCAGTTTCCGCTCTGTAGCTAACCTGTACGGTTCTGTTCTGTGCTTTAAAAATGTTTAAGACTATCAACTCACCCTCCGCATGTGAGGTTCGCTCAGTGATACAGTTTTTGTCAGCAAGGAACCTGCCTGCTGCAAAAATTCATCGACAGATTTGTGAAGTGTAGGGTGATACTGTTATGAGTGAAAGCAAAGTGCGTAAGTGGGTACGACAATTCAAAGATGGCCGTGACAACATCCATAATGAGGACCGTTCCGGTCGCCCTTCTTTAATTACAGACGATTTGGTGGCTTCAGCAGGCGGCAAGTTTTTATGAAGAGGGTATTTTAAAATTGGTTCAGAGGTATGATAAGTGTTTGAACAAACTTGGCAACTATGTCGAAAAATAGAGTGAAATATGTACTTTCTGAAAATAAATTTACTTTTTTGAAATAAACTTTCGTTGTGTACTTACGTTCAAACGGACCTTACTTAAAAAATACCCCTCGTATATTATTATTGGAAGCTTTCATACATCCTGGTTGGCTATCTGTCGGGGGTTCTTTCATTGTTCTTTTCCTGCATGACAAGGAGTTGGACTAGATGGCCCATGCAGTCCCCTCCAACTCTATTATTCTATGATTCCATGATTTAATGTGGGAAGAAGTCAGAAAATGTTGGTCATGCCATAGGCAATGAAAAAACATTAATTTCTTGCAATTGAAAAAAATTAAATGCAGGCACTGTACTAAGCACACACAGAGCCATGCATGCATATATGGGGTAGCAAATAAACATTTTATGGAAGAAGGGCTGGTATTCGACATCAGACTGCAGAGCTTTCTGATACTTTAACTTTCTGGGTATAATATGATTTGTAGACTGTTGATACATGACAAGCTGGTATCTCGTTTGGTTCTTAGAATTCAAAAGCAAGAACAAAAGGTATCACTTCAGTGCAAGGTGACGGGGGAAAGCCCCAACTTCATCTGTCATTTCTATCTTATCATGTAGTCTGTGTACAGCAACTGATTGAAACTTGATGCACGACAAGCTGCTAACTAAGGAACAAACTGCACTCTGGGCAGGTTAAAGCACTC